ACACCTCCTCTGAACTCCAACCTCAACCGCCTGTCCCAGAGGACCTCGGTACTTTATGCCCAACCACAAACCCACACAACAAAGAAACACACAGTTTAGTTGGAGCTTCATTGGTTGTAGCTTGGCATTTCCACTGCATGCATTTACATTCTGCCTCTTTTGTCTCTACTACTATACGGTGCTGCTCTGTTTCCTAGTGTTGTTGAACGAGCTTGATGTGATGGTGTGTTCCAGGTGCTGCTGGGGCTGCTGGCAGGCTCAGAGAAGCAGTTTCCCTCACGGAGCAGCAGCGTAAACTCCCAGGAACCTTTTAACATCCTGCCGCTGGCCAGCAGCCAGATCAGGTCAGAGGTGAACACTAGCTCACAGTGATCACAGATACTCTGTGGAACATTAAGGCAAATATGACACCTTTGAATAACAGCTGTAGATGATACCCTGTGATGTTACCCTCTGAGCTACAAAAACACACAATCCACTTGCAGGTATAGAGAGATGTTAATGAGTAAAATATCTTGTCCCTCATAAGGCAGAGTACAGACACCGGTTAGCAGAGAGCACATGAACCAGACAGCAGCCAGAAGGAATTAGCGTTAATTAGTAACTGCTTATATAGTCTGCCACCATGTAAGTTTGTGTCATGCTGTAGAGTCATATTCCAAGATGTTGTACATCTGTTAAAGGGAATCAATTTGAAAGTTAGAGCCATGTATCAGCAGAGGCCTGGTTATTAGCGGAACTTCAGCTCCAATATCAAATGGTAAATGGTCTGTGCTTGTGTAGCACCTTTCTCTCTATCTCTACTTTTTAATCAAAGGTCATATAATCAGAAAAACAGTATTTCATGCCCCATGTTCTGTCCTCTGCAGGTTCGGTTTGCTGCCTCTCAGCATGTCGAATGTGCGTAAATCCAAGTCTGCCACCAGGAGCAGTGATGCTCCTCACCAGCCGGTGAGTAACGGAGCTCGGATCCAGCGTCTTAGTCTGACTTTGTGTGCTAGTGTTGTTGTTTCATATGCTGTCAACCACAGTATGTCTTCATTTCTCTGTTGCATTGTTGTGGGTTAATGTTGTCTGTTACACCCTCTGCCTTCCCAGCATTTTTGAGTGCAGGAAACCCAGGCAAGTTCATCAGTGTGGGTTTATATTTGTGTGTGTTTGGTTGTATTGTCAGTAGTTCCTTGGTTGACCTTTGGTGCATTTGCAGTGTAACAGTGCAATATTTACTAATGAAATGAGTCTTGAGTCAGATGGGTTGAAGATAAAGAATGCTGTCCTGCTCTGCTCTCACTAATCTCCCACACTACTGGGCTCATACTGTAGTTCAGGATCAGACTGTTGACTGGATAATTTCACTGGGCAGCAGCAACACTGACCTTTGGGCATTAGTAGGTGTTTGAGTAGACCAATCCCATCTTGAGATCGCACATTGTCACTAAAGGCTCTACGCAGCTCAAATTGGGATTTGCTTGAAAACGGTCACTTTATGATTCCCTAGGATACGCTGCTGACACAATTGGGAAATACTCTTGTTTGCTGTCTTACCAACAGTCGGATGACAACATCAATATCAGTTTTGCTTTAGAGCTATTAGAAGCTTAATTGTATCACTTAGGACTGAGCATGGCCAGCAGTTTCCCCCTGTCTCCATTCTTTGTGCTAAGCTAGGCTAAACATGTCCCACCTCTGTACTGGATACTTGGAGATAAAATCTGTTTCTGATCTTTTAATCTGATTAATGATAAGATGGCAAACTTCTAAATATTTCCAAAATACAATGTTTCCAAAATTGCCAGACTCCTCGGTGGTGCACGCATAGACACCAGAATAATCTGTTCTGTAAGGTGTTCCATACTGACGCTTGCAGTGACTGATGCCACGAGGCTGCTCCCACTAGATCATTTGCCTTTGTGTGCATCCTTTAACTATAAGACCTACAGGACCCACTACAGTCATGCATTTGAAATACTGAAGTGTCAGCATGCCACACACAGCCAGGGTCTACATAGCCCAGACTGTCATCCCACGTATCACAGTCCTGGATTGATTTTAAAGTTGTGCCGGAATACCATTTTGCTGTACACCGTGGTGAAACCTTCTGGTGCTACAAACACCCCCGACATGCTGACTGTTCTATTACTGTCATTAATGCAACTACTGTGATTTTCAAGAAACTTTTTGTTTGTGCAGCTCTGCAGCTACCAGAATGAGTGTTTTTGCTGTTGCTCTACGTCATTAAACCACGGTTATGCCGCGCGATCATGCACAGGAGACGCTGGTGCCAACAGGAAGTAGCCCTGTAGTAGTATTTTATTGGTCCAAAACTGGCTTCACTGCTCTCCATTCAAACCAGCGGGGTGGCTTCATCCAGTAAAATACTGTCTATGACTGGAGCGTGGCTACGTTATTAGAGAGAGAGGGAGCATCCATTTTACATGACTGACAAACAGGAAACCTGTGGCCTCAAGATCACATACATTCTGCGTGTTATTGGCCAGCTTCAGCTCTGCCCATGGTATTTGTTAGTAGTAGTAGTATTAGTAGAGCAGAGGGGCAGGTGGTGCTAGGGCCTAACTGAACAATAGCCGAGCCATGGTCCATTGCTATTACATTCTCTGTGCTTTTATTTTTTTAACCATTAATATATGAAAACACAAATTGATGCATAGACTAAAAGACACAGACTAGATGCTCCATTCAAGGTAATTACTAGTCAACTGTCTTAAACCTTTAATAACCAACCTGCTTTAGTGTGTGTGATAGTGGTTCCTTTGCATTTGATTTCAACAAAGTTGCAACATACTGTGGTTTAATAAGACAAATTGTGTGAAGTAATTTTACTATATTTCATTTCTAATTGTACAGAAAGTAATGTCTCCTACAACTGGGACATTTTAGTCACTCAAGGGCTCTTAAAATTCACACTCACTGGACGGTCTTTGTGATCTTGTTAGTGACTTTGAAGGTAGACGTAAAGTAAAAATCAGAAATTACCCCGACCAAAAAGGTCTCTCCCATAAAATGAATGCTAAGCTCCTTAAACCAAAGATGCTGGAGGTTTCTCCGTTGCTCACAGACGTGAGTGCTGCTCAGTGCTGCCACTGGTGGCTACAAGCATACTAGTGAATAAAACTGTATACTCTTTGTACTATGAATATCTTCTGCCTACCATGGAAGAGGATTAGGGACACATGTGAAAAATGTATTTGAATTTCAGAATTCTGACTTTAAACTCAAAACTTTCACATGTGGCAATAATCCTCTTCTGTACCTTTTTATTCTTCAGAGCAAATTATGTTTTTTTTTTTGTTACTTTGCCTGATGTATTTTCAACATCCTTCCCCTAATGACTTCTGTGAGCCCTTGAATGACTGAAATGTCCAGATTCCAGGAGATGGCAAAGGACCAGGATGTTTAGTTGACTTGCCAGTTAAGATGACTAACAGGACAAACCACCAAAACCTCAGAAAACTTGACATTTTCTCTTTCCTCCAGCAGGCACTTCCGTCCTCCACAGCAGACCGTGAGGACAGCTTCCGGCCGGGCAGCCTGTTCAGACAGCTCGCTGATAAGGATGAAGACATGGCCGCTCCCTCTTTATTTAAACTCAGCTGGCTGTCTGGCATGGCCAAATAGCCCGTAATTGCTCAAGACTTTTTATTTGCCTTTGCAGAAACTTTATAAAAATAACATGTATAGTAAAAATAATTTTGTCTTTCGAAGAAAGTGACTTGTGTGATTTAATTTATACTTTAATGATGCAAATGAGACTAAACATCCAAAGAAGTTTAAAATCAAGGGCAACTGGACTTGGTTGAAGATACTGGAAGACGTTTCGTCCCTCATCCAAAGGACTTCTTCAGTTCTGACTGACTGGCAGGGAAACTCAGCTATTTAACCTCAGTGGGGTCGTTGGCCCGGGTCATCGATACCGCTGGTTTGTTAGTGTTCCTTGTTGCTGTGACGACAGTCGTTACAGTCGTTAAGACTACCTGTGGCCAAGACTGAACGACCATCGTTGGTATCTTCACCTGAGGCCAGTAGGTTACGTTTGTTGAGTTTCCTGGGAAGTGATGAAAGGACAGCATTGTAAGTGGGGGATAAGTGGTGGCGTAGACCCCCTCCCCTGTTCAATGACGGCTTCTCCACCCTGGTGTAGATGCTTCCTTGACACCTCTTTCAAACCATCCATCTTCTCTGTCTAAAATGTGCACCTGGTGGTCCTCAAACGAGTGTCCTCTGTCCTTCAGATGTAAGTAGACTGCAGAGTCTTGACCTGAGGAGTTGGCCCTTCTGTGTTGAGCCATGCGTTTGTGTAGTGGTTGTTTAGTCTCCCCAATATACAGGTCTGTGCATTCCTCACTGCATTGGACCTGTCCTTTCATCACTTCCCAGGAAACTCAACAAACGTAACCTGTTGGTCTCAGATGAAGATACCAAAACGAAACGTCTTCCAGTATCTTCAACCAAGTCCAGTTGCCCTTTTACTTTAACCTTCGTTGGATAACTATGACCTGGATGACTGAGATTCTTCACAGACACCTCCATCATAAGGTTATATTTTTAATTTGTTCAGTACTTTAGTTTATGACCTAATACCTGCATGTGCCGCCAAAGTTAGCAAGCTAACGCTGTAAACTAAGATGGTGCACATGGTAAAAACAATACCTTCCAAAATCAGCATGTTAGTGTTGTCGTGTTAAGCATTTTAATACATACTGATTTAGCTCAACGTACCGCTGTGCCTAGATACAGCCTCACAGAGTTGCTAGCATAGCTTACAGTCTTGTAGTTTGTTTAGTGCTGATTTTACTTCATGGGCTTAATCACATATTGCAAGATGTAGCATTTTTATGCATGTAACCAATTTCCCCTGTGTAACCAACGTGTTTTATCATGACCTTTATTTTTAAAGGGGTATATTGATTTAGTTCCAGGACTTGCTAGAGAGGGAAAAAATAGAATGGTTAAACACAAAGCACCAGAGGCGTAGATATACTTATTCCTGCCTTTTAATTTCCAATGGGTGAAGTTCCAAAAATGCTGGATCCTACACTACCCATAACAGCATCCTCTTGTTGAGACCCTCCCTTCTTGGTAAAAGTCCACATATTTCAGACTACTGGCCCCCAGTTTGTAAAACAGATTCTCTGTTAAAACGTTCAAGTCCAATCTGACATCCCTTATCGATTTCATTAACTGCACTGGTGTTTACCATTCTGTGACACCGCTGTGAAAAGAACATGTAAACATTGTTACAAATACATTTGACCAACACTGTAACATGATCATTATTATACCATATTATTTAGTATCATTTGTTATGTCTTGACCCAACTACCCAACTGTGGCACAAATTAGTTGATTAGTTCCCATTATCATGTGTTGCCTTGGAATATACAAAACTCACTGAAAACACCAACCTGCCATCGCAGGATACCAGTAGTAGTAGTTTATACGTAATATAAACTGTATAAAATGGGTTTGAAATCAATGGTATGGGTCCAATACATATTAACATATGCAATACATATTGCTGCAACAAAAGCTCCAGTGTCTCCAAGCACACATTAGTGAGATAGTGTATGTCACTTCAGTACAGCCTCACAGTTTAACAAGTAGAGCTGATTAAACAACTGTTTAACTGCTCTAGTGAAAATCAGACTATATAAACTTGGCTTGGCTTTAGACAAAACGGCTACTGTAATATATATATAATAATCTTGAATTTCTAATTAATTATTTAACTAATGTGACATTATTGTATGTATTTCACATTAGATACATTTGATTTGTTGATACAAATTTTCTATATAAGTCATATGATGTATATAGAAGCAACATACTTATAGTAAGTCTCCTGTAACTATCACTTTCTAAAAAGTGGTCGTTTTGGGTCTTTGTGGTCGTTTTGCCTCTGGACCTGTGTCTAGAAGGCCTGTTCAACAACCTAAAGTAAATGGGATTTTTTTTTTCATTTGATTATTTGCTAAAACACTAACATTGGCATGATACTGAAGACCTAAGCAAATCCTTCTTTACAGTGTATACACCCTAATAGAGGGTTCCTGTGTTGGTACTTTGTGTGTGACATGACATGTAGAACCCTGAACACACACACGCACACACACACGTCCACAGTATAACTCTACTTCTTCCTGTCTATTTTGCTCATCATGGCCTTGACATCGACAGGAGCGGAGGCAGCGGCGGCCTTGGCCTTTTCCTCCTCCTCTTGCTGCCAGAGGATGATGGGATGGATGCCTAGGCTTCGGGTCCGAGCATTTTGCTCAAGCTGGGCCGGACTAGGGTAGAAACAGAAACATGGTGAACTCAAGATAATTCTCTTTAACTAGGGTGGCACAGTGCTTTTGTAAGCAGCTTTCAGTTGGTTTAAAATCCAGGCATACTGACAGTTGAAACCTGTAGTGTAGTGACCAATTCAGGAAAGCAAGCCTGGTCCCGGGAAGACATGAAGTTGAGATTCATTTTATGGTGTGACTAGGCCCAAATGGCATATAAATGGTAAGCTGTCTGTCCTTGTATAGCGCCTTTCTAATCCTATGACCACTCAAAGGTCATGGTCAACCTCTTACCTGGGCAGGGTCTCAGGACAGACACCACAGCCAAATACATTTAAACTCAGTTTTTCACATTTCTTGACATTTAATCCTAGCAAACATTCCCTGTCTCAGATCAGTGAGGATCACTACTTTATTTTAAGTGAAATGTGAAATAGAACAGAATAATAGTAGAGAGAATGATTTCTTTCATCTTTAATCACATCCCCAGTGGTTCAGAAGTTTACATACACTGAGTTAGTATTTGGTATCATGGCCTTTAAATATTTTAACTTGGGTCAAACGTTTCGAGTAGCCTTCCACAAGCCTCTCACATTAAGTTGCTGGAACTTTGGTGCATTCTTCCTGACAGAACTGCCGCCTTGCTTGCACACGCTTTTCCAGTTCTGCCCGCAAATTTTCAGTTGGCTTGAAGTCAGGGCTTTGTGATACCTTGATTTTGTTGTCCTTATGCCTTTTTGCCATAACTCTGGTAGTATGTTTGGGGTCATCCATTAGTAAGACCGATTTGCGACCAAGCTTTAACTTTGACTGTTGTCTTGAGGTTATTCTTCAATATATTCACCTTCCTTCCTCATGATGTGATCTATTATGTGAAGTGCACCAGTCCCATTTGCAGCATAGCACCACCACAACATGATGCTGCCACCCCTGTGCTTCATGGTCTGGATGGTGTTCTTTGGCTTGCAAACCAAACCTTTTTTCCTCCAAACATGACAATGGTCATTACAGCCAAACAGATCCATTTTTCATCAGACCAGAGGACAATTCTCCAGAAAGCCAGAGTGTGGCTTTTTTATGGTGATTTTGGATGCGGTTTATACTTGCAAACTATTGTTTTACAGATGACAGTGGTGCATTCAGGCATTTGATAATTGCTCCCAAGGACGAACCAGATTTGTGGAGTTCCACAATTTTTTCCCCAAGGTTTATGGCTGTGTTCTTTTGATTTTCCCAAAATGTCAAGCAGCGAGCCGCTGAGTTTGAAGGTGGGCCGTAAACATGATGTTTTTGTGGAATTTGGCGCCCCTACTGTTTCGCTGCTGTGGTAATATTACACAATGTTGCTTTAAAATAAATCCACAGGTACACCTCTAATTGACTCAGATTAAGTCAGTCAGCCTATCAGAAGCTTCTAAAGCCATGAGATGATTTTCTGGAATTTCCCAAGCTCTTCAAACGCAACATCAACTTGTATGTAAACTTCTGGCCCATTGGAAGTGTGATATAGTGAATTGGAAGTGAAATAATCTTTCTGTGAACAAGTTAAAGTAGAAGTCCTAACAGACTATCCAAAACTATAATTTTTTCACATGAAATCTGTGAGATGAATCCGAGTGGTTGAAACATTAGTTTTAATTATTAGTTTTAGTTTTTAACTTCTTATGGTTAGGATTCGATCAGTTTAGCCACCAACCTGAAGTTATGAGGTTCAGGGCTCAGTGCCTGCTTCTGGATTTCTTTGTACACCGGTGACTTGAGGTAACGGAAGAAGGTATCCTGTAGCAAGAAAGCACATGCAGGTGACCAGCTTCACTGCAATAAAGCGCCTTTAATCTCAGTCATAGAGGTGTATATGATTTTGATCACAAATGTAACATTATAGTGCAAATAATATACTCTATGTCAGAGCTTTGACTAATCTGGTAACCCCTGTAGACCAGCCGGCCAGTAGAATTTGTCTCCTGCCCACCTTACCCTACACCCCCGCGCCCCCTTCAGCTACACTGGTCTGTAAGGGGATATACACTTGGGCAGTGACTTAAATACATTTTTTTGGCTAAACAGAGAGCCAGAGATGTCAGTAGATAATCAAATTAATCATGAATAACGTATTGGTATTAACCACCCTATAAATGAATTATTTATATAAATATACATTTTTTGCCTCTTTAGCAGTACAAACCTTTTTCATGAGCATGAAGACATGTGTCTGTGCAGCTTCCAGCACGTAGCGGTGAGGATGATCCAGGCCTTTCACTGTCAGACCCATTGTCCTGCCATCAATGTTGATCCAGCGGGGGGCACCAGGGGCCAGGAAGGTCCTGAACACACAGACACTCCAGATCAATATCATACTGGAATGTAAGAGGACTTTACTGACTCTGTCTAGAAATATAATACTTCTAGTAGAACCATAATTTTCCTTTTTAAAGGCCAGTTGAAACCAATGAGGCATATGGTCCCACGTAATCACACTAGTTTCCACCACAGTTAGAAGAGTTTTAGTTATTTAACTACTACGTTTGTACTATGCACCAATCAGAATGCAGGATATTATAAAGCGATTGCCTACCACTTTCTTTTTGTTTTATTTTTATTCTATAGTTATTGTGAGACATTATAGGTAGATCATTGCTACACTTACTTTACTGTAAAAACCTGCCTCAGTATAAAGTACACATTTTTTCTTGAGCAGCAGTGAAATTCACTCTTCCTTCAAGTTCAAGTAGACTGACATATTGTCAATAATGGATGAAAGTATGGCATGGTATGTAAAATAAAGCAAGAACATAACACACAACACACGTAGACTCACATTTAAACACAGATAAACAGTCCAATTTTTTTTGTCTTACTTGAAGATGGTCTCAGCTTTTGTTGACATGGAAGATGCAGTGCCCCACTTCAGTTCTTCAGCTGCCTCCCAAAAAGCCAAGTTCTCCCCTGGGATACACATACATCCATTTGGACACTTATTTATTAAAGTCTTTTCACACCCACGCTCTTATATCAGTCTGTGGAGGAGCCTGTCCTGTCGACGTTGTTTAAAATATGAGACCATAAAATAATTTTGCCCGTGTCTGCGTGGATTCTCTCCGGGTGCTCCGGCTCCCTCCCACCGTCCAAAGACATGCAGGCTAGGTTAATTGGTGTTTCTAAAATTGTCCTTAGGTGTGAGTGTGAGTGGTTGTATGTCTGTGTGGCCCTGCGATGGACTGGCGACGAGGATAAGCGGTTGAAGATGGATAGAAAATAATTTTGTCCCTAAGGAACCACCTATAAAGAAACTTTAACAACCCCATTCAAGGAACACAAGGAAAACTTAGCTGCAGAAAGTAATTGAAGTGCTGCTCCTGTCTGATTTTTGGATGGCAGCATATCAAACAGATAGTCCCAAGTGCTTTGCTTTGCTGTCTTGGGAACTCCTAATTTGTGCATTCAAATACATGTCACATGTTGGCTGCGTGTCGTGAGATCCTACTGTTCTACCTTACTGTATGTCCATGTGTTCTGCATATAGGAACTGTAACTTCTGAAAATCTAACAGTGTGTGTATGTGATATTTTGATTTTACAAAGAAAGTAACGGGTATGCTTGTGTTAAGAGCTGAAACACACACCGTGCCTCAACCATCTGAGGAATGTCAGTCAGGTTTAGCGCAAGAGATTCATGATCCAAACTGAAATGTGTTAATTGACATTTGGCAACATACCACTGAACTCCTTCTTGAGGAAGACCTTGAAGTCGTCTCGGCCTCGCAGGTCACTCAGCAGCTCGAACAAGCTGAAGGACCAGCGCTCTACTCGCATCTTAGTGGGGACATCAACTCTGCACATAAACACAGACTGTGACTTTTAAAAAGTAACACTTTTACAGGCATACGAAACAGTTTGGAATACAGCTATATGATGTATTTATTATGCAGACCCATCTGTATGGAGCCATATGGATTTATGAGTTGATGGCCAATAGACTAGGAGGCATAATTTCATGAGAAAGGCATTTGAGAATTTCATTTTACCTCATGAGACCTTATAATACAGTCATTATAAAAAAATTAATGTAACAACATCCAAACAGATCGAGGTTCAGTGTGGCTGAAAGCATCTGAAAAAGATAGTAAGTGGAACTTGATTTTTTTGTTCTCCTTTATTTCCTCCTTCCAAGGTAAATAATGAACTCTACTTTTAGATAAACGGGCACCACTTCAAAGTACTGATGATGCACTGTGTCTCATATTACGACTATAGTTCCCATAAACCCTGTCTGCACTCTTACCCACTCCCTGATAAAAAGAATCATGTTGGAATGGATTTCCCATCACTCCATCTGTTCACTGGTTAAAATTCTGAAAGCTTTCTTTCTCCTGTTCTGCTCAGATCAAACAGATACTACAGAAAGGAGAGATGACCTGACGCTTTACATTTAGCATTTAGCACTGTGCTTATAGCTAAGCTAGCTGTAATGTGGCTAGTCTTTACTGCTTCTATTAACAGTAGCAGAGAAAACATTGTAAAGCCAGGATATGAACCTGATATGACAGATGTGTTATCATCATCACAGGCCTCCACTTAAATCTAAAATACAAGCTCACGATGTAAATACAGTGTAAAGCTCTGAGGAGGCCGACAATCTCCCAGTGCTGCATGACAGTAATCATGCCATCGTCTCACCATCAATGTGATCATTTCCTGATGAGAGATTGATAACCAGGCAGAAAGAGAAAATGCAACATGCCTTACCTTCTCATGTTGAGAGTCCAATATGTGTCATTATCTGTTTGCCAAGGGTTGCTGGGTAGACAGGGAGCCAGGAACGGGTCGTGGTTTTTGTAGGTTGTGACGTACTTGACCAGTCTGCAGAAACAGAACTATTATGAGACCAATGGACTCCACAGAGCGTCTATGTCATCGTTTTAATTGATGACTAAATACTGATCATCCAAAGATTCTGTTTTATTAAATAATCTTATAATAAGTAGAGTTTGCATGTATATACAACAAAATCCTTAAAATGAATTTGAACCCCGAGAAAGGTTTCCAAATAAATAAATGAGAGGAACTTACGCTCCAAGGGACACACTAGATTTGACCTTTGACCTCATGATGGCTTGTTGATAGAACATGTTCTAAGATAAAAGAGGAACACAAACCAAACCGTGAGTTGCTTTGGGCAATTTGTGACTAGTTTTATAGTGAATCAAAGGATATAAAACTATCCACTTTCAAACCTCTAGGCAGACGTCCATAATAAGAAAACGGCCTGCTCTTTGTTGTTTTGAAACTCAACACAGTTAACAGCTTCAAACCATCGACAATGAGTTTGGAAGGAATGTGGGCATGATAAAATCAGAATATCAGTGTGTGTATTTTTAAACTCACCATGCGTCTGTAAATGTCGAAGGTGATGTTCTGAGAGACAAGAAGGAAAAAAAGTGTTTTCAAGGTGACAGTTAGTTTGGCTCATATTCCACAGTGTATATTGGGATGCATAACAGAGGAACATCCTGATACTATCTGTGGTGTTAAACCTAAAGAAACCTACTGTGAAAGCTACCTCTGTTAAAGCACAAACAGAAAGGTGAAATTAGAAAGCAGAAAACAGTCCCTCCAGAGAAAAGGTTACTCGGTTGTTGGTTGTGTTTATTGCAGCCAAAAATGAATACATTTGCAGCAGTGTTGTGTGATACAATCCAGTGACTAAACTTTTTTAATTTGAAGTGATCTGGTTTTGTATAGGTGTATTTTATCCACGGAAGTACAATTTATAAGTATTGTGGAATTTCTGTGGGAATGAAACAAAATTGCAATCCCTTGAAAATAATGCAGTGGTTGATTTTACATTTACACAACATAACCATTTCCTGGAGAGACCGACTACAGACTGCATGGAGCACAAGTTTATGAGTGTAGTTTAAATACAAGAATGACAGTCTGGGTAAAACACTGTATGCTATTTTTTTTAACCCTTTACTTCCTTATCTTCATCAACGTAAGGAAATCTGTTAGAAAAAAGACAAAGACAAGAAAAATACAATGAATGAAATGGGTTCTCTCCACAGGAGAACGACATTCAAAGGGCGGGGTGAGCCATTACTGTAGTCGTGGCCCCAAATTACTGTTTCGACACAATTCACAGTGCATTTTTTGCTTGTTACAAACATTATAATTGGTTCACAAAGAGACTGCTTGCTTTTATGAATGGCTTCTTTCTGCAGTAAAGTTCTGTATGGTTTATTTGAAATTGTATAAAATAATAATATACTCCAGTGAACCTCAACATTTACTCTTTGTAGTCTAGGTTTAGTCTAATAGTAGTTTTAGGAATCATGTCTATGTCTTTAAAACTAGTTAGCCTGCAGGTATATTATTGACACTTTGTTAAAACCTTATTCTAGAAAATCAAACAACCACAATCAAAATTATTTGAGGAGTCACTTTTAGACAAGGGTCCATATTTTCAAGCCAGCAGTAGAACAAACAAAGTTGCAATGCAATCTTAGCTGGGTGGTAGTGCAGTTTTTGCACCCGCCTGTTTGGTCATTTCCTGGCTCCAAAGAAAATCAGCTTTTGCTGAGATGGGTGGAGTGGTGCAGCATGTGTGTTGACTTTTGCCTCTTTGAGTTTGCCACACAGTCTTTCACATACCGCAGATTGAAATGTCCAAAAAGTGTCCAGTTTCAGGAACATAGACTAAAAAACATCTTATGTGTCTAACCTACAAAACACTGCAGACAGACTGGATGAAAGCTAACAAGCAGGGGAGGAGGAGGAAGTATTCAGATCTTTTACTTCAGTCAAATTACCAAGACTGCAATATTTATTTGTCTGTTGAGGATGCATTATATGGCAGCCTAGCCATTGACAACAATGACTGGGAATGCCTAAGATTCACTGGGAGAACAATGTGTTACATCCAGACACAAGACACCATCATCTGTATCCTCTATGTGGATTTCATAACCACCTTAAGTCACCTTAGTGCTCCATAGAAACGCAAACAATAGGTTTGCAAAACCTCTTCCAAGGAAAGTTGAGCAAGTTTGAGCAGCTGTATCACCTTTCCTTGGAAGGAATAGGAATGGAGTAGCAAATCTGGCTACTATTCCACTATTTAACATTTTACCACATTACCCTCAGTGTTTACCTCAAACAGCAACGTCTCCTTGACAATTTCACAGTACTCCAGGGTTATGGCCATTGCCGTAGCCTAAATCATTTCAGCTTTGTTTCAGAGACAGTTTGCCACTAAACACTACAGGACCGATGAGCTTTTGTTATGGAGCAGATGTCAATGACAGCAGCATATTCAGAGCATTTTCAACATTTTCTGCCGTTGCCATGAGAACCAAAACACATTTATCTGAAACTGATTCTGCTTCTAAATGTGAATAGATTAAAAAATAATAATTTTGCCAGTTTTACAAAAGTCCAACCTCTAATTTCACCCACCATTCATTAGGCAGCACAGAGAGAAAAATCTGAAAATAGACTTTGTAACTTGTTTTGGGTGTTTTAAAAAATCAATGGATCTGTGTGGAAAGGACAAGAAAGGGAAGGAAGGAGAAGCAGAGTGAGAGACTCAGGCAGGTTCTGTGTGTAGGGAGCAGTCCAGCAGTACTATGCTGCATGTTAAACTCCAGTAAGTCTGTGTGTGTGTGTGTGTGTGTGTGTGTGTGTGTGTGTGTGTGTGTGTGTGTGTTTGTGTATACTGACCTGTTACCTCATCTACGTTGGGATTAATAAGACGCTCTGGACCATAATCCATAGCACTGTGAGTACGACGCTGGACAAAAACAGGACAGGTTCATGATTAATGGACAGTAAGTATAAAAAGTATATAGTAATATGTACTTCTGCTACTGTAGATACAGCATGCCTTTATTTGGATCATTGCACTGTATATATATACACACACATGTAAAACACAGAGTCACACACACTGACCGGTGGCCTGTTCACCATCCAGTAAGCCCTCTCCTGGCAATCAAACACCACGCGATCCGGCTTCTTCCTCTCCTTACCAGCCCTGGCACACACACACACACACACACACATGCACGTGCACATGCAGACAAATGTTAGGTGTTAAGAGGAAATAATTGACTAAAATCTAAAACCTGGCTTATTAAAATGCTCACAGACTGGTTAGCTGAACTGGTTGTACTGGTGTCCCAGCAGCGGCAGGTTGTCTTACTTCTCACATATATTATATATTTATAGATATATATAAGTGTAGTTACCCTATATTGTACAAGTGTTTGGTGCCATCGTTTGGTATTTGAAAGTTAAAAATACTTATCTAGGGCTGGGTAATGAAGACTTTTTCACACTGACCAAAATGTGTCCTGTGGCTGAGGTATGCCTAAAAATGTAACTCTCTCTGTAGGTATCTGTGGCGGGACTCCATTCGCCCATTGGTCATATCTGAATCAGCTTAAAGATTCTCTCCTGACAAGTTTTTAAATGGGGCTATATGTAGTTTTTCAATGAAATCTCTTATTAATAAATCAAATTTTTACTACCTCTATGGGCTCTAACCTAACCACTTAGCACAAGCTTGTTTTCTCTGTTGCTTGGAACAGCCACTATTCTGCTTTTAATGTGAGGACACCGGGTCGGACGCAGCCCTGTGCGCCCTCCCAAGCCTCTCCGACTACTAAAGTGTGGCAACAATCTCATTTATAATACTCAGTCTAGCTCAATAACCGTTTCATAATCATCCAATACATTAAGCTGTGCTGAGCCTCCGGTGAAAGATACATAGATAGTAATGTTAGTTACTGTAAAGCAGACAGGCGAGCTAACAACGATGTATCACGTCAGCTAAATGCAGTAATTATTTAATGTATCATGTAACGATTTAATGTTATCATTTATTTAATGTTATTATGTAACAAGCATGGATAACTTCAATGTCTAGCTGATAAAAACATTACTTTAACGTTGCATTGAGAGTTTACCTGAGTTTCCAGCATGTTGTGTGAAGCTGTCTCCCTGTCTGTCTATGAGCTTTGTGCCAATAAATAATTTGTGTTTAAAATGTTTTTTTCACCTTGTAAAAAAAGACTAAAATTACACCTACTACTACACCGACCCACCTTTTGTCTTCATTGAAAACTATTTTGTTGAAATATTTTTTATATAAATCCCAAAATACATTTGTGAATCTTTCTGTGTGCATTGATCAATACTGACACTAATTTGGCTCCATATTAATAAATGCGTAATCGCAATGTCCCCAGTTCTATTAGTCTAATCTAATCTAGTTCTATTAGCTAGCATCCTTTGTTGCATGTCATCCTCTTTCTCTCTCTTTCCTGTTCATCTTCACCATGACCTGTCAAATAAAGGTAAATGCCCCCTAAATAATAATCTTTGAAAAAGAGGAAGTACTTAGGTTTAGTACCAAGCTGTAATGGTTTCACCTACTTGTACTGCTCGGTGGCCTGCATGACGATAAAGTCCCACTTGTGGTTCAGCCATTCATGGAGGTGGTTGTAATGTGCCTGTTTAAAACACAAAACAGTGACAGCATGGAGCAGCAAGTTGTAAAAATCACTCCACATCTGTTAATGGAGAACCAAACATGTTACAGCAAGAACAAACAGTGAAGATGTGATAGACTAGATTCCAGTAGAAACAATGAACCTTTAAGCCTCATGGTAAGTTTTATTGTATTGTATTAAACATGTTAGGCTGAATTATCTACTTCAGTCTTCAGTATTTTATATATTTAATATCAATTATTCAGTATAGCAATTGACCCATACCAGAAACTAAAAGTCAGGCCTCTGCTGTTGTAACACATTCTTACTTTAAACTTGTTACATGGATGCTTGGTCAAGACCCCTTGGTGTTGCTTTTTAATGCCCTTGTAGGTGGTTAGCAATAATAAAAATGCAATGTCAGGTTAGACTTTCAAAATAAAACTAGCGGTTAACGTTGTGAAATGTTGCAATTTCGTTAAGATTTGGAACAAAAACTACTGGGTTAGGTTTAAGAAAACGCGATCACGGTTTGGTTAAAAATAACAACATTACTTAAGTGACTTAACTTACGTAAGTTAAGTAATGTTACTAACGTAACCTGTGTAACTTAAATAAAAAGACTCACTGTTGACTTTTTTCACACAAGAAATAAACCATGGTGTCCTGGGTCCCCCAAATCATTGGAGTATTTTAAACATGTCCAATATTTTTAAGACCAGCTAGGAAAAGTTCCATATTACAGTAGTACTAGGAGCAATAAGTAAAATTGTTTTACCAAATAAATGAATGCAAATACAATCTTTCTTAAAAACTAATATTTTCATGTGAATCATTGATTGGCAGTTTGTACTGAGCTCATGTCATTGTAGGTTTAAGTTACAACAATTTTCCTGTCACAACTTTGATCCCATAAAACATCTTCAAACATTTTCATCTATAGGACCGAAAGCATGGGAAACGCTCTGGGATACAACTGGGTTTAACTGGGTCTTGATGAAGGGGGCCAGGTTCATCTAACTGATAACACACACTGATAACAACCCAACTGAACCTGTTCTGCATTTGGTCAATGATCCCTCTAAAGCTTCTATTTAGAGTAGGAGGTAATAACAGCAAGACTCAGACAATGTTAGAGCAACCTGCAAGAGACAGCTGGATTTAGAAACCACAGTGATTGCCCAGGTAGGCAGGTAGGCCAGCCAATGAGATTGGCCGTGCTTATTATAGACACAGATACCGGATTTTTGACTGGCGTACACATTGAATGCAATGTCTGCATCCAGACTGAGTATGTGTCAGTGGAAAAAAAACACTCTCGACCGCTGTCAGTTTGGCTTGAAGCTTTTAGCATTATGTACAATGAAAGCAGCACATTTGTTACACACACACACACACATACAAACATATTTTTTTCATATGTGTACACAAACCTGTTCGTAGGGTTCTAGTACGCCTTTCTTGCGGATGTTCCTCTTTGCCAGGTAAATGGCTGTAATCAGAGCAAAAATAACTTATTACTAATTACACACATGAATTATTGCAAACAACTAAATGAAGACTTGGGAACACTTGGGAAACCCACTGTCAGAGAATACTGACATCAGTTTCATATCCAGAACTCAGACAGGATGTGTTTAGCCTTGCTGCAGAAATAAGGGCAACTACTGAGTGTCTTGCTCGTAGACAGTTTAGCTGAAGGAGGGGAGAGTGCCTCTCATTCATGTGGATTTGAATAAAAATAGCAGTGTCCCTTCTTCTAATACAATGCTAAATTTTCTAAACCATTTGCCTAGTGACTGATCACTGAAGCTCCTGATCTTTCTGTTCAAACCACCAGTCCGTATGAAACACTGTACCCACCATAGTCGGTGTCCTCTGCAACCCATTTCTGTGTAGGCCAGAAGTACGGGGTCTGAAAAGGTTTAGATTCAAAAGACAGTTTAAGTGATTCAGTGTGTAGAGAATCTCTAGATCTATGAATAAAAGTGGCAGGATTACACTAACACCTGATCTAATGTTCCATACACTGCATTTTCCCTTTTCTTTGCTACCTGACCTGAACATAGTATCAGATCTTGGCTGCGGTTTAGGTCATTTACTATTTGAAGCTACAAGTTCAGGTCAGGTCCAAGTTGTTACTTTCCTAATCTGTTAGGGCTCCTGGAGACCTGGGCCCTCTTTAACAACTGAAACAACTTACTTAATGTTGTTTTCTCATAACTTTTCCTGATTTTATGAGAATTGCAGATAAACATTGTTTTGAATTGAAGAAAAGGTTTTAAACATCCTTTTCAATTCAATATTATTTATATAACACCAATTCAACAAAACAGAGGTTTTCTCAGGGAACTTTTCATTTAGAGCAGTTCTAGACCGTACTCTTTATAATATTATAATTGAATTATTTTTATTCATTTTGAACTAAAATACAGGTAGAGGTGTGGCTGTGATGAGCATCATGATAAATGTGTTCCCATAAACAGAAGTGTATTATTTAAAAAATCCCAATTTATTTGTGGAACATAACCAGAATCATGTTTATGTCATAATACAGATGGTCCAGATCCCATTTTTAATTCTACCTCATTTTTATTGATGGCACTGTGGTGGTATTAACTGCAGATGGTTATTACTAAAGTTAGTTATTATTTAATAACTGATATCAGATTGGTTTAAACAACAGTATGTCCTGTCTTAACATCCTATTTCAACAGTAAGTACATCACACACGCCACAGTGCTCCAAAATCTTCTCCTAGTTCACTAACTTTCTAACTGACGGCATCAAAAAGCATTAAAGTGCAACAATGATTCCAACCACAGGCAGTAAGAAGAAGCAGAGATTTAGTTTGACCTGGAAGCGGTAGAGGCTGCTGTCGTTGCACATGACCAGCTTGTTGTGGTTCTGCAGGGGGTAGATGTAGCCATAGGCCACTAGCATGGTGCCAAAGGCCTGAGCCTCTGGAACACAGACAGGAAGAGGAAATGAATGGACGAGGCAGTAAACAACATGTGGGTATGGATTTTTTATTTTTTATTACTAACATGTGTGGAGGTGCCATGTTTTGGGAACCGAGCTTTGATTCTAATGGTATTGTACCTTCTGTAGTGTTCTTCAGCTTGTTGGTGATCCATGCAATGACGTCCTGACCTGTGTGGAAACACAGATACGAGCTGAAACACTTCACACACTCCAGTCTCTGGGTGGCTGTGTATCCGTTCAATCAATCAATCAATTAAACCTCCTTGCATACTTCAGGCCTTCAGGGACTCAAGACCACATTACACCATGACACCGTTCATATTATTCAACTAAGCCCTCAACTTCCTGCTATTCCTCACACTGTTTTATATTTCTGACACCATAATTGTTGAACATCATCATTATTCTAATGTTTTTTTTAAAAACGTTTATAGCATCAGTATGTGTGGAGTCTGTAGTGGTCTGTGTGCCACAATAATAATTGAATAAATGAATGACATTTGCATTTAAACAAACACTACATTATTAAATGCAAAGTAAAAAAAGATAATAAATCAATCAATTAACCATCATGACGTCACATCTCCAGTGAATTTCAGGGACGATGGAGGGACAAAAACCAGGCAGCATCAGCCAGGGGACATGACAACACAAATAAACACTGCAGGTAACACATCATTCTTCATGAATCACATTACTGGGTGCTACTCCACCTAATCATTTTGTAAACTGTTACTCAGACCATGGGGGGTTTGGCCCATGCTGATTTTCCCCTTGTTGGTCTTAGACCAGATTAAAAAGCCACTTTGACTCCTAAAGCACTGTCCAGATCTCATCCAATTGAGGGCTGCTTTATTTAGCCTGTGTTAGCAGCTTAGACAACAAGGCAGCCTGTCGGTTATTTATAAAGCCTTTTTTTAATGTTCCTGTTCACTGACAACACTGTCATTGCATTATTTAAGACACTGACATACAATGAAATACAATACAATTCAACAGAACCAGCACAAGGACACAAAATTCCATTCTATGTATCATTGTATTTTTTCAGTTCATTCCTGATGAAAAAATGAACATAATCAATATGTTGAGAAATAAAAGTTGTTTAATTTCTTTTTAAAGCGCAAAGAGCACAACTTTCCAAACGTTAAGCTTGCTTTTTTCTCTCTTTCGTTTTTTAGCTGCTAAATGCCCCATTATTTTCACCAGACTGGACAATTCTGTCAATTCAGTACTTTTGTTTAGTGTGTGTGTGTGTGTGCATGTGTGTGTGTGCGTGTGTGTGTGTTTGTTGGTTTGTGTCAGTCTCACCAGTGATGACATGGGGGATGACAGTGACGTTGAGTTTCTGCTCCGAGCCCTTAACTCCGCTCTTTGGGTCCTGCATCTCCACCACAATGGCCTCCAGCTGAAAGCAGGACAGCAACCAGTATTAATTTATGGGAACTAAAAAATACTGAGCACATTCATATTAAATAAATAAATTCACATTTTCTAACAAATAAATTGGATCCCTGCTGTGTTGTTACATCAACAGAGAGGAAATTTAGAGAATAAAATCAGTGAGTGAATCTTTTAAAAAGACACTCTGTCGATTTTGATATTTTCCTTGTAACTGAGGTTGTTATACCAAGGCCATTTAGACATCTATGAGAAAAATTTTATTAAATTTTTTGATTACCTTTACTTTAATACCTTTCAAAGTCTAATTATCTGACATGTATAACTGACACGTTATGCATCTTTTGTGTATGGAACTGCAAAATGTTTGAATATAATAATTGAATAAATAAAAAAGACATTATGAAATAAATAATCATATGAATGAATTGTGTAAACATAAATGAACCAACGGTTTGTAAAATCATTGAATACATTATTATTTGTATTTTATATTTATTTTTGCCCTTATTTATATTGTTATTATTTTTTATTCAATTCAATTCAATTCAATTTTATTTATATAGCGCCAAATCACAACAACAGTTATCTCACAGCGCTTTTCATAAAAGAGCAGGTCTAGACCGTACTCTGTGATGTTATTTACAGAAGCCCAACAGTTGTTGTTATGTAAACATTAATTTTATTACCACTACCATTACTATTATTTATCTATGTGGAACTTTACTTTTTGAACATTGTGCTGCTGGAGGTATGTTCTCTTTCCTCCTGCTCCTGGCGCTATAGAAATCATATTTATTAGAAAAGGCCTATTATGATAACAGAATTTTATTGGATATCATTTTGTGCTAACACATTTCACGTCAAGTTAAGCCTAATAAAACATTTTATTTCATGTCACTTTCATGACAGTAAACAACTGCTAATAGATTTAGCCAGTTAGCTCCAATGCCAGCCTTATTCCAAATCAACCAACTAAAGGCTGCTGCTGTAAATAAACATAGTAGGCTACACACAGAGATCAAGAAACATCTTTAGAATCAAAACACTGCCTAGCTAGCTCTTACTCCCTGAATTAAGTCGCTAGCTGCTGCCGTTAACATGGTCTCTTCATGCTGCAATAAACCAAGCTCACAACCCTGCCTAGCTGGTTAGCAGTGGGGTAGGTAGTAAGTGCAGCCTTGTCATCAGTGACATGTGATAACTCATTATCACTTTCCTAAACACCTAGAAATGCTTCCTCACAGGGTGGTACCACTCCCACCTTAATATGTAAACAGTTAAATAGATTACATTAAAGACCATCTGTCTTTCAGCATACAGTTTAGATGATGCAGCTGTAGTTTGTGCAGTGGAGCAGGCCATCCATCATGGAGCAAGGTTGGTGGTTTGATTCCCATTGCTTCCTGTCTACATGTTGAGGTGTCTTTGAGCAAGACCTTGAGGCCCAGCTTGCTCCCAATGTGGGGTAAAAGTATAAGTGACTTTAGGCAAACGTGTCGACTGAAACATGTGAATGTCATTTTATAGAATCTAAGCAGAGGATATGAATAAGCCTAACTTATTGCCTGTAATGTCATCTTTGTATTTTACCTCAGTGTTGCTTTTTGCATGAATGAATTGAAGAATGAATGAAGTTGCCACGTCAACCTAGTGTTGAATGCCACAAAAATACAGCACATACAGTCATATATGTATATCCATATACTGTACATTCACAAATATACAGGGAATAGACAAAATACTGCAGTGTGTTTCAGTGGAGGCCTGTATTAGTTCAGCACACAGTGATTACTCTTTTGTAAGTTATAGAGAGTGTGTTTCATTCATTTAATTATTTTGTTTCACATGTAATTTGCGGTGTAATTTGTTTTGTATCTGGCTGCTTCCTTTCACATTGTAATCAAAAACTTCTTTGCCTCAATGTCAGGTCAGGTTCTGCTGCTAAACTGTTCAGTATTTTTCAACTGCAGTGACAGCAGGGCAGGAGCGCAGCAAAGCTAAGTAGCTTTAAGGTGGAATTAGCGATGATCTTTAACAAGCCCCAGCTCTTCTTGTGGCAAACAGATCATGTGTGAATCTGGTACAAATGTACATGTGCTTAATGAGATCTCTCATGTAACTGGAAAAAGGAAAAAATAAATATATTTCTGAAAATACTGAGTACTGAAAAAAAAAAAACTCTAAATGTTTTTTAATGCTACAAAAGCAAATCAGTGTAATCCAGAAATATTAACACTAACTTAATTTCAGAACAGCTTGTAATATATTTGTAAACTTACTACTTAAGTAAACTTACTACTAAAATGCCAGCAGTGTATACAGAGCTGAAGAACTAATAAAACCAAAGAGAATGAGGATGATATCTACCCACCTTTTTCAAGCAGTGTACACGGGGCCAGAAACGTTGTCCCCGGTCTGGACGGGCTGTTCTAATTGTCATTTTTGCAGATGGATGAAAACCAATTCAGATATAAACGTTATCTATATATATATCTATATATGTAGATATAGATATATAAGTCCTGAAGTGGAATATCCCAGTTATAATATGTATAGTTGCTGACAGAGAAGTGGGTGCGTGTAGTGGAGTTGAACACACTCCTCCTGTGTGGTGATTATAAGGCAGGATGGGAAGGATGGATTTATCCACCAATCAGCTGAAGGAAGCCTCTGCTCTCATCCTCCAGGAGTTACAGAGAAAAGCCCGTCTTAAATTAACTTCAGCAAAGAGAAAGTCATAATAGATCCTGAAATGTTTACTTTTTTGCAATGTAAAATAGTCAAATAAAAAAGTAATTAATTGTGTCATTTAAAATAACATTTCAACATTTTGGGAAATATTCTTATTTTCTTTCTTGGCGCGAACACACTGATAACACTTGCATGTATAATAACGAAATATGAACCTACAGCCAGAAGCTGCTTAGTTTAGCATGAAGGCTGCAAAGAGGGGGAGTAGCCTGGATCTGTCCAAAAGTAACAAAATCCACCTACCAACAGAGCTCACTCATTAACAAGTTTAATCCTTAAAAAACCCCAAAGTTAAAAATGTCCAGTTACAGTTTTATTGGGTGTTATTGCCAAACAATATCTTGGCCGCAGTAACTTCGTAAAGACCACAAAGCCACAATGTGTAGTTTTTACACTAGTGCAGACTTTTGTGCAGATTAAACAAACAAAATATGTGTTAATTAATTAACAATTAATTGATTAATTTGTTTTGGTGTATGGTATTGATATTGAACATTTAGTGGTGTTCCCACAGAATCCCTCTTTGTCCGACCACTGTTTGATAACTTTTGAGTTTGTATTGCTGAACTACTCGCCACTGGGCAAAAATTTCTATACAAGATGTCTGTCTGATAGTGCTGTAGCTAAATTTAAGGATGCGATTCCATCAGCTCTAAATACATTATCAAGTCACAAGGTATCGGAGGACTCCTATGCTAATTTCAGTCCCTCCCAAATCGATCATCTTGTTGATAGTGCTGCAGGCTCGCTGCGAATGACACTGGACTCTGTAGCCCCTCTAAAAAAGAAAATACTAAAACAAAGACGGTTAGCTCCATGGTATAATACTGAAACTCGCAAATTAAAGCAAATATCGCGGAAACTTGAGAGGAATTGGCGTTCCACCAAAGTGGAAAATTCTTGTTTAATTTGGCAAGATAGTCTTCAAACTTATAGGAACGCCCTCCGTAATTCCAGAGCAGCGTACTACTCGTCATTAATAGAGGAAAATAGGAACAACCCCAGGTTTCTTTTCAGCACTGTAGCCAGGCTGACAGAGAGTCACAGCTCTATTGAGCCAAGTATTCCCATAGCTCTCAGTAGTTACGACTTCATGAGCTTCTTTAATGATAAAATTCTAGCTATTAGACACAAAATTCACCAAGACCTGCCCTCAACTGGCAACAACTTATCTCTTAACTCAGGAACCTTAGAAACAGCTGTAGAACCAGATATATGTTTAGACTGTTTTGCTTCCCTCAATCTTTACCAACTAACTTTAATTTCTTCATCTAAACCATCAACCTGCCTCTTAGACCCCATCCCGACTAGGTTGCTTAAAGTCAGCACTTCTATGCTAGATATAATCAATCTATCTTTATCAACAGGCTATGTACCACAGTACTTTAAAGTAGCTGTAATTAAACCTCTTCTGAAAAAGCCCAACCTTGATCCGGATGTTTTAGCCAACTATAGACCTATATCTTCCATTTCTCTCTAAGGTTCTGGAGAAAGCAGTTGCTAAACAGCTGTGTGACTTTCTACAGAGCAATAGTTTATTTGAGGATTTTCAGTCAGGATTTAGAGCTCATCATAGCACAGAGACAGCACTGGTGAAAATTACTAACGACCTCCTTATTGCATCAGACAAAGGACTTGTCTCTGTACTGGTTTTATTAGATCTTAGTGCTTCATTTGATACCATTGATCATCAGATCCTATTGCAGAGACTGGAACATTTCATTGGCATTAAAGGAACCGCTCTAAGCTGGTTTAAGGCCTATTTATCAGATCAATTTCAGTTTGTACATGTTAACGATGAGTCCTCCATGCATGCCAAAGTTAGTCATGGAGTTCCACAAGGATCTGTGCTCGGACCAATCCTCTTCACTTTATATATGCTTCCTTTAGGCAATATTATCAGGAAATATTCCATAAGCTTTCATTGTTATGCAGATGATACTCAGTTATATCTATCGATCAAACCAGATGAAACTCATCAGTTAGCTAAACTTCAAATGTGCCTTCAGGATGTTAAAACCTGGATGACCTGTAATTTTCTAATGTTAAACTCAGATAAAACTGAAGTTATCGCTTGAGGACTCCGATGCACCGCTCAACGAGGGACCTAGTGGTGGTGTGGATGGTGTTATACCGTTGTTCTTGCTCAGTCCTCGGAGCAATTATAGGATTCATCAGCCAGTGTTTCAGTGGGTATCCACTGTCACCGAGAAGCAGCCCATTTACTCTTCCAGCCTCGAAATCCTGGTATAACGCACTCTCTCGGAGGATGCGTGCATCATGGGTAGATCCAGGCCATCTTGCCACCAAATTAAAGATGTTATAATTGGCGTCACAAGCAATCTGCACATTGATTGAATGGTATCCCTTGCGGTTGACATACAGATACTCATGCTCAGATGGTGCCTGGATCCGGATGTGAGTCCCATCGATCCAGCCCACAATACCAGGAATGCCAGAGGCCCGGAGGAATCGGTTTTTCATCACTGCAGACTCAGCCTCAGTGGGGAGGTGAGCAGATCGTGGAAGGCGACAGCTCAGTGCCAGTGACACTCTGCGGATGGCCCGACATGCAGTGGATTTGTGGACATTAATCATGTCTCCAACAGTGTTTTGAAACGCACCATTTGCATAAAAACGTAGCGCCATTAACAGCTGTAATGCGGGTGTCAATGCTGCGTTGTGATCCAACACAAACTGTAAGTCGGGTGACAGCTCTTCAACAAGTTCATATATATCTCTCCGACAAAATCGAAACCTCTGAATCAGCTCCTCATCATTGTAAATGTCCAATGGATTGCTTCTGTCCCTAATAACTCTCTCCCGTCTAAAAGCCCGCTCATTGTAAAGTCTGTGTATAAGGCGCGCCATGTCTTTACTGCTGAGTTATCAAGTGGTTACTATAGAAACCTGCCTAGATTTTTACTTTACGCCTGCTACTGACTAGGCGTAAGATTTATGCCCGGTCTTAGCGAGAAGAGGACTTAAGCCTGGATGGTGCAACTGTCATAACTATTAGGTCGAACTTAGAATGCTGAGTTAAGACCTACTTACCTTAAGACCAGGCATAAGCCCTGTTGGTGCAACCGGCTCCTGGGGCCTAAGCACCTCCGTGACGCATTATCTAAAGATATACAGTAGTTTCCCTTGATGGCATCGCCCTGGCCTCCAGCACCACTGTGAGGAATCTTGGAGTTATCTTTGATCAGGACATGTCGTTTAAGTCCCACATTAAGCAAATTTCAAGGACCGCCTTTTTTCACCTACGTAATATTTCGAAAATCAGGAACATCCTGTCTATAAATGATGCAGAAAAACTAGTCCATGCATTTGTTACTTCTAGGCTGGATTACTGCAATTCCTTATTATCAGGCTGCTCAAAAAAGTCCATTAAGACTCTTCAGCTGATCCAGAATGCTGCAGCACGTGTTCTGACAGGAACCAGGAAAAGAGATCACATTTCTCCTGTCTTAGCTTCTCTGCATTGGCTTCCAGTAAAATCCAGAATAGAATTTAAAATCATTCTTCTTACCTACAAAGCTCTTAATGGTCAGGCACCATCTTATCTTAAAGAGCCCATAGTACCTTACTACCCCACCAGAGCACTGCGCTTCCAGAATGCAGGGTTACTTGTGGTTCCTAGAGTCTCCAAAAGTAGACTAGGAGCCAGAGCGTTCAGCTATCAAGCTCCTCTCCTGTGGAACCAGGTTCCAGTTTGGGTTCAGGAGGCAGACACCATCTCCACATTTAAGAGTAGGCTTAAGACTTTCCTCTTTGATAAAGCTTATTGTTAGGGCTGGCTCAGGTGAGTCCTGAACCATCCCTTAGTTATGCTGCTATAGGCCTAGACTGCCGGGGGATTTCCTATGATGCACTGAGCTCCTCTCTCCTCTACTTTCTCTCCCTCTGTATGCAACCTCATCCTATTATTGCATGTTACTAACACAACTTCTCCCCTTTCCGGTAGTCTTGTGCTTTCTCGTCCCTCTCCTCTCTCCTCCTATCACTTCCTGCAGGTGTTTCTGGCTCTGGAGCTGTGGAGTCTGGATCTGTGGTTGCAGGTCACCTGCTGCCCCTGTGTTCCTGCTCGACACCCTCTGCTGCAACAACTATTGTTACTAGTCCTATTGTTATTATTGTTATTATAATCATTAACATTACGATTGTTATCATTAACACTACTATAAATATCTATACCATTTTTCATTTAGTCTATAGCAACATCACCTTTACTGTCTGTACCTCTGTGTGTATATTGTGTAGGCTGCCTCCCAACCCCTCTCTCTCTCTCCTTCCATCCCTTCTCTTTTTCTCTCTGTTCCCTCTCTCTCTCTCTCTCTCTCTCTGTTCCCTTCTTCCTTCACCCCAACTGGTCGAGGCAGATGGCCGCCCACCCTGAGCCATGGTTCTGCTCGAGGTTTCTGCCTCTTAAAAGGAAGTTTTTCCTTGCCTCTGTCGCCTAGTGCTGCTCTTGGTGGGAACTGTTGGGTTTCTGTAAATAGCATCATAGAGTACGGTCTAGACCTGCTCTTTTATGAAAAGCTCTGTGAGATAACTGTTGTTGTGATTTGGTGCTATATAAATAAAATTGAATTGAATAGAACTGAATTAGTGAGCTTTAGCTAACTGGCTGTAGCTTTATATTTACTGTACAGACATTAGAGTGGAAAACTCAACAAGAAGGAGGAAATGTAAAAATATCCCTTCAACAATTTCCTTATTGTTTTTTTAAATTATGAACTAAATGTATGAATATATAAATTTGCTAAATTTAAGAGAAATTATAATTCTGTAGGCTATTAAACTAATTATAAGATACTATGTGGCTAAATCAGAATTCTAACTTGCTGTACCCTGACAGCTGGATTATAACAGGTGCGGACAACTGCCCATGGACCCCAGATGTCCAGAGGCCTGGAAAGTTACTGTGTCTCAAGTATTTTGTAAGAGTTTTTGAATCGATGCCAAAACCACACAAAAAAAAACTGAGGCCAGGTAGTATCTTATTCTAGCATTGACCTACAGCTATATCAGAATTGTGAAATAAAGTTTAAATTGTTTCACTTCTAACTTTCTCCTATCTTTTTTTTTTTTTTTACCTCCACACAGTAATGTCTATTACAGACGTATCTGTCTAACTATTAAGTCAGCAAAATGCTGAGAGATGCTGTTGCAGGAATCTGTGCGACCCGCCCAAACATTGAAGCGTGGGCGCGCTCACGTTGTTTATCGTGAGCGTGCCTCGCCCATCACTGTACCTCTCACTTGTGCTGAGTTCATGTAAGTTGGAAAGACTATCTTTTTATTTTGGAGCAGGTAAAATAGGCTACGCCATTATAATCAAGCATGTGACAGACAAAAAGAGGCTCATTTCAACATCATTCGACTAAAGCTTTCCGTAGACTTTTGATATACTAAGCCCACGTGATTTTTTGATAGTTTCTTTAATGGGTTTATAAATAAACCACACCGTATTTTGTCACTTCATTTGCTTGAAGGCACTTTGTTATTTCACATTATTTCTGTATGAGTGTCGCCACAATTCAATTTATTTAAGAAACCAATGTTGTTTTGCGTAAAACAAATGTCCAACGCAGCATTTGCCAGTGAACCACATTATTTTTGGCAAATCTGAATGTCCTGCTTCATTTCAGTACAGACTGGATATCAAATGGTTAAACTGCTCCCTTGACAGTTGAGGTGGAAGTTACATTCAGTTGGTTTCCTACGACACTTGAATGCAACAGCGGACTTGGGTGAGCTCAGCCCTCCTCGCTGTCTGTATCGATGAAGTTGTTTCAAAGATGGCGGATTTCCTGCCGTCCCGCTCCTTCTTATCTGTATGTTTCCCCAATTGTCTCCTCACAAGCGGCGAGGTAGAACAGTTGCGGAAATCTAAAGAGATAGATAAGTGTATTAATCGAGATAAGACTTATGTAAAAAGGCTAGTAAAGATCTTATTACTTGGAGCAGGCGAGAGCGGCAAGTCCACTTTTCTCAAGCAGATGCGCATTATCCATGGGCAGGACTTCGATCAGAAGGCCAAAGAAGAATTCAAAGCCACGATTTTTAGTAATGTTATAAAAGGTAAGTCTACTGTAAACCCTCTCTGTTTTTAAAATATGGAAGCTGGCTTGTTTTGAACTCTGCATTGGTCACCTACCTAAGTGTGTAAAGAGTACTGAAAGAGAAGTTGGTTGCCAAGCTAGCTGCAGCTGAACCGATTGGAGGGGCACTTTTCTGTGTTCGACAAAGCTGGTTAAGCGTCGAAGAAACGCCCATGTGATTTTTGTTTGTCTAAGCGGTGGGACTGAAGGACACAGCGCAGTGGGGCCAGAAATGGTGGAATGTTTTCCTTTCTAAATGTGAATTCACGCGTAACGTACAAAATGGTTTGACGTTGTCCGAGTGTTTTCCTCATTGCTGCTGTTAGCACTGAAACATGTCACTCTGTAGTTACTGTATGGAGAGAGCATCACACGCTCCAAACTGTGCCTGTTTACTATTAACTTGACCATCATCAAATAGGACATTGGAAGGTCCTTTATAGGGGAACTAAGTTACAGCATGACTGAACACTGAACCGTTTCTGAAAGTTGACACATTGATAAATGAAACCGCACCCTCAATCGGTCTTTTACGAAATTTACAGGAAGAGTAATGCATCATCTTACAATACAAGCTATCTTTTTGTGCTTGGATATTGATTGTTATTGCTTTTTGAATGACGTATGGCTTCTCCAAACAGTTACAATCCACCTATCTCGGCAGAGTTTCTGAAATCCGTCTGACCGTTATGTTAGAGCAACATTTAGCAGTCTGCTAACAGACTTCATTAATGAGCCGATGAAGTTGTGTCTTAGCTTTGAAATGTGCCCACAACAACGCACACATTGCATTATGGCAATTTATGACATTTGGTATTAACCCAGGTCATTGTGGAAGGAAACCACACACAAACATGTGAGCTGTTGCCTTAAGATGAGTCAGAGTAACCGAAGAATATCACAGTAAACCTGCTGAGGAAGGTGCAGCGTGTTCAACATTGTTTTGGCTTGTTGGTGTTTCCCAATATTGACCTGCATCACAGAAATGATGTTCACTAATGTGTGTGGTCGTATTGTTTTTTCCTTTGTTGACTTCACTGTCGTGACTGTCTCCCACTGCTGACCCATCCTCATTTTCTAATACCAGCAACACAGCATTGTGTCCCCTTATGTGTGCAGTAAGTTCCTGCTGCTGTTCGCCTATCCACATCATGTTGTGAAACTGATGAAAGTGGTTAGTGGCTACTTGGCACTAAAAGCCATACAGTGTATGGCATAAACTGTTCCCTTCATAGGAAAGCATTCCCTGTGAAAATCAACTACAGGAAGTGTTGAGTTTGCATTAAAACATGCTAACATTGCTCCTATGTTCTCTTGTTTCTGTGTTGTTGCTTATGATGCTTGATTTAAATTTTTAGGCATCTGGTTAAAAGCACTGAGGCGACCTCAGATTTTAATTGGTCTGTAATACATTATTCTACATCAGTAGATTTAAATCTTAATCATACACTTGTGTATTTTTTAAATTTATTTTGACTTACTTTTTCATTTACTTATGCAGTTTCTGCCAGTTTGGAGTGCTCAGTTCCTTATCTGCTGTAACCTAGGCTAATTTAGAAGGTGTGATTGACCCTGTTGTTGTCCTGGGGCAGGTATAGACACATTTGCTAGCTCTGTCCCAGCCACATCTGCCAAATGTACACAGGATGCGGCTGCATTGCATTCTAGTCGTGCTGCGGCTCAGGCACTGCTCTGTCGTGGTTTCCATGGCCACTGGAAAGGTTTGAGAAGCTGAGGTCTTTGCTTCAGCGGCCACATTTCTAATGTAGTTTAGCCGGCATATTTTATTTTATTAATGCTGCTGATTTAGATGTAGTAACAGATGCTTTGCGGTTGTCCTTGTAAATGATGATCACGCGTCCACCTGTCTTTGTGACCACTCATTGGCCAATAGGAGCACAGAGCGCTCTTCTAACTGTAAATACGGCGAAGCCAAAGAGGAATGGTGTTGATAATTTTTTTTCTTGCTTTTCCAAACTCAAGACGGCCAGTATCATGCACCCCGCTTCAGACGCCATTGTTTGTTTACATTCATGTTCCTGGAGGTCTGCCACCAGCGCCTCCTTCCCAAGCTATGATTGGTCCAGTACCAGAATTTCTGGCTCTATAATAGCCTACTCGGACATTGACCATCTTAACAGACAAAAAGACCGTGTAGTTTGAACCCGACAACAACTTTTGCTACATGTGTGTGAAGACAGTTGCTGCGACGCCTCATAGCTGACCATTGCTGTCAGAGCTTCCCTTCAATTCAATTCAGCTTTATTGGCATGAATGTAAAACAACAATATTTCCAAAGCTACAAATAAATTCCATTCCATCACACATCAGCTTGGTTAATGAAAACTGGTTGTTCATCTTGGTGACGTTAGTAGATGAATATCTATATTCTGTCATTCTGATTAATTTCTAGACATGTACTTTGAGTCAGCGGCATTCTATTGGTGGTAACATATTGAATCATCAAGTATTTGATGCCCATGTGGCCGCAGTGTCATCATTCACATGATCATCTCTGTGATGAAAGGAGAGCTACTTACACCAGGTTACGTTCTAGTGTTTAAAATGATTTCCCCAAATTCAAATAAAACTTAAACTAACACAAAGCAGCGTGTGTTTAAAATGTAGACCCTTTTGTGTAGGGCTGCGCCATAGTTATTTTTTATTTTTTAAATTGCTCGATTAATATAACTCAATTTATCCAAATTCAATATCAAAAACATGTCTCATTAATATTTCAATATGTTATTCAATCATCCTGACGGAGACAAATAAAGCTAGTTAGAATAATGATTATAGTAGCATGTTTTAAAATTAGTCTAATTTTCATGTCCCTGCAGTGTTATGTTTTAATGACAGACCCGATTTGTCAGATGCTGGATCAGAAAAATACTGGCCCTCAGATTCAAAAGCATTGCTGTGACACATTCATTTAAACACTGGATTTCAGCCCTTTCTCTGAACTGGAGAATCCGAATTTGTTCTGACATGGATTTATTTCATTGATGGGTAAAATAAGTAAGGTAATTGACCCTTCACTAAGCCACGCCCGAATACACAGCTGGCCAATCACAGCACAGTATAGGACTCTCTCTAGCTGAAGTCCGACACTTTCATGGATGCGCTCCATTGACTCTAATGCAAAAAGATCTGGTCAAACGCTGTTCCTGGGACACTTGTAATAGTTACAGTTGCTACCCAGAGAGGTTGATAAGAGAAGTACGATTTATTCTCTTTCCAAAACCCTAAAATAAATCCAGAAAAATGTTGGCTGTGGGTTGTTCCTAATGTAATGTTAGTTTGCTAACGCTAGCTAACGTCCTACTGAATGTAACGTAATAAAGCCCTGCTGTTCTGCTTTTTAATGATTGTAATAATGAATAGGGGCCTACCCAGCTTTACAGGAACAGTGTTGATCCTTAATATCGTTGTCTTTTGTCTCAGTCGTCAGGGGATGCGGTGGTTCACTTGTACTGTGTGATCGGTAGGTTTTAGCTCAGGTCATTTTTTTTTCACGTCAGTCTGACAGCCTGAATACAACCTTCAAATGTATAATGCAACTGCAAAAGTGTGTGCTGCTTTGTGAGATCGCTTTTTCCAACTAATTTGACAACATTTCTCCAGGGAGTGCAGTAATAAGACCGTTTGTCGGACCTAGCAACAGTAACTAAGGGCGGCAGGGCATGACGCCTAGTGTGACATTACGTTACCATGACAGCAGTAGAGCTGAACAGAGGGGCGATGAAGAAACATTTAGAAAGTCACAGAAACACGCTCCTCGTGGTGATAATCCTAATATTTGGGAGTTGTGTGGGGACAAAAAGGAAACAGGTTTTGGGGTGCTGTCTCGCTGCCTTCTTGACAAAGTGCTCTGGGATGACTTCGCTCCAAGTGTTGCTGCTGTGATAAACCATTTCTAATTGACAGAGCTTATAGTCACCACAATGTTGGGTCCCTGTGTAATATACAGAGACAAACCTTAGATAATGGTTTCTGGGGAATCCCTGCTTAGACCACACGCAACGCTTCATTGCGACGCATTGACGCACAAATCAGTGTATTTCTGTTATCAGTGATGCCGATGAGTCACCACAGCCCTGCTTTTGTGCTGCATAAAAAACGATGTTCTCTCACCACAGAGCCTGTAGTAACCGCAAACTAATGTGGTTTATATAAGTTAGTTTGACAGGGGCAGTGCGTAATAATATTTCTGAAAATACGCCAGAGTTGGTCAGAAAGGCTAATAAGTCATTAATGAATAACAATATAAAATAATACATTTTATTCACATTTCAAAACAAAGTGCTTTATAAAAAATAAGATGTAGGTGATAAAAGGAAAGGTTGGTAGATGTGTTATGCTGTATGCATGTGGGTTCACAGTAACCAGGTTACCACAGTGCATGTAAACATGTCTGAGTTCTCTGTCTGTCTTGGTTTCTCGTGTTCATATAAACTTGCTGAATGAGGCCACTGGCTTGGCACAGTGGGGGTGCCGATGGAGAAGCTCTGGCAAAACAGTTCAGGGTCATATGGAAGAAAGTTCAACTTGGCTTTTGCCACAGTGCAATGCAACTGCATCCAGCAACACACTGTGTTGGGCAATCAAATACATGCAAGTACATGTTCATGATTAAGTACTTTGTAAAGTGAAGGCAACGGCTGCCCCCTAAATGGACTGAATGAATCACTGCACTTTTAGTAGCTGCATCATTGAACACAGAGCAACACGGCACAGCGGAAAACTGCACAACAGTGTAATGGAATAGAGGTGCACTGCACTGTAGTGTAACTTGGCAGAAGGTATGAATAATTTTTCTTAAAGGGCGATTGTAGGTAAGGTGTAATAAATCAAAAACATACGGAATAATGCAGAGTATTTAATAGGGCTGCACGATCAATCTAATCGAGATGTCATCATGTGCGATTTAATAAAACCGAAAAGGTGTATGTGACGTCTCTTCTCTGTGTGCGCTGCAGTCCGCCCACACCGGGCTCTCGCATTTGGCTCTACAAACAGATACGTAAAGTAAGAAAAAGGATTTATGAGCAGTGTGCGAGTAACTTGACAACAGCCTACCGTAGCCCCCCTCCCCGCCCCACCGCTAATCGTTCAAAACATAGTTGGACTCATCACCGGAGCAACGGGAGAATTGCCGGGAGGACTGACCAATCACAGCCTGGATGGGGTGGGACATTAAAAAAAGTTTGACGTACAGCAAATCATTTAATGTTGACCAATATGATTATTGCCAGTTACTACTTAGCATGAACAAATTAGAGACTGATGTAGAGCCTTTTGCTTGCACAAGGATTTAATGAAAAAAAAAACGACCCACAGAAATGAAACAGCAGGGAACTGGATATAATATTCAACTAGTGGTTAAAAAAAGTATACTATCATATGAAATTATAATGAATGTAGTAATTGATATATTATTTTTTATACTAGCAGTATACTATTAATTAAACATTATACTCTTTATTTAATACACTCCTCCTCCAGGTTGTGGAGACTCTGCATTAGACAGATGTACATTGAGCCGATGCCAGTATGCCAATATTTACCGCTTTTAGCCACCTCCTCCGTAGAGCAACACGCTCCCCTTTATTCTGTTTTACATCTGTTTTACTAGTTAGTGTTATAAATATTGTTTGCAGTATTTTTTGCATTTTCTTTGATAATTAAGCAAGTGGACTCATAGTACCATTTGTTCCATTATAATCTAATCACAGTAACAATAATTGCAATATTACTTTTTTTTCAATTCGTGCTGCTCTTGTATTTATAAAGATGACCTATTGGATTACAGCCCTAGAATGGCATAAATTTAATGGTTTTCTGTGTGTCTGGCATTTGTTGAGACAGGATAAAACAGTTGCCGCTGTCAACGAACTCAACTGCTGACTGGTGCAGGAGTGGCCTGTTTCTAAGGGTGATGTTACTTCATGTCTTCCCTCCCTATTGTGGTGTGGATATCCTTGTGATAGCATCACAAGTAGTCACTGAGTCTTATTTGAATGAGATTTAGTCAGGATTGCAGTTAGACCTGGTTTTACAGTGCTGATGGAGACAGCAGTGCAGAGTCTGCCTGGAGCCATCCTCTGCTCCAGCCTGAGCTCAGTGCGTGGTCAATAACAACAAGCAAGGGACTTACCAGAGAGAGGAGCTTCTATTTGTACTTCCATGATGTCATGGGAGGTTGTACACGTAAACTCTGAAGTAGTGCAAACAGGGAAGTGTGATGTGTGAGGCTAGAAAGACCTGCCCAGCATTCTTGATGTGGTTCAACTGAAAAGGAAAAAGTGTCATTTCAGTATGAAAGTCAGTTGGGGTTGTTAACATGTTGGTTAACTCTTTCTGTGAATCACTGTTGACGTTCCACAGAGCTTTTGGGGAGTCATCTGCAGGATTGACCCTTCTGGCTTGAAGCTTTCAACTAGCATGTAGCATTTTTGCAACCTTGGGACAAATCAGCAATTATGTGGTCATACTGAATGAAAATAGTGATTGAAGAGACAATCGCCAATTTTTAGAAGATTAAAAAGAGAAGTTATTAATCTTTCAACATATTTCTGAACCATATAAAAATTCTAAACTATTATCCATGACTTATTTTATATATATATGTAGAATAAGAATCACAATACATATTGAATCGGCACTCCAAGTATTGTGACAGTATTGAATCTGTGGTGTATGTTTACACATTTAACACCTCTGCCCCATGATGTCAGACCAGAGCTGTATGAAGAGGATGTGCACAGGTGCATAATTGAGCCAACTTCCTATTGTGCCTTCATTTTGTAAACTGCAGTTTTTTTATGTGACTGTTGCTGTGCAGTGTCTATGTCATGGCTGACTAGTGATGTGTATGAGCGTTATTTACTCTAGTTAGGAAGCTTTCTTTAGAGACCTTATATGCTTGCTAATAACTTTTTTAAGCTGGTTCTCCGACATCAACTGCTTTGTGACAGATTTGTGCAGCTGTGTTCATGAGGAAGAGCGAGAGAGAGAGGGATGGGTGAGTGAGAGAGAGAGGGAGAGGGGCAAGAGAGAGGAATGCGCTTGCTCTGCAATCAAATACCATTTTAAATTGGCCTAGTAAATTACGGATTAAACAAAGCATCGATGCAAAGAATTTGTGTCGAAGCATTTTATGAATTGATTTTATCGATTTAATTGAGAAATCGTTAAAGCCGTTTTCTATACAGTTGGTCAGTTTGATTGTTACAGTAATGGTGCTGAGAGTAGCACATAATTATGATACACAATGGCTGTGTTCACATTCCAGATGTGCCTTAACTATACAATCAAACGATGCATCGCTCATGGCGACGTTCCCAGCTGGAGAACGTGTTGCTGCCGAGTGCGCAAGATTAGACACCGGACAATTTCGTACTTTCATACTAAGAAGAGAAAACAGTTCTCCTGTCTGTGCGTGAGGCAGCTAATCAAGCGGCCGCAGAGCGACCTGCCCACCGGGATTTCTGTCGGTTCTCGGCTAATGATCAGTTTACACTTGCACGACTGAGACCACATAACTCGCACACTCTTGGTTGCATATGTGACCAAAATAGTCGCAGCCTGGAGCCCTGGTTTGTGTTATTGTATGGATTACTTTTGAGTTTGAAAAACACCCTGTAAAGGACCTGGACAGATCTTTTCATATGTGCCTGCTAAGTAGACCTCTGCTGAGGTTGAAGTTGGTTGAAGCTGGTGCGAGGTCACCAAACAACATATATGGAAGTTGAAGCAACAATGCTAACAAGACAGTAGGGAAATGTCTTATTGTTGTTTTTTCAGTGAGGGACATGTCAGTCAACTAAATGTATTTTTAGATAATCAGCCTTTGAAAATAATGTATAATGAATAAACAATTTTTAACTTTTTAACTTTATAAGTGCTGGCCTTTTTTCAACTGTTGCAATCCCTTGTTTCTACATGTTTAAACTCCCGAGTGTATATAGTTAAAATAGTTGCATGTCAGTAGAAAGCGTCAGTTAGGTCTGGCATCCTGTTAATCTGTCACCAACTGTGAACAACAAAAGAGCTGGACTGCAGTGTGCAGATTCCAGTGCAAAGCGAAGATAAGAGAGTGAAAGCTGCATCTTTTGGCACAGGAACTGAAGATATGTGGACAGACTCAACACACTGACCCTTGAGCTGTCAACTCACGCACACGCATGCTGCAGACAGCTGGATTTACCCGCATGTCAGGGACAGCTAAGGAACGTAGCACATTGTCAGAGCAGGCTGGTTTGACGGGGTGAAGCGGAGTTCACACAGCAGGAATGTAAACTCACCGCCTCAGCACACTGCTCATCTCTGCTCACTAACGTGCTCATCCAAAATGAGATTTTTGTTGGTGTTCTTCAGTATATCACCGGATCTGCTGTGCGGCTGCAGTGTGTGGGATACAGAAATGTTATATGTAGAAATTTTGACAGCTCTGTCTTTGCAAAAAAAGTATTCAGTGTTCCTTCTGCTGTGAGGACCAAAACCATTACAAACTGCATTTGGTTTAACACAAGTGTCACGCTTTAAACCATCTTCAGAGGTTCCCCCAGGAAATTGGTTTGTGGAGGTGGGAAGGGCTCCCTGCTTGATGCTGTGTGTTGGCTGACACCCGTGTATACTGAGAATCAGACTAACTTCAGCCTCTTGTCCTGTGACCTTCAGTTTTTTTTTGTAACCAGGGGTGGGCATCTTCACTGGTCTCAAGATTCAATTCGATTCCTCCACGATGCATCCCCTCCTGTGGGAAATTCTAGGCACCTCATTATGATTATGAGTGCTACGATGCAACTGTAAAACGAACAGGATAATGATGTATTTTTCTCACTCTGTGACTACTTGGTACTTTTAAAGCAAAGTATTTAGCAACAATCCAAAGGAGTAGGTAGTAATGAAATGCAGCTATTTAATGTTACTTCATATAAATGTAGCTAACATTGCATAGCATTACTACATTATTACAGCGTTATTACTGACCTCTGCTGCTGCTATTTTTATTTCTGATGCTGCTGTTATTAGTATAGAGTCAGATGGGGGTTGACCTACACAATATTACAACCAAACCACATTCACTCCACTTTAATATAGCTGTTCCTTTTTTTGTCTGTAGTTACACGTTTGTTTCTTGTCCTGTAAGTTGATTATTGTAATCTTGTATTAAGCATCATTCATTTCATTTGTGTACTCGATATGTGGCTGACTGACAACAAACTTGAACTAGCAGGCAAAAAGCGTCCTGCTCAGCTTCCACCTACTGCCGCCTGTCACGTAGCTGTCCTTTGAAGAATAAGCAGAGGATGCTAGCTAAGGGGTAAAATCATTAACGTTAGTTGCTCATAGATTTTATTGATCATGTGAAAGTTTAGTAGCGGCAGTCACTCATTCAACAGCTGCCTGTCTTTGCCGAACAGGGAGGACCACACGTCTCTGTTGTGTGCACCGCACAGATGGTCCGGAGCTGCATTTCCAAGTTCCGCCTTTTTCGTTCCGTCACCATTACGATATCAGTTAACCTTTAGCTAAGCTTCGGTTATTGACCATTATGAATCAATTCATAATCGTCCAAGTCAGCATGGCTTTTTCCTTCTTCGCCTGCTGAGCTGAATCAGACAGATCCACGGTCCACTGATTGGCTACGTCATTAACAAGCAGGCATACAACACACCTGCTGCCATGTAAACAGATCACGGGTGGCAAAATTCTGAATAAAGACGAGTTCTATCTTTTCGTCGACTTTATGAAACATGCTGATGGAGAAAGGGGAGCGGACACATACAGGAAGAGAGAGGCGGGGCAAGCCAGTGTGTTTGCAGTGAGAGACCAGTAGGTGTGTGTGAGTGAGTGTGGGGAGAAGAGGTCAGAGGAAGGTGCAAAGCAGGTCGTTTTACAAATAAGAATGATAAAAATTGTCCATCGTGTTTAAACCATTGTACATTTAAGTCCACCACCATCAGAATACCACTGAATCATCAGACAGAGCTCCTCCGATGCCAATCCAGTACAAACCATTGTTTTTGTACAGCTCTTGTTTTCTAAAAGAACCACATATCTACTGTATGTGATTCTTTTCAAATGAAGCATAAGCTGTGATGGAATCTGTAAAGAACTGCAGAATCTTTACTAGAATACAGTTCTGACATGTGTGTCTCTCCCGCTTCAGGTATTCGAGTGTTGGTGGATGCTCGAGAGAAACTATACATCCCGTGGGGCAACCCGTCCAACCAGCGGCATGGAGACACCATGATGGCGTTTGACACCCGGTCGGCGATGGCCCACGGTCACGGCATGGTGGAGCACAAAATTTTTCAGCACTACCTGCCATCCATCAGGGCCCTGTGGGCCGACGAGGGCATCCAGAACGCCTACGACCGCCGCAGAGAATTCCAGCTGGTGAGTAACAGTTGCCCAGTGTCCTTATTGCATTTCTGGTGCAATCCGTGATACTATATACACCGGGCCGAAGGTTAGCACCCGCCACTTGGCAAATGCAGGTAAACATATATGTCTGACTGACCACCTTGCCGTCCACCGTTGCTACGGTTATGCTTACTTTATCTAGCTCCACAGAATCACAGGGTACCTCACGATGCGATACAATACACGATACTGATAATATCATGATACAGCAATTCTGCGATAATCCATATATAGCTAGACTATCCTATAACCATATGCCCAAAATGGTTTTCTCTGCTGTTAGAAAACTGTTAGAAAACAGCACAATTCTGCAGCACGTTTTTCGGTCAAAAAGAAAATTACAGAACTATAGAGCAACTACAAAAAATTATTATAAAGGCACATAAAAAATGCAAATTCACTGAATTTACTGATAGACCTGAAAATACAAATTGCTGTGTGCAGCCTGTAAGATTAACATAATAAACCGCAGGGCTCCAGCTACTTACAGACCTACTTAAGGGCCTGAAGGACCATTGGGCTCTAAGAAACACATACAACTTTATAATCCAGATCTATCTGTACTCACATGTTGCCCCATAGAGTTTTACAATCCTTTTGTTTGTTTGTGTGTGTTTGGGCAGTGTTTTGTTACCAAAAACAAAACACTGCCCTTCACTATCTATTATACTACAGCCAAAATGATGAAAATTATATTTGTTAATTGTATATTTGTTAATAAGTAATAAATGTGTGTCAGTATGGTGCAGCCCTACTCCGAGCCATGTATAAAGTTACCCTTCAGCCCCTGCTTCAGTGTTTGCCCTGTGTTGATAGTTTGACATCCATGCTGTTACCTTTACCTCCGTTTACATGTGACATGGGATGTGCAGTGATTTCTCGTAACTGGGTTTAGGGGCTGGGAGTGTACAAAGTAGCACTGATGGTAACAGATAAAGGCTCCTGCTCACAGCTGCAGCTGCTCAGCACACAGACGACACAGATCAGCTAATGAAGGGCTGCTTCTCTCTCTGCTGTCTGTCCCTCTGCCTCTCCACACCCTTCCTTCCTCCATCTCTCCCTAACTGCTCTCCACAAGTTTAGATTCGGCCTAACCAGTGTCTTGCTCCCAGCAAAATGATCTGTAACTTGCTCTGCCAGGAAATGAGCTCACCAAGCATCTGTTTGGAGCAGCTGAGACCCAAAGAGAGCACACTGTGTGTTGTCTTTTAATGTTTCTCTGTTTTTAAAGACTGTACAAGGAATGCTTTTCATGTCAGAAAAGTCAATATGGTTTCTTCCCCAACGATCAAGCACACAAGTGCCAGCATGCATTCACATTAGGCTTGCCAATATCAATTCATGACTACCGGTATAATTCATATGATAAAATGTATCATATCAGCATATTACTGAGATTATAATGTATTAATGGCATGCCTACAGCAGCAGCAAGCTGGCTTGTGAAGCAGCCAGGCAAGAAAAATTTAAAATACTAGCAAACGGCCAATATGTAATTGAAACTAGCTTCAGCTCAGTGTAGACTGTGCTGAGTAAAACATTCAGGGCTGAACAGACTTATTATTCATCATCTGCTGATTTGTGTATATATATACGTCCTTATTTAGGTTTCATTTTGTCAGCAAACCTGGAAAATATCAAAAAGTTCAGAAAGTGTAAAATGATTTCTCCAAATATTGTGTTTTGTCCAGCCAACAGTCTAAAGCCCAACGGCATTCAGTTTACAAGTACATGAGTAGGGCCCTACCTACATTGCTTTTTCCCCAATTCCATGTTTTTCGTTTAAATTTTTCTGAATTCTGTGTTTTACAATTTAAGAGTGTGTAAACATGTGGTGGAGGAATACAACTTCAGCAAGTCAGTATAAAAATATTCAAAATGAACCAGCTTCAATGAAGTTGATGTATCATGCAAATATGCTTATTGAAATACTTAAATGGACGTGTAATTATTTATAGGGCCAAATCACAACTAACGTATTGCAACAGTAGGATATTAAAAGAATAATACTATTTAATAGGGGATAATTCACAATGAATGCATTGTTGTTGATGCTGCTGAACATATGAATTCATGCTTTGTCAGGTCTGTCAGCAAGACAGCAGGACAGCAACTTCTACAATGTTTGTTTTCTGAATGGAGCTCTGCCCGGCCCTCTCTATGCAACGCTCTGAAGCTGATAGGATATCGCGACTCAGCCTCATGCAACTTTCTCGAATCCCTTCGCATCGCTTTGCGCCGCCCAACAGGAAATCGTGGCTCTACGCGTCGTTGCATTGACTTTGTATTTAAACTCACCGCCCCAAATGCTCGCTTTGCTTTTGGTCTGAAAGCACCAGTGAAAACAGTGGTTAGTGACTGCAGCGTGTTTTTTTTGTAAAACTTAGCTTAATTAGGGACATCGTATCTAGCCACTGTATTGATTTGCATTCTTAACCAGCCATTGCATATAGCCGTAATTAACATACATTTACCATCCTTCTTAAACTTTGTGCCGAGCCCGCTCCGTGGACTGGGTGTGCAGACTTGACGCTTTCTGCCTGTCTCTTCTCTTCACCCCTCGCTATTTTCTATTTTCTGTTCTTCCTCTATTTTGCAATCTGCTCCATCAAATCACACACAGTGCGTTGTGCAACAGTAATAATCATCTGTGTGAAACGCAGTGCGCTGTATATACTTGTATGGATTAAACAAAGTGTAGATGCAAAGAATTAGCATCTGTGATACTTGTCCCTGGAGGAATCGTTTCAGCCCTAATAGTAATGTCATGATGTGACACATTTTATTCTATGAACATATAAAGTGGTGTTATCATCACATATTAATGTTTTTGATTTTCTGATTTTCTAATCTTCAACCATAGTAAACTGAATATCTTTGGGATTTGGACCACGTGCTCGGGGAACTGGTGGTGGGCCTTTTTCTCTGTATTTAAAAGTCACTATCTCTCTGTCTTTCTCTCAGGGGGAGTCAGTCAAGTATTTCCTGGACAATTTGGAAAAGATCGGACAGTCGGTAAGTCCCGCCCGCACTGCAGAGGCACCACCAATCACACATCCCCAGCAGGCAGGATGGCTGATGGAGCAGATGGGTGTGATAGCACCCAGCCAGTTTGTTGAATAGAGAAGTGAAACTGTTGTCTTCCTGTCCTCAGTCATGTCTCCACACTGGTTTGTTCCTGTGTAAACTCACTAAGCCCAACGCTAAGCAAAGCTTCCCTGTTCTCTCTGCATCACCCCCCAACCCACCCCATCCAGGATCCTATTAGCAAATCATGCATTTTCTAAGAAACCAGGCAAATTTTTCTAAACAGATGAGGCCGTTGTCAGTCTCTTTTACACTTATATATATGTAGGAATTTTAATTTCTAAGTCTGATTTTAAGGGAAGTAGTGTGTACATTCCCATGACCGCACTCTTTGTAAAACACAGAGGCACAATGAAGTGTCTCCAGTTAAAACAAAGCTCAAGGATTGAAAAATACATACAAGCAGCAAACAAAAAAGGAAAAATAAAATAGGTTACCTTTTTAAAACATTAAGTGATAGATATGATTCAGGAAATAGAGAAAGTGTGTGTGAGAGTTAGTTCCGTTACTGTAGTCAGCCATTAAGTGTGTAGATGAGCTCCGGCTGCAGTATAATAGTTAGTGAAAGGCTGTGTGTTGTGTTTGCTGCCACAGAAGTCCCTGTTTATAAGTAAACATTACTATGGTGTGCTCTTCACAGCAGCGTTGGCCCAGACTGAGGAAAGACTAGCTAGTTATCAGTTACGATGGAGGCTAAAGTCAAGTCAAGTAGTCTAAAACTGGAGGTCTTCCAAATATGTATCAGAGCTGGAAGCCGCAGTCGGGTAATCGGAGCGCTCAGTTGATTGATCGCGTTTCCTTTTGGGATTTTTTTGCACCACAATGAAAACAACACAGTGACTCGTAGCCGCTAACTAGCATGCTTTTCACAGTCCAGACCAACTCTGCTGTGAAGAGTAGAAGACGCTGTAGTAACGTTACATAAAGGGGACTTGTCATTTCACAGCACACCTGAATATGACGATATGATTATCTGCTATATCGCACATTAATCGTTAATATTTGAATGTACAGAATATATTTGATAGATCACTCAGCCCTACGCCACACTGAGTTGTAGTTTTCCGACTGGAGCCCTCAGGACAATCGGTCAAGTTGTTGAAATAGATGTGTGGTAACATGTACTCTTGGGTTGAAACCCATCACCATTCTAGTTAACTTGTAATGACGGATGTGTCATTTATTTGTACGTGTTGTTCCCAGACCTTCCCAGAACTATGAACAGGTTTAGTAGTCCAAATGGATTGGCCAACAGCCTTAAACTTCCTTTATCAATTTAAAAGAGCTTTTGTATCCAGAAACTCTGGTTTGATCCTTAAGTATTTAGTATCATTCCCTCTTTAGCCAGACTAGTGTCTGGATAACTTGCCAAACTAACTTAATAGATGAGGCTGCTGAGTTTGACATTGTTATAAGGGCTTCCTGAGGGAAGTAACCCAGAGAACATTACTGGGGCTTTCTCAGTGCTCCTGATGTTTCTGTAGCTGCTGCTCTTTTCCTGCTGGCACATTGAGGATAAGCACTGGAGCACTGTGGGAGTGTGTTTCAGGTGAAAAGGGGGATCTTTGGGATAATGTGTGTGTGTGTGTGTGTGTGTGTGTGTGTGTGTGTGTGTGTGTGTGTGTGTGTGTGTGCGCGCCCTGCCCAGCACGGTGTGTGTCAGTGATGACTCATCACGTCTGGAATGTTATAAATTATAAAGTTTATAAAAAGAGCACAGTGACACTCGCACGCAGTCACGACATGACTGGCAATAATGTTACATCATCTTTTGTCCCAAATAGTTAAAGATGCACTTTATTAGCCGTGCTTGATTGGCTAAGACTTGTCAGTGCCCGGTCCTGCTCCCCTCACAAACATGCACACGCTCACACTCTCTCCTGAAGCCCCACATTTGTTTATGCGCTCTGGTATTTCAGGAATTCAGAGTGTTAAACAGGGATGTCCCAAAGCAACAGCGTGAGAAGTTCATATGTGGAACACAGAGATCTGCATGTCTTTCCCCATCTCTTGTTTTTGCTGATCGAGTTTGTGGACCAAGAAAAGTCTGGCTTTTTTTTCTTCTCACAACTTGTGAAAATGAAAGACCTTAAAATGTACCACGGCAGCTTAAATACCATGTTTTTGAATGTAGATCTTAGATGAAAGCTGCAAAAATCTGGAAAAACCTGTCAAAAATAATAATTCTGAAAATGTGCTTTCAGGACTACCTCCCCTCCCAACAGGACATCCTCCTGGCCAGAAAGCCCACTAAGGGCATCCACGAGTACGACTTTGAGATTAGGAACGTGCCCTTCAAGATGGTGGACGTGGGTGGTCAGCGCTCTGAGAGGCGGCGCTGGTTCGAATGCTTTGACTCCGTCACTTCCATCCTCTTTCTTGTCTCTTCCTCTGAATACGACCAGGTGAGTAGGCCGTAGGGCTGAACGCTTAATTTAAATTTAATTGTCCTGGGTGATGCAGTAGTAAGATGATGGTTGCTGCTGTTCATGATGTCACATCTGCTCAACAAATCACATTGGACAGTGCTGCCGCTGTCAGCAACCCACTGAAAGTCCTGTAGCTGGAACTTGCATTTGTATTTGCCCATGTTTAGTTCTTGGCTTGAAAACCGGAGGTTCTTCAGTTCAAGTCCAGCACAGACCAGACCAAACAAAGACACAAAGAGGAGGGAAGACTAAATCATGACTCAGCAGGGATGATATTACGGCAGAAAAGTTGATCTACAGGGGAAACGGATCTGATAGCAGCACAGAATGACTGAAAGCTGCACTGACTTAGATTCTGTTACAGTTAGGCAATAGATTTTCACTGGTCACCTGCCACCTGAATTTTGTGTTTCTCTTTATATACATTAGATGTCTCTAAGTTCCTGCAGCGGAAAAAAGGGCTGTAAAGTATGTTGGTGCATCCCTGTTTGTGTTTCCACTGCATCTGAGAAAACAAGAAGATTAGGCAAATAAATGTGATAACAGAGAAACCAGGCTGAGACTCTGAAGCTGCTCATTGTGCTGAGCAGAGAGATCTAAACCTGCTGCACTATCCTCTCTGACCTCTGCGCACACATCTGCATTCTGACACCTCCAGGTGCTGATGGAGGACCGGCAGACCAACCGGCTGAGCGAGTCCCTCAACATCTTCGAGACCATCGTCAACAACCGGGTGTTCAGCAACGTCTCCATCATCCTGTTCCTGAACAAGACGGACCTGCTGGAGGAGAAGGTGAAGCAGGTATCCATCAAAGACTACTTCCCTGAGTTCTCGGGTGACCCCTCGTGCCTGGCGGACGTCCAGTGCTTCCTGGTGGAATGCTTTCGGAAAAAGCGACGCGAGCAGCAGCAGAAGCCCCTGTACCACCACTTCACCACGGCCATCAACACTGAGAACATCCGGCTGGTGTTCCGCGACGTCAAGGACACCATCCTGCACGATAACCTCAAGCAGCTGATGCTGCAGTGAGGAGGAGGAGGGATGGGTGGAGGCAGGAGGAAAGTGGGCGTCAAGGTGCCTTTTTTCCTTACCCCCCCCCACCACCACCAGCTTCGTAAGGGGAACGGGCGGTGTCCCTCCATCCCTCCACCCCTCCTCCTTTGACCCTCTCATCACTTTGAACTTTGACTGTGTAATAAAGCCACTACTACTACCACCATTCCCCCACGCTTGCTCTCTGCCTTACTGAGCTGGTTCACTGTGACTGATAACAGCCGTCTTTGGCTCAAAGCCACCACCCTCTGACCCTTGATACCACTGTAAACGACTTTTAACCCCCACTCTCAATCCCCCCCCCCCCCCCCCCCCGTCCCTGTCCACACCCTGCAGTGGACCTGCCGCCAACTTTTATGGTATTTGCTATTCTAATTCACCTCCACACGCTGTCATTTTTTTCTGTGCTGCTCTGACCACTGTTGCTAAGGGGGGAGGGGGGGGGGTTGTTTTAAATCATTACTGAGTTGTCGTCCAAGCTGCCTGCAGGCGCCGGCGTCCTCAGCGACTGTTGCCAGGTGTTGCCTTCCTTTCCAGAACTTAGTTTGTTTTGTCTCTGGTTTTACTTCTGCTTTCCACTGGCGCTTGGTGATGACATCACTGGGCTGGGGACTTCCTCTGAGGGCAGTGGAACAGGAAAGAACAGGGCTGACACACACACAGATAGGAATTTTTGCTCTGAATTCCACCTAATTCTAGTTTTCTAATCAATTTGTTTCTTTTTCTAATATATGGATATACTGTATGCACCTATGCATTTTCTTTAACTTATATTTTAGAGGGGTTTACACTTTGTGGATTTGTGACTGCTGATGGACTCTGTTACAGGTCATTAAAGGGGGGGGGGGGGGGGGGCTGATAAGAGAGCACAGACACAAACACATAGACCACTTTCAAAACGAAACGCTGTGCTATAAGGGCAGCTGGTGCACGGTTAGTTTCTCAGGGCACATTGTGAACCACTTCTTTGTGATTTGAAGCCAACCAGAACACATGCCTCTGCCCTTCCACATGAGTCAAATGACACATTTCATTTTACCACATTTTACCATCAGAGTCTGGACAAACAGACCTCATGGTGCCATCTGGATGGTCTGTATTTCCACCTGATATTAGTAAGCTCTCAATATGCATACAAGGTTCTCTGAACCAAAAGGCACACCGAATCAGAGCATCTAGGAGGCCAGGACCAAGCCTCGGGGCCAACAATGCTGGTGTTTGGCCCTTGAAGAGCACATCTGATGGCGTGCCGTCGCCATGTTTTCTGTGTGCAGTGAATGTGTTCATCCCTCTCCAGATAACACAACCCAAAGGTAGATCACGTGTTTATACCGAGGGTACATGGTGGGCATCTGCTGTGCTACGGTTTTATCATGTGGGAACAGTAATCAACCACAAAATCCCTGTAATGGGACAGAAAGGCGTGACCATGAGAAGTACCCATCACCCCGCACATTTTGGCAGTCGACTGTGCTGCTTGTCTATACGCTCACTGCGTGGACATGACTTGTGTCTCTCTTCATCAGAGTTGCATTGTAAAGCTGCACACTGAGGTAAGCAGTCCTGCTGAATCAAGAATTGAAAAAAATGGTTTCCAAAAATACCAAATTTGAGGTAACTCATGCTGGAGCCTGTTTGCTTTGAAAATGTCCTCCAGTGTCACCACCATGTAGCCTGTGTGATGTGACTGCCTCTGAATGCTTCTCAGGGGAGAAAATGTCGTAAAACGGTGAAGGGTGGTGTGGTTAAAGTTGAAAAGGAAGCAGGGAAAGTGTTTCCCTTCTTGCTCTCAGCAGGATTACCACCTGAAGTGTTGTGTATTATCCAAGTGATGATGTGGCTCATTTTCTAAAAGGTACCTGGTGATGTTCTCCCCTCTGTGCAGCCTAAGTTAAAAACAAAAGTGATAAAGCCAGTGTGACTGATGACCTGCGGCCCACTCTCCCTGTTGCTGTACAGCGTATGTGCAGTTCACATTGTCCTCTCAACTCCTTATTGATGTATCAGTGTGCATCTCTCACACCAACCGCTGATCTAACCTCCCACACAGATTTGTATGTATGACCGTGAGTGTTATTTTTATTTTATTTAAATGTTTAGATGTTTATTTAAACAAAAGCAGGCGCCTGGTGGCCTGGCTTACAGTGATGTAAGATTGTTTTCAGCCCTGAACACCAAAGTCCTCCATGTGCCCCAGTAGATCCGTGGCTCCACTGGTTCATGCTAACACTGCAGCATGTGTGGAAGGATAATAAAGATGCTAAAAGTTTCAGAAGTAATGAAGTTGGCCTAAGTTGAGCCCTTGCAAATCCCTGACTTTGAACCAGATGTACAGAAAAGGTTTGATCTTACAGTGTTGTGTTTGCTGAACACAGGCCTTCTAAATACATCAGCACAGCTATGTTGTTTTACTCTTGTCTCTATAGTTGTACTTGCTAATGGCAGCTAATCACTGAGAATAAGACCCCCCCGACAGATCGTTGCTCCCGCGCACCTCTTACGTTTTGTCTACACTGGACGCCTTTCAGCCTGGTTTCCTGGTCTTTGCTCTGCGTTTTAATCAGCTCAGCTGTGTACACAGGCGGTACAGCTTCGGTTTCACACTCTCATGAATGTGACCTACAAAACCTCTAACGGGGCACATGAGAAAACTAGATAGTGTTTGCGGGCTCAGTAATGACCCAAATACTGTCACTAGCACGCTCTTGCTCTAAGCGACAGTTAGAAATGTACCTACAGGTCTGTGAATTAGGGATGGCTGTCAGACGTCCAGTTAAGTGACTGTAGTTAGTTACTCTTTTAGTGTTTTAAAACCTTACAGTATACAAATCATGCAGTTACCTTTTTTAATGTACGCTACAATGTACTTTTTCCAAAAAACATTGGTTTCCTTCCATCTCTGTACGCCATGACACACAGACTCAAAATAAGCTTGTGTAGTCCGTCACAATGAACCTTTGTCATGGTGATGTCACGTTACATGAAAAGTCTGCACCGCATGGCCTCCTTACTGTTGTGTTACTCTGAACCCGGGGGTCTGCGCCAGTCTTTCACTGGAATGGATTGCACAACTCAAGCCATTTTCATCTGTGTTCATGGATTCAGTGGAAGAAAAGTCTGTTTCTAAAACAGCAGCATGATTAGCAAAACGGTTAGATGTACTGTAAAGTATTCAGGATGTGTCGTACGTGGATTAATCCCTTTGTTCCTGCAGCTAATGGAGGCACACGAGTGAGATCTGTAGAGCAGCTGCTGGTGTTGTGCTGCGGCTGAAGGCAGGAAGCTGTTTTTCACACCACTCGGTTCACTGGCCTCTTTTTTTCACAACTGCCGCCTTCACGTCACATGATTAGTTGCCTCTTCTTCGGCTCGTGTATTTCTGTGTTTCTTTTTTCTCCTCGGATTTGCAGGATGACTGGGTGTGAGGCCAGCCTCTGATATCTTTTACATCTAGCTTTGAATACTGGTTCCCTTGATGGGTGAGATGAAGGGGAAATAAAAAAAGAGACAAATCAGGTCCTCTGTCCCTGATGGCAGTATCAGCATAGTACTTCCTGTCCCCCAGACCAAAAGGGAAGCTGCTGTCGCTCAACGTATGCTCTAGCATGGAGCATTGAAGTCACATGGCTGATTTTTATTTTGTGTGTGTGTTCCCAACTCAAAAAGAGGAAGTTGACCAACAGGACCATTTACCAAAAGCTCAGTGAATTCCTCAAACTGTGAGAAACCTGTCAGCAAAACTCGTCCTCCGTCAGCGCGTCTGCATCTGGATGAAGCTGCGTGCGAGCGAGCGTGCGACACAAACACGGCCCTGTCTGGTGCTGCTCGGACAGCCTAAAGCTAAAGCCCAGCAGAGGCCTCTTTGTCTGGATTCAGAGTGTTGTGTCCTGTCATTTCAGGCCAGAAGAAGGCCTGTTGTTGCACAAACACACACACACACATCATGAAGTCACAGTAGAACAGCCCTGTACCCTGAGTTGGTCTTTGTCAGCGCTGAACAAATTTGGTTTTGATTGAGCACAGACCGTATATTGTCACATTTAGACCAGTACTCCAGAAGGAAACATGCGCTTACCAGCATGTGGGAGCTTTCAGCTGCATCTCACAGTCTGCAGTGAATGGAGCTAGCTCAGGGTGCACCCAGAGACCACCTGCTAGCATGTGACCCATGTGACACCTGAGCCAGCTCCAGTCGCACATGAAGACCAGGAGGTGTGTTTGAAAGCTACAAAAGTGATGGGGTGCAGGCAGTCCAGTTAGCATCCACATTAATTTGTCACCTGATCCCAGAGGACCATGGGGACCTGTCTGGGAACAGGGAAGAACTGGGGCCTTGTGTAAGTAGTTATTTATGATCTTTTCTCTAAGCAAAGTCTAGACTTGACCTAAGGGAATTTGACCTGTAGGGCTTTTCCAGTTTGGGACATATGTGCCCAAGGCTGTTTTGAACTATTCAGACCACCGAATAAAATGTTTGGCCTGGCTCCTTTACCATCTGCGTGATCCCGTCTTCCAAAAAAAAAGTTTGCTTTGTTTTTTTGGTTCCGGACTAAACCCTCGTTTGTGCTAGCACTGCGTAGGGGAAAGAGCTGATTGTAAGTCAAAGTTAATTTGAGATTTGTAGAACACAGGTGTTCAAGTTTACAACCTGTGTGAGCGAGCTTTCCTATGCTCAGAATCCTTTATGACATAAGCACACCGTTGGAAATGATCTTAGGGCTAAGTTCAAGAACATTTATATAAATTAGGCCTCTGGTTTTAGCCAAGAGGCCTTGTTTGAGTTCTGCTCCCAAAGCACCGCCTCTTTCAGTGTTTCACCCATGACGAACCAGATGCTCTGCCTTTGACTTTGCCTTGTAAAATTTCTGATACCGGTTTTGTACACTGCATCTTGTGTATGTTCTGTGAATCTGACTGTAACAGTATGAAGCAAATATTTAGATTGTTTTCTGTTTGAAAAATGGAGAGAAAATCCCGTTCTTTGTAAATACCTGTGAGAGGAACCCCATGTCCACTTCCGTAGTCCAAACTATGCAGCAGCACTGCTCCGCGGCCATGACTTGGTATTATATTGTGTTATGTTACGAGTTGACTGACTGATGATTCTCTTGTTGCCAGTGTCTTTATAGAAATGTGTCTGTGAAGAAATTTGCAAATGATCTGCCAAATATACTGATGTTCAGTGCCTCCTTTTCCAAGCTCTGCCTATAATGTCCAATCATGTTAAAGGATTTATTCTGTGTAATAGGTTTTTAAATGACGCCACAGCAGTTTGATGCCTCATATCAAGTAATTCACATAAAACATTTTCCCCCCAATTTGGGTATCTTTAAATAAACAAGCCTTCAATGTACAGTCTAACTTATGCAGTCTTACCCTTCTACTGTCCAATAAATCCAACTGTTTTTTAAAAAACATGTCTGTCAGTGTCTGTGCTGTTATTGGATCATTGCTTTGCAGAGAGGGCTTTGTTGTTTCCTACAGACTTGTTGAACTACTGTTTCGGTATATCATGCATGTTTAAGTACTCTGCAATTTGTTGATTAATCGCCAGATATTTTGATAACCTATCAATAGTTTCAGTAGTTGTTCAGCCATTAATAACGAGCATTCTCTGGCTCCAGCTTCTGCAGTTTGCTCCTTTCCCTTGTTCGTTTTAAACTGAATATTTTTGGGGTTCTAGTCAAACTTCTGAAGGAAACTTAAGAAGACTAAATTCCTGTGCCAAGTTTTGTGTTACCTTTTACAGAGGAGCAGTAGTTTTGTAGTACAAGCCTGTTGTATAATGATAAATAAATGAACCTCGAACCTTGAAGTAAATGAACAGTCTAGCTTTGGTAATAGATTAGAAGAAACGCCCTCCAGCACGGTGAATGAGAGTTCAGACAGACAAACAATGGGAGTAGACTGGGTTTACGCATGTTCCTGTAGCTTTAGCCATTCAGTTATGTTATAATGTTCTTATGGGAAGGACGGTGTACTGGTTTATGTACTACTCAGCATCCAACTCTTGAATGCGTCTGTTACATGTTTGGTAGCTCTTACAATGAAAATATATATCTTTTGATCGTTGTTTTTGACCCTGAACACTATCCGGACCAATCTGCTTGTGAATATGTTGATCCTGTTTGCTGCTCACAGCAAAGTGCGGCCGTGCGCCGGAGCCAGCAGAGAACACTGTTGTCCTACTTTTAACAGCATGGCATGACCGGCTGGGAGGGTGGCCAGCCCTGTTCCTCAGGAAGCAGCTCTGCCTTCTGCCTTTGTGCAGCAGCTTCAACCTGGATCAGCTCTTTAGGTTGAAGCAGATCTGATGTCTGGCTTTATCCAGCATTGTGGAATAACCCCAGCTAACATTTGACATTTGAATAGCACCCGCTCTTTGTGTGTTGATAAAATATTAATTGTGTAAATCTGACTGATGATCAAGCTAGTTTCAACTGTGATCCTGGGCTTATTGACTTTTCATGTTGAAACCCATACATGAAATCGTTTTCAGACAGGAAGTACTGCCTGTCTGTATCGGTTATGTTAATGGTTTAAAATGAAAAGATGTAGGTTATTGAGAAATCATCGAGATCCGTGGTATTATTATCACTTAATTTTCACACAGTTAAATGACCTCTTCCAGAGGTACAGAAAACAGGCTGAATAGTTTTGCTATTGACAACTTGACTAACCTTTGTATAAAATCTCGTTAAAGAACCGGACCAGATTCACTTTGAGCTGAACAGAAGTTCTCGAATCACTGGAACCAGGAAATGGATCTTTGATTGTCATTTAGTCACAGACACATTATGTTTAGGATGTTAATAGTATTTCAGATAACTTTATCCAAATCAGTCCCTCACCTGAATAATATGTTAGCTGAGTGGTTATTTTATCTGCCTGCCCTCCTGCTAGTCCCAGGTGGTGACCTATGAACAGTTTGACAGTTTCACACGTGTGATGGTGAACACTTTAGCATTTCATTTCTTTTTATGAAATGGGTGAAACTGTCGATAGCACTCGAACCCCATCTGTTCACAATAGCACTGCTGATAAACTCAGCCCTCCATCACCCTCGCCTACTGTTGACCCGGCCTCTGTCTCTACACCAGTAAACATACACCACACTCAAACGTTTATTTGGACTTTATTTAGATAATACATACTGAAAGCAGCACAGAACAGGCAGGGACCTGCCTGGCACTTATATGAATAAAAGACTGAAAAGGGTTCTAATAAAAAACAACAAATCATCATTATAAACAGTATAAATAAAGGTGACCGTGATTATGGAAAGATTGGTGAACTAAACTTCAAGTCATGTGGGGGTGTGGAGAGGATGTGAGGCTGCAGGTGGAGGTTCTGCACAGAGTCTCCCTCCTGTCAACTCTGGCCTCCACACCCATGCATACATATATACTGCATATGAGCAGCTCTATTCTACACTTTAATATGTTTAACTGTATTTAGTTAGCCATTGCATCTGAAAACAAATCACTGTAAACCCTCAAGTTTATTTGTTCTATGATTGCTCTTCCGTTTCTATGCTGTCACTTGTAACAAGGTCCTTCTACAGGTCCTTCTACAGTACATCAACAGGACCATGATAACACGAGAACAGATACACAGGCAGCATTTTTCCCCAAAGGAGGACAGATTGAAGGATGGAAAGTTTCTGAGGCTCATAGTATCACACCTTGAAAATAACAACACCAACATCACAACGCTGTTTGCTGATTTCAGCCCCCATGAATCTGAAACTCAGCACCCTGGACTCACAGTTCGGATTAGTGGTCACACCTTCTCCACTCCAGAGCTAAAGTGCTCAACACCGGAGCCCCCAGGGCTGTGTGCTCAGCACCCCCTGTTCATGCTGTACACCCAGGACTGCGGCCCCCGACATGAAGAGAACTCTGTTGTGAAGTTTGCGGATGACACCACCATCATCGGCCGGATTTCAAACAACGATGAGACTTCATATCGTGAGGAATTTCATAAACTAGAGTGGTGCTCAGAGAACCAGAGAGTAGGTCAGCAAAACCAAGGAGCTGATCGTTGGTTTCCGGAAAAAGGAGATAAAGACTCCTGTCTACATCAGTGCAGCTGAGGTGGAGCAGGCGAACAGCTTCAGGTTCCTGGGAATCAGCATCACAGAGAACCTGACATGGTCGTCTCACATCTCCACGCTGCTGAAGAAACGACTGGATTTCTTGAGGAAGCTAAAGAAGGACAAATTCCCAGGTCAAGTTCTTGTCAGTTTTTACAGAGGAGCAATAGAAAGCATCCTGACTGGAAACATCACCAACATGGGATGTGCACGGCCAGGACCGGAGGGCTCTGCAGCGGGGGATTAAAACTGCTCAGCAGATCATTGGTACGCATCTCCTGAGCATCAGTGATATCAGTGAGGTGAGGTTCCTACGCAGAGCCCAAAGGATACTAAAGGACAGTACCCACCCAGCCACAGCCTGTTCACCCTGCTGCCTTCTGGGAAGAGAGATAGAGGTTTCTGATGCAACACAACCAGGCTGAGAGACTCTGATTCACCCTCTCACTCCATCTCAATTAATGGTTTTTGTGTTGCTCTGTGTTGTTTGTGTGCGTGCAGCATAAAGGGACTACAAACATACATTTCATTATGAAATCTTATAAAATTACTATTATGTGAAGCGTTGAATGACAGAATACAGGCTCCATGTGCAGAGAGAGACCGAGCTGGAGCTTCTTTTTTCATTCTAAAACATCAGTGAATACTGCTGCAGTCTTATAATAGTTACCATAGAAATTAAATACCAATTACACGTGCAAGAGCAACAGCTAGGAGACAGACCATATGTACACATCGCATGACTACATTTTCATGTCCTGCTTCAGCAGAAGTGAAATCCTTCTCCACACAGCAAACGATTACAGGTAGAGTCTGTTGAGTTACATTTTAAAAGTGTTTCACTCTCCAGCCTCTGCTGAAGAAGTGACTGTCATGTAGTGGTTCAGCGAGCATCCAGCATGGGCAGAGAAACGCAACATACAGGTGTTCAGCAGGAATGAATGAGCCGTTTAGTGTTTAATGAGGATGGAACCCTCCCCAAGACCAGGAATCAAAGAGCACAGCACAGTAATATCACACATCCTCATGACACTTCAGTATCAACACTTCTTTCCTGAGATAGAGCTATGTTTTCCCACTGAAACACAAACCAATGAAACACAGAGGACTGTGAGAAGTTGTTAAATAGCTAAGGTGTGAGCATGAGCTCAGCGTGGATGTGTCTTTGGTCTGAGAGGAGAGGCTGCTTCCTTCCTGAGAAGCAGTGAACTTCAAGCTTGTCAGAATGTGAGTGACACCTGAGATTTGGAACCAGCAGCAGCTGTGAAGACCATCAGCGCGGGTCAGTGTTCGTGACGCTGCAGCCTCTCACACTGCATCTTGACTGGATTTGTTGTTGGACCAGGTGGCGAGTCGTTGGTCATGCTACAGTCAGGTTCATAATACAGAGACATTGTCCTGATCCACAGCCTGTCTGACTGGGCTGTCCCCTGGGGCTAAGTCTACATCCAAAAAGTCAGACTGGTCGCTGTCCTGAGACATTTTCTCCTCCTCCTCCGTGCTGCTGGCTGCCTCTTTGTTTCTGCTGCTTCTTTGGCACAAGCCGGACTTGGCCGGGCCGACCAGAGCCAGGCATATGGCACTGAGGACCATTCCCACTGCACAGGAGTAGAAGGCAGCACCGTAGTTCTGTGTGACATCCACCAACACACCTGGAAGACAGATAAGACAGCTGTTAGGATCTATACAGGCTCAGTGAAATCAGAGAGAACGGTAAAGGTCACAGAGATCCTGTACCTCCTAGCGGTGGCCCTGCCAGCCCAGCAAAGCTCTGGATGAAGACGTACACTCCCACTGATGACGCCATCTTCTGGATGCCCACCACGTCCTCCTCAGCCAGCATGGGGATGTGAGTAGAGCCAACGGTGCCCATGAAGTAGCCGTATAGGGCGCAGCAGACCACCAGGCCCCAAAACTCCCACACGATAGTGAAGGCCACCAGCACCAGGCACAGCAGAACCACACAGGCCAGCAGAACCAGGGTCTTCCTGCAGCGGACTTTGTTCAACACCACCCCGATGGACAAGCGGCCGACAATGTCGGCCACAGCCATTACAGAGAGCATGTAGGAGGCCATGCTGGGCTCCACGCCGCGGCTCTTTGACAGTTCGATGATGTAGAGCTGTGGGGCGAAGAAGCCCAGCGTGGCGAACAACCCAAAGAGGGAGTAACAGATGAAGCCACCGTCTTTAAGCACGGAGAAGTCCAGGAGTTTGGGGCTGGAGGGCTGAAGAGGACCTGCTTCTACCTCATCCAGTTCCTCCTCATCCTTCTCCTTGACTGGGGTGGGAGGTGTAGACAGTGACGGCTCCTGGCCCTCCTTGTCCTGCAAATCCCACTCCATCAGAGCCTTGCTTTCGGCTCCTGCAGTCCTCAGGTCTAGGGTTGAAGCAGAGAGCGAGGTGACGCCGGAGTCGTCTGAGGATTGTGAGATTCCGGAACGGATGGAGGTTCTGGTTTGTTCGTTCTCCAGCTCATAAACACTCTGCAGCTGGTTCAAAGAGAGAGACTCTTTGTCTGATTCATCGTCCCCCTTTACAGGCTCCGGCATAATAATGATTGGACGAAGGAGAAGCCCACAGCCAATCACAGAAGCCTGAAAGATGCCGAGGACAACTAGACAGTAGCGCCAGCCGATGTGTTCCTTTAGTGTAGTGAAGGCTGTGGAGAGAGGACAGCATGGGTTTGATATACTTTACATACATTAAATACTCAAGGTCCACTTACTAGCTTTTTCTAGAGATTTCAACCTCATCAAGTCGAGCATTCAACTACTAAACCACAGGTCAGGGCTGCGGCCAGTAATCGATTTCGAGTTGGGGCAGGCACTTTATTTCACAAGCATTTGTTGAAATTCTCTTTACCTCCTGACAGCAGCCATTACATCAAATGCTCTGACACAGAAATGCCAGCCAATCATTTCATTAGATCTGAATGAAGTGGTTGAATGGCTGGCCTACCAGTGTGCACTCCGCCCTGCACTATGCATGAATGTGTTTTGGGGGAGTGGCTTTGGAGGGAGGCCTGAAGACATGTATGCTGCCACATACATACAGACTCTCTTTGCGGTCAGCGCAAAATTCTCCTCTGTGGAGTAACTATGGCGACGGTGGACAGAAAGGGTCAATCAATGAATTGCAATACAGTGACTGATTGTAATACGTGGCATGTCAGCGTGCAGTCGATGCAAAACAAACCAGCAGTCAACCAGCTGCTGTGTAATGGTGAGAGTTTGTAATGAAGAATGGCAGATGACCTCATTTATTTTATTCACCAATGTAGATTACTCATCTTGTCTTAGTTGCATTTGCTGAGTGGCAGAGATGGGGACTCGGGGACACACGCTGACTTCAGACTGGACTCTGACTCGAGATGCGGGATTCATGAACAATGTTTATTTTAGGAAACGTCTGATGAGCGTGCTGTTATTCCCTCCCTCTGTAACACCAGACGTTTTGGTAACACATAATGGTAACATTTTGGTATCTGCGCACCGCTGCACGTGAAAGAGGACAACAAACACTGGCAGCTGCTGAGCCGTTCTTCATAAACTTTGGCTTTAAAACTTCATACAACGAGACCCAAACATAAGAAGCGCTGAGCGTGAACATGTTTAGCTCAGCATTGGCCTTCTAACATTAGCTTGCTTCTTGCTTTAGCTACGACCTTCGGGAGGTTTACTCCGACTGTCGTTCGTTATGAAAAGATGAATGAGCGTTTGTTTACTTGCCAAACTTGTGGTGGTCGATTAACATAATCATTTATGTCCCGCTGGCTGCCATCACGGTAATTATTAACGTCGGCTGCAACAGGTTCCAGGTTATTGCTGATCATGTAACGTTACAGTTTTATTTAGTTATAACGTTACACTGGTTTGAGAGTCTGGACTATGTAGTTAAAGTTAAAGTTAGAATATTTAAGATTTTCATGACATCATTGTTGATACTATTTATGGTCTAAATGCTCTCAGCCCCCCGCGACCCTGTACACAGGATAAGCGATTGAGGATGGACAGTGGGAGAATGCCGTGAAATATCAGATCAATATCATCATTATTCTAAAAAATAGTTCCCCTTCATAACGGTCATATTTCAGCTAACTGTGACTCAACGCTCACCTGGAGCAAATGCAAATATGGCAAAAGATTCTCCGGAGGAAGCGATGGCGGTGACGAGGGCACGTCGTCTGGAGAAGTACTGGGCTAGGATGGTGACGGTGGGGAGGAAGGTGAGGCAGTAGCCGAGGCCTGTAAACAAAGAGGAGAAGAGAAAAGGGGGACATCACAGCCACTGGCCGGCATGGTAGACCACTGCATGGTTAGGGGGGTGGGTCAAAGATCAAGGTGTCAGGTCGCTCCTTTGTCAAAGGTAGCAGGCTGCGTGAGATGACTGAGCTTTGCTACAGCTGAAAGACAAAAGGCATGTAAAGACAAAAAAGAGAGACGGGGAGAGGAGAAGGGGTTGTCAAAGTTAGCTGTGGTCTTTTCCAGAGGCAGACATGGTGATCATGGAGGGAGGGCTAGCAGTGCTTTCTGAACAAGAAAAAAAAGTTAAATGTGCTCTGATTCAAAACTCAATTCACCAAATTCTTCATCATCTAATCTTTTACTTTCATTCAGTAAATGTGTTCTATCCTCCTCAGCCACTTCCTGTTCCATCAGTCCTGCTCTGAAAGGAAATTTAGTGTTTCTGGGGAATGTTTTGCTGCTCCAGTTTTCCCTGCTCTGCTCTGTTCTGTCAGTCCTTCCTAGAGAGTTCAAATAGTGCGTGGTGTTTAGAAGAGGCTGATCACCTCTCAGTCATTGGACAGTTCTGGAAGAAACAGACTGATGCAGATTTTACTGTTGACACTGCTAGGAGTCCCTTTAGTTCATTCAACAAGACAGACACGTCTGCAGGGGCAAAAGTCAAAGTGACAGATAGACAGACGGACACAGAGACAGACAGACAGATACAGAGACAGACAGACAGACAGACATGTCTGCAAGAGCAAAAGTCATTCTGTAATGCCTCTTTTCCACTGCATGGTACCAGCTCGACTCGCCTTTTTTGGTTTTCCATTGTGGAAAAGTTGTACCTGTACCTGGCACTTGTTTTCATATCACCTCCGTCGTCGAGGTTCCAAGCGAGTTGAGTTGAGCTGAGGCGATACTAAAGGGTGATGTGAAAACACAGCAGACTACTTATTGGTTCGTCATTGAGCTCCTGAGGGGGGGCAGCAACAGAAGGTTTTAAATTTTACAATTTTCACAAGTTATTTCATCACTAAATCCATTTCTGGTGAGTAATCAACTGTAGATTTCAAATATTGGCAGTGTTATGAAAATTGATGGCGAATCAAAAATGTGCTAGAATGTTTTTGGAGTTGAGGAGCTCCGCAAGTGGCGGCGGGGTAAGCTAACAAGCTCACAGACCGCTCTGGTCCCACAGTCACACAGACCACTGCAGCCAATGCAGCAGAGGAAAACACAGCTGTAAGATTTTCATACCGCCTATCTGTCTTTACATTCTGAGTAATGTTGAGACTTAAAATCAAGAGCTGGTGTGTGTGTGTGTGTGTGTGTGTGTGTCGCGTTGAACATAACGTCATGGCAGTTGTGTGTGGTGTTGCTATGATGACCAGCTTCATTAAGGGGTACTGTCTCTGGGTACTATCTGCAACGGATAATGGAGAACGGCGGCCCAGAACCGAGTGGAGGCAAAGCAAGTTGAGCTGGTACCAGTAATGGAAAAGAAGCTTAAGTGGCATGTTACAGTAACAGACACACAGAGAGACAGACGGCTGTGCTGGTGTGAGTTTGGTAAGCACCTGAAACAAAGCCGATGGTGATGTACATCTCGTTGATGGAGGTGGTGAAGGCGGAGGTTATGGTTCCCAGGCTGATGAAGAAGCCTCCCACCATCACCACTGGACGATAGCCGAAGCGGTTGCTCATCATCGTGGACAGGGGGGCTGGGGGGGGAGTGCAGAACATTCATTTTATAATAATGATGATACATTTGATTTGTTTAGCACCTTTCAAAACATACATTAGTTATGTTTAGCTATTTAAACGGGGAGCTCCACTCCGCCTGCGTACTCGCTTTGATCCATGGGGTTGCTCTGTGCTCCTCATGTGAACAAACAGGCAGACTAACAATACACGGATAAACACCAGGTGCTCTGTGGGCAACAGCTTCTGTGCACTACTGTATCCCTGCTGGTACAAATGTATTTTCTTTACAACCTAACTTCAGTTCAAACTCTACATAACGATAGCTGACACACCCAGCGCTCCTGTTTATGCCCCTCGTCTTTTCACTTGCACTGCACATCAAGTATTAAATGTCCTTAAATGCTTTTTACTTGTTGGTTGTGCTGAAAGAGTACAAGAAAGGTAACACACATGAGTAAAGCTTCATGACTGACCAGTGAAGGTAAAGATGAAGACACAGATGGAGATGACCCAGGACACTCGGCTGTTGCTCTCCCCAAACTCTTCCATCAGATCCTGGAGGAAGACACCCAGGCTCTTGAGGGTCCCATAGGTGCAGACCTCCACCATGAAGAAGGCCAGGGCCACAGCCCAGCCCCAGCCTCCATCGGGCACCTCTGGGTAAACATTTGGACCCAAACAGCTCTGGGAATTAGGCCCCCTCATGGCTACAGCAGGCCACCTGGAGGGAGAAACAGATCAGTGAGATTATTTTGTCCTTCCTTAAAGCTGAGGTAGGCAGTTTCACATTCTGCTATTGCAGAATACACACACACACACACACACACACACACACACACACACACACACACACACACACAGTATATACTGCAATAGCAGAAAGTGAAGCTGACGTTTCATCACTCAGCCACAGAGACGCCCAGCCCAGGCGAATGCATCAGCTTTGACTAATGTGGGTTTTGGAAAGCCCACACGGATATTTTGAGTCATCATTTAAAGTCTTGAGTCTCTGAGACATCACTTAGACTCGATGGGACACCAGTCCCCAGTGAAAGCCAGGATGATAATAATATTGTAATTTCATCCTCAATCAAGCTAATGCTATACAAAAACATGAATAAAATGAGATGGTAGGCCAAAATAATTACGGTCCCTGAAAACCGCACACAGCACAAATGTGAGCATTTAAATGAACATCTTCACATATTAAAATTAACTGAAAACTGTCCTTTCAAACCCCTGGACCTGACTGCATATAATAGTAGCAAATAAAATGAACAATAGAGTATCTAAAAATATATACTTTTTGAAGTGAAGTGCCACAGTTAGTTGTTCCTGCTAGGGTTGGAGATGTCAACAAAATAGGCATTGGATGATGTTTTTTTACAATGAAATATCGGGATGGACATCGACATCGGGTGGGGCGCGCCTGGGAGGTGGGTGGAGATGGACAATGGCATCGTCTATTGGCCGAACCCTAGTTCCTGCTCATATATACGTATCTTATATAATATATATTATAGTTATGTGCCACCCACTCCTGGCAAACAATGTCTCCACCTAGTGGTGGCTGTATTGGACCAAGAAGAACAACACGTGTGCTGATAAGTCCTGTATAAGACTGTATAAAAGAAGTGGACGCAGACGTCACCTGTTGATTTGTGCACAACCATTTTGAAGCCTTGAGTTAGGCTTTTTAGCCATTGCCATCTTGGGTTTATGGAACCAGAAATAACCATATTTCAATGAGAGGGTGGAGCTGGGGAGGAGTGAGGGAGATCCCCTCCTGACTCAGTTTGCTGGTGAATGTACATTTCATCTATCATACCAAGTTATCAGTTAGCGCTAACTAGCTTGCTTGGTTCGCTTCGTGCAATCGTTATTCATGTTAACTGTGATATTAATTGGGATGCTTTTGGCTGGTGAAAAACAGGCTTACAACAAAATATACTTACCAGAAAAAAATTAACAGTTTCTTTAAGTTAAACTGTGAAATGGTCAAAGCTCTTAAAAGGAAACACAGACAGCACCCAGGTCACCATGGTAGCAACTTGTCCATCACAAGGTAGCCACGCCCTTAAGCATTCCCTGCTTTATTGTCTATTTTCTCTAAATGGGACCAAAATGTACAAAATGAACATCATGCTGTGTTGAAGAAGACTTGAAACTAACAATTGAGATCATAAACTCATTAGCAAAGTGTTTCCTGAGTTAGTAAATCAGGTGAGAAGTTGGGCCATTTTCTCATTGAAGCTAATGCAATCTGACTGCTTTTTTTCAACCAGTGGAGTCGCCCCCTGCTGGCCTTTAGAAAGAATGCAGGTTTAAGGACCTTAAAGTAGGATTGTTCCACAGCTAATAGCTTTGAGTTGTATTGGTATAGCTGATCAGGAACAACTTAGGAACTCCTAGGTACGGAAGATGACAGAGACTTTGTGTCCTTCCAAAGCTTACTCCTAATACATGACTTGAACACAGCACTTGCTTTGGCCCTAGTCTCTCAGGTGCTGCCAGGAGTGAGAATTTTTGTCTGAATATAAAACCCCAAAACATGTCTCAGCAGCCTTGCAAAATAAAAAACTAAAATAAAATCGCAACAGTTTGGAAGGTTATTAAAACATTTCCAGCAACAAGAGCAGCAGATCAGCTGCAGGACTCACGTCTGTGTCGCCTGAGCGTCGGAGGAACGTGATGTTTAACGAGCTTAATTACCTGCTGTAATCAGCTGTTCCGCTCGTTTTGGAGAGGAAGAGATCGACTTCTGCTCTGTGTAAAAACCTCCTGACTGATGGAAACTTAAAACAACAACTTAGGACCCAGTATTTAGCGTAAACACACCGCTGCGCGCTGGCTGCTTTTTCCAACACACGATCTCAGGCGGACATCGACGAGACTTGTGTGGCTATTTGACAGTTGATTATTTTTGGTTTGCAAACAAGATGAGAAGTTGTAGAAAAACAGCCAACATTCTCCAGTTAAAGCCAGTAGCCTCTACTCGCACATTCAGAAATTCACTGCAAGGCAGGCAAGGTCAAGGTCCTGTGCTGCACAACAGGTTCTGCTTGAACTGATGAACCTGTTAAAAAAAAAAAAACTAAGAACACCTGGCTCCAGGATCTGAACATATTATATGAACCATAGTCTCATTTTAAAACTGAAAGGTGAAACACCTCTTCAGGTGCATTTTGAATGCGCTTGCCATGTTGCCGGTGAATGACTTGTTTTTAGACTCCCACTGGTATTTAAATTCGTTTTTTAAATAATATTGACTTGTTCATGGTCACATCTTTCAAAATAAGATACAGTTTTATTATCATCAGGCTAGGAGTTCACCCCGACTGCAAACTGTGTCACGTTGTCAGGCAGTCCGCAATGCAGAGGAGGGGGGACGTCAAGGTGTCTTTGACCCACCTCAGTTTCTGCTGGGCTTACACTTACAGCCAGCTTTATATGTTTTATTTTAAATTAAGAGGAAACGAACAAAGGCTAGGTCTACTTGTTTAAGTGTGATTTGTCTCCGTCCCTGACTGTCTGGCGTAACAACTGGTTTATTAATGTCACATCATATCAGTAAAAAAGTGTTCCTCTCAGACAGCAGAAAACTAACGTTACTTGACGCTAGTTTCCGTCCAGACTGCCATTTGTAACGGCGCACAGTGAGCCGAGGCTAACAGCATCCCGCAGCTGGAGTGCCAAGTTGACATCTTACTTACCGGCAGAGTTGACTACAGAGGGCGGAGGAAGCTGCTTTCTGCTGGAACAAAGCTCGCTCGTCAGTTCATTGTGGCTTTAAAATGTTCCAAGCTGGAGAGAGCAGTTGTTCACGTAGAAATGTTAAACTGTTTTCTTTTTTCAATATCGCTGTTCAAAAAATAATAGACTAATAGAACAGCTGATATTGCTTTTGTCTATTTTCGCTTTGTCACAGCCTGCCGCATCTTCTATCTTCTACCAACTGTTTCCTGCCTGCTTTGGCAGCTCTTTACCGGCTCAAGCCGGTATTCCACCGCGGGCGCGCAGATGGCTCGGCTACATGAACGCGCAGCCGTTCCTGAGAGACGCGGAAAGACACTCTGTCTGTTAATATAGCATGTGGGTGCTCCTAATATTTCTAAAACAAATAATTTATTTGTTTTCCGTATTTATATTTTACAACAAATGTAACAGTGTTAACCACAAACATGAATACGACTGGCAATATACAGTGAAATACATATGGTCACAACTGATGCCTAGTCTACCTTTTTTCGTAAATTTTGATCAGCTGTAATTTCACATCAAAATCACAAATAATTCAGGTTCTTCGAGAATCCGGGGGTTCATTTAACTCCTCTGCCACGTGAAAGCTGATACGAATGTTTCAGTGTATGTACGTAGTGTACGTATTTTACCTTCGGGCGTGAACGCAGCTCCCGCTAGAGCTGGCGCGCCACAGAGCACGTGTACACCGAGCGCGCGGTTGCGGCTGAGACCAACAGGTTTAATCCAGTTGCAAAGCAGCATCCCGTTCCACACTGCTGTGTCTGTGTGTGTGTGTGTGTGTGTGTGTGTCTGTGTGTCTGTCTGTCTGTCTGTCTGTCTGTGTGTGTGTGTGTGTGTGTGTGTGTGTGTGTGTGTGACGTCCTTTCATAACTGAATCCGAGAACATAAATAAAGTAGTGGAGAGTGGAAGGACTGCAAGAGGTAAAGAGAAGAAAAAAGGATGAAGATGTGATGAAAGGGATTTCCTCAGGTCCTTTTTGCCATTTTCTTCCCCCTTTGTGCCTTTTTTTCTTTAAGCATGTGAGAATTTGTAGCCCAGCTGTACTACCTTACCACATGAGGTGGAAGGTTCAGGTCGGGTTAAGAGCTGAGCTGCCTTTGCCAAACTGAGCCAGATGTTTTCTGACCACATGGCGGCCCTGGTAGTCTCCATTAATTAAAGGGAATTGTGAGTCACCAGCATGCTAGCACAGGCACAATAAAGCTCCCTGGTTCAGCGGAAACAGCCTCATCCGTGAACAGCTAGAGAAGATGTGAAAAGTTTTGAACATTTGGCGGTGATTAAAGTTATCCTTAAAAGCAGGCTATTTCCTTTTGTTTCTATGAACACAAGGTTGATTATTCCCCTCAACACCAAAGAAAGCACTCAAGTCAACATTAAGAAAAATCTTATCAACCCATGACTCACCTTTGGCTGTTGGACAGGCGGAGAACAAAGAAGCTGGTAACAGTCTGCCTCTGTCTTCACTGTGGCCACAGGATAAGTATTAGTACATAGTATTAAGAGATTTGTATTGTTGCAACCTCAGCCACACCTTCACATAGTACTGCACTGTGACATAAGAAAGCACTCTGAGCAGCGTTATAAAGGGAAACATCATGAGATGCTTGAGATGGCTCTCTCTTTAACTTTATGTTCTTAACCAAAATGTGCAAGAACTGCCTGCCCCTTTCACAATCAAAATACACTGGATTTTTATTTAGCCTAAAATAATTGTTGCTATTTGAAGTGTAAGTTTAAGACATTTTAAAGTTGTTTAATGTTGATGAAAGTCATGATTCATTTAGCCAGTATTTAGCTCTGTGGAATTTAGAAGTAACTTACCTGTGTCTCAGCTGTGACTGCACCTTTGACGTATGTTGAGTGCTCAAAAGTGCCCTGACCTGGAGTACTTCTGAAGTTTGATGCAGGGGTGTGTCTAAGGGGTGGCCAGACAAAGTCCAGCCCTGGAATTTGATAGGACACCCCAGGTGACAAACAGCAATTTCTAAATGGGTATCTACTACTGTATTTGGTGGTAAAATTGGAGCACTTTGCCATTTAAATTCAAGATATAACAATGTTTAACCATTCAACACTGGCATGTTGACGTTAGAGCAAGATAAACATTTGTCATCTGGGCAGCCGTTTTATGTGTGATGGCCGTTGTTGACAGATGTTAAAGCTCCATATCATTTTGTGTGTCATTCTTGATAAGGGCATGATGGCAACATCCTTTCTGTCAGCCTTTGCTTTTGAGATTTCAGTAAAATCCAAAAAATAAACTCAGTGATCAAATGTATAGTCCCTGGACCGGAATGCAAAATCCCCCCAAAAGAAATAAAATGTTCTTGTACGCAACAGAAACTATCTGGTTTCTTGCACTTGAGACTGGGTTCTATTCTTCTGCCCTTTGTGTTTAGCTGTCAGAGATTGTTTTCTATTGTTTCTCTGCTTCTCCTCTTTCCCCTGGGATCATCTGCCTTCCCTCAGCAGTATGTTGTCCTTGTAGGTGTGAGGTTACAGCTGGTTATAAGGGTTTTCTTAACGTCTGGCAACCGCACGGCTGTACTGATAAAGGAAGAACATAGTGAGAACATTATAGATATTTGCTGTACACAGTGGTCTTTTCAGGGTTCCTTCAAGTGCCTCAGGATGTAGGTTGATGAAGTAGTTTGCAGTTGAAATCAAAAAGCACAAATGATAACATGTATGCTATAAAAGTGTTGGGCTGGTGGATTTTAGAGTGCTGATGAAAGGGTAAGAAGCTTTCATCTTAGAGCTGCAACACATTAATAACTTGATGTATTCACTGTAAGCTAATGAGACCAGGTAGTCCAGAACCTGAAAATACAAAATCATGTAGTGTCCTGGTGACCCTAGGGTCTTTAAACACTGACAATGTATTTGCAACATCTACTTTCTGGGCAGAGACCTTTGTCAGCTGTTTACTGCAAACGTCAAATAAAAGCATTAAAAAAGCCCCAAAAGATATTTTATAAAGAAGAACTCAGAGGATGGTATTTTAATCATACCATTATACACAGTGGGAAAAGAAATGAAAAAACATAATTTATATATTACGAAGACAGGTGTCAGCCATTGAAATACAAACCATGGCTACCGTCATACCCATACTATCATTCTATTTAGTATGCCAGAAAAATATTGAGAATCCCACACCTGCCTAAAACGCATAAAGCGCTTTGAGTGGTCAGAAAACTAGGAAGGTGCCATACAAGTACAGTCCATTTACCGTTTCATTTAGTTTATATTGTGCTTCCATGATGCATACTCCTAAGTATTGTTGGATTTAATCAAACTGCCTAAAACTAAGACACAAGGCCAGGTAGTACACCATCACAGAAGAACTATTTCTTGGTCTCCAATTGCACACTTCTTGATCAAAACTTGAAGGTGACAGGGAACATTATGCACGGGGTACATACTTGTAAGAGAAGCTTTGTTGCTTGAGTAGCTTTTTGAAAGTATTATAAAATAACTTCTGAAAGGACCAGACTGAAATAGTACAGCTTTACTGTTTGAGTTGACTAGAAAGACTAGAAAGGCGCTATACAAATATAGAGCATTTACATTTACATACTGATCAGCATCACTGTAAATGTGCCAGTATATTAGCCAAAAGGCTAATTTTCAGCTGTTGTCTCTTGGCCTGCTGTTAAATTATCCATTCAAATAACTATAACACAATATGTATGATTAGAATAGGAAAAAAACAAAACATGAACATATGAACATGATAAAAAGCTGAGAGGAGTAAAGCAGCATCATGTAAAGTAGCAGCTGTAAACTGCAGGCAATTAAAACCAGAAGGGACACAATCTGACACACAAGCCAAGTAAATGAGAGCAAACAAGGAGGGCAGGGACTAGGTATGATGGAGGGTCTGGTTGCCTTTTTTATAAGTTATTATTATTATTATTATGCAAGAGATGCTGTATCATATATTTAACAGAAGAATGTTCCAAAACTGGAAAAGCAGTTACTGTAAAGGATGTCTGGCCGAGGCATCTTTTCCGAGGCATCTTTTCCTCCTTGGGACAACTACGTCCCCTCCGTAATCTGCCCAACATTTTTCTGAACATTGAATCTGGCAAATGGGGGAGATGCTTATCCATTAAGAATTTTGAATATTAAACAAGGATTATGAAATTTAATACCATTTTCAGAGAAATGGAGACCATATCTAGGGAGTACATTACAGTCATGGTATCTTTTAGGTTTATTATCCAGGACCTTGAGAGCTTGTTATACACAGACTATACCGGCTTTGTTATTGTATCAGCGGTAAGAGACATATGTGAGATCACAGCATGGAAATAAATCTTAGCAGCTTGAGGTGTCAGGTATTTCCAAAGAAATCTAAAAGTGTTGGTTGAAAAATGTTTTTGGAACAACTTGCTTAACTTGTTTTTTGAAGCAGAGTCTAAGATGACACTGAGGCATTTCAAACTGGAAACCACCTGTCGCTTCTCACTTCATGTATAAACTGAATTTTGTTCTGAGCAATGAATGTCACTTGCTTGTTCTGTGAGTAACGTTAAGTTGTTGGGTTTTTTTACATTAAGATGCAAGCAAGAATCTGCAATCCACTGTGTGACGACCTCCATCATCTGTGTAAGTTTGAGAGCTGCTTCTTCGCAGTTTTCTTCACGTATCATCCTGGACGTCAGCTCCAGTAAAGAGGAGCAGACCTCGAATAGAGAATGGGTGACACTTGATCCTCACACACTGCTTTCTGTTTTGGATGTAAGATTTGAATCAGCATAAAGTGGCAGAAGAAAAATATAATTTTGCCATTTTGGTAATGTTGTGTTTAACTGTCAATGTATTTTCTTAAACTTAGAAACAGTGCACATACAGCTTCCCCCTTATCAAGTTTAGCTTTAATATTTTCAACTAGATAACAGTTGGCTTTTGTAGTCGAGTGAGTGACTGAAGCCAAAATACATGGGATGTAAAATGACTGATCAGCTGTGCTGCTACACATTTTTCTGCTACCTTTAACAAAACAGGAAGAATACTTCCATGTCTTTTATTATTCCAGGTTGTATCAAAGCAATAGGTTTAATTATAGCATATTTCCAGGCTGCAGGATATACAGAAAATTAATAAAGATGGTAAAAAGCAGCTCCCCTCCTCTTCTACTGAAAGGTGGTGTTTTTGGGCTAAATGTAATTGAAGCTGTAGTAATTAATCACAGTCTAGAATGGTCAGAATATTGAATAGATCACTATATACTGACAGCTAAACGCTTATGCAAGATTTTTTACCACCTGTGAATATCTCTGAGTGGCTGTAAATGTTGTGAAATGTCGAGCTGTAACTGACCTCCCATATATTACCATAAACACCCACAGCCACATCAATCATTAAAATCATCTTCATAAAATCTATAAGCTTTTTTATCGACTGAGACATCAAATACATAAAATAAAACAAAACAAGACAAATTCTTTGCTTTGCATAGGTCCATTCTTACTCCACTATGTGTTTATTTCTTTGTTTTTGTCACTTGTTTTGGTCTTGTGCAATTAGCAGAATAATTTGCTGTTTTACAAATGATAATAGGCACAAATAACAGTACATACACACCTTCTGAAATATATCCAGGACGCATACACAGACACATTTCATACATGTTAACGCAGTAAAATACAATACAGAATAAACATTAAAACAATTCAGTTCTTTATCATAGATGTAAACTAAGGTATTATTAATGAGAAAAATAAAATGTTGCTACAATAATGCAACTTAATGTCAAGTAATAAAGCTAATGAAAACTGTGGTTATATTTCTGCTCCAGCATGCATGTCATACTTTCATAAAACACTCCTTAAAGATAAACTCCCTGATTTTTTTTAAGTAGCCAACAGCATCTACAAGTTCAGAAATGTCCCCTCAGTTCAGTTGATGTTTCGAAACTCAACAGTAAGCTGGAAGGATTTTCAGAGGTACTACTGGTGCTGTGACCAAATCAGAAGAGTACCTTTAACACAACCATTACGTAACATGAGGACCAGATTATGGTTCTCTCTGAAATGACTACATGACATCTACTTCTTGGTCAGTGTTTTGTTTCCCACTTCAACTTGAATGTTAATCAGTGTTATTTTCTCTCTGACTGAAAAAATAACTTGGCACCCTGAAAAACTTTTTTTTTTGCTGCTCATCTCACTTTTCAGCACCTGTCTGTTTGTCCATCTGTCCTTCTACCCACTCACGAGCGCCTCGCCTGGCCACCTCCAGTCCCGTCGCGGCACCAATTAATCTACCAAAACACATGAACAGACCTGTTAGTTTTGTCCACAGGATTTATCAAATGCAGCTCACGTCCTCTCTCTCTGTACACAGTTAAACGGGAAATTCCGGTACAAAAGCAAAACAATCAAACCTTTCAGGGCATTTTTTTTGTAATACGCGTTTACCTCGGCTGACATGCTGATTATTATGTGTGAAACAATAACAAATATATGTTTTGTTATTATTGCAGATGAATAGGAAACTAGGTTAGTTGCCCCAGAAACCCGATGTAGCTATAATAGCTAATCAATGGGCTAATTACTGTGTTTACCTTAGTTAGGACTCAGATGTGGTATTGAAAAAGGACTTGTGTAAAATTACAATACATTTGGAAGGCTTTAGAAGGCACATACATTGCCAAATGCACATCTTTTTGCCAGATTCTTTATTTCCTGAATCTCTAGAAGGAGGTGGCGAGTGTGAAGTCAGCATTGCCCGTAGACAGAATGGCCAAAATTGTGAGAGTAGGTTGAAAAACCGGAATTTTCTGGGGCAGGCATGTAATCTAGTATGTCCACTACTCACATAGTAAGGTAGTTACGTGGTGTGGAGCCATAGAGCCTGAGCAGGCCTGTTCTTTTCTGCTCAAACAAAAGGTCCTGCAGATGGCAAACTATTAAAAGTCACATCACTGGAAATGCTACACAGTGTTCCGATTAAGCCCTTTCCAAACATGCGATACGTAACATTGCTGGCTTCATGTGTCTGTTAAAGTGATGGCTTTTGTCATTTAGACAAAATGTCCTCTATGGCTTAATACAGACATGACCATTATGGAAAGATCCACAATGCTTGTGCAATATTTGCCACCTGGTGCATGAGAGGGAACGGCGTCGCTGTCGGAGAACAGATGTGACAGAATTACACAGAGGTAGAAGAGTGCTTTCTATTCTCTTGCAGCGTGTCAATTAGGGAAATTAAACTGATTGGCCTGTTGCAGCTTTATGACGATGGTGAGGACGTCCTCTCAGGGATTCACTGTTTGATCATTTATGAGAATTTCACTTCCTCCTTTCAGAATGACAACATGTTAAGTTTGGACATTTGCTATTTGCTCAAATGCTGTATGTAAATCGTTTTGGTGTATACTGATGAATGAAAATCTGAAATATAGGGAGAGAGACTGCTGCTCTGATTACTTCTGTGGGCATGCAATAATAACCTTTCTCTGCACTGCATGGAGAAAAAGCTTTATGGACTGATCTAACAAGAATCTTAAGGTGCTTATTCAGACATGACACCTACATATTAAATTGCCATCAGATTAATGTAAAGAAGTGCATGTCTGAAAGGGGCTTTAGTGATTGATTATGCAGAAACAGATAATGGTGAAAAATAGAAAGTCAGTGATTACTCTGAGCATAAGGTTGTCACCTTTTTTATTTGTTCCTTTTTTTCCTACCTATTTGGAATGACGAGTTTCACAAGCACCATGGCCACCAAGCATTTTGTTCATCCATTTAAATCAGTGACATAGTCACTACATAATCAGAAGACCTAAGTATTATGCAATCCAGTTCAACAGCAGCACAAACTGCAGCCTCCAAAATGACCACACAGTTAAATCAACACCTCGTGGGTGACTGGCTCAGGAGGTAGCGCGGATCGCCCACTAATTGGAAAGTCGGTGGTTCAATCCCCGGCTCCTCCAGGCTGCATGTGGAGCTGTCCTTGGGAAAGATACTGAACCTCAAATTGCTCCTGAAGGCTGTGCCATCAGTGTTTGAATGATAAGTTCCTTTCTGTTGTTCCTTTCTGTCATGGCAGCCTCTACAATCAGTGGGTGAATGTGACATGTAATGTAAAGCGCTTTGAGTGGTCAGAAAACTGGAAAGGTGCTTTAGAAATAAGCTTCAAGAAGGCTTGCAGGACTGCATTAATTTTAGCTAGGTGGGCCTAATAAACTGAACACTAAGTTAACAATTTATTACTAATGTGGATTATGTTCATACAACTTTGTCCAAAGACTCTGCTCTCATTTGCAGAGCATCTTGCTAGTATTTGACAGTCAAACCAATGTGTTGTCGATATTAAGGAAAGTGGGACGGCCATCTTTTCAGAGAGTAAGTTAGCTTGCAATCTGAGTTTTTCTATTTGCACGAATACTCTCGAATGCCATGCCTTTAAGTTACACCTGTTGTAGGGGAGCTAGCTATAGCTGACACTTAGCGCTTCTGGATGCTCACAGGGGGAAACTCGTTCTCGTCGTCTAGACACACGGGTCCGGCAGCGAACTCGTGTTCTGGAATGACTTCGCCTTTCTTTGCTCCGCCGTCTTCAGAGTAGCCTGGGTAGAAACAGGGGGCAGACAATTCTTTAGAGCATCCTGATACTATTTACTGCTAAGAATCTCCCTGCTTCTGTCTCCAAAAAGTATGTTGTCCACCACAAACATTGCAGTCCTCCTTAGTTCAAGCCATTACAGTCATAAGTTGAATAAAAAGGCCTGTGGTAGTTAACCATTCTGTTTAGATGGGGAAGCGATTTCAGCAATACAGTCAAGCCTTTCCTGTTACGCACAGATGGAGAAATGTCTGCGACTACTAACCTGTGAGGGTTGCAGTGATGGGACCAGAGGCTGGTAAGGCAGCGGTTGCAGCGTAGGATGGACAAGCCTGTGCTGGCCCTGTGACCTCTGACCCTTCTGACTCTGCTTCTTCACACTGGTCATCATCAACACCAAAAAGCCTAAGACAGGAAGAGTAAGAAGGAAGGAAGCATGAACATCGGAGTGAAAGCTGTAAATCAACTTAAAATTTGACTTGACTGAGTTCTCTGGAAAGTTCTGGTATTTCATAACCTGGGTCTCATTCTCATAATTGTGGCCATCCTCACTATGGGTCATGCTAACTTCTTGAACATCCTTTAAAGACAACAATATAAACAAACCTTCTCTCATTTGCAGCTACCCACATGCTTAAATGGACACTGACCCACCGCAGAGATGGGGACTCGAGTTTGAGACTCGAATCCAACAGAAGTAGATCCCTATGCGTTAGCTACAGTAGCTAATCCAGGAGGCTAAGCTGTGCTTACCTTCAGTTGGACAGAGAGACAAGTGTTTAAAATGATTTATGTAAAACTGAAGTTTTTTAGAAAAGCTGACTTAATTATTACCACCATTTTTAATTAGCATGACTCAATCAAACAAACACAAAATTATCAGAATGAGAACCAGAGTAAAATACTGGAATCTTCCTGTAAATCCCCCGTGTGTAGGATTTGAAAATGTCTGAATTTGTCAACTTCAAGTCGCAGAATCCAAAAAAGCCAATTTGCGTAAATTTGTTTTATCTCTGTTGTATTATGAATTATTTTTATGCAGGAAATAAAGCAACTTTCAGACAAAAGAAAAAAGCTTGTCTCAGCCTTAAACGTAGAAACATTTCTAAATTTAGCTTTTGTGGTGGTTCGCACATTACTAGTTCCTTTTGATTTTAAATTCATATCCTATAGTTATATATTCACTTAAAGGACATTTAAAAGCAAAAAATGTTTTCTCTTTTGTTACTCGGCTGTAAGGTTGGTCTCTATGAAAACTCCCTCTCTGAAATATTCTTCAGTAGTTACAGGAGAATCTCATGAGATAACATTGCCAAAGATGATTTAAACATTCGAAAAAATTATCCAGCTCATTCCTTGTAAATTTTACTTCTGTAAAGTATACAACTTTTGGTAAAACTGTTAAAATTAAGGCTTTATTAATAATGAATTCTTGATTGAATATAAGTCTGCTTTTCTTATTTTAAGTAAAAAAACAAGGCGTACTTCAGCCAAGAAATCTGACTGTCTAACTGTATGGACTAAAAATTCTGCTCTCAAGGTGAGTAGAGCGCAGGGCTTTCTTCCCCCTCTTTCATTTAGTCTAATGTTTAACATCAACCCCACCCCTTTAAAATCAGTTGTAGCCTCACCTGTGTTTGTGAGCCAACATGCACTCGCCTCCATCCAGAGGATCAACATTGTAGATAAATAGCTGGCCGTCAGCTGTGGCCACCAGCAGCCGTGGGAGCTTCTGGATCCTGAAACACCAGATTGAGTATCCATTTCAGTTGTTTTGGAACGTCCGACCCAGAGTGTACATGATCTAACCCAACAGTGAGAGGAATGTGGGAGGGGGGTTCATTTATACTTTTGTCATCCTAAAGTTAGTTTGCCCCATTACTGTGAGTCTTTTGTGGGTTGAGTACTGGTTACAATCGCTTCTCTCTCAAAGTATAAAACACAACTGGTTCTGTCAAGAATAAACTTAGAAGAACACACAAACACAGAATGACTGTAATGTAAAGACTAAAGAGAAGCTCACATAGCCAGAGTGCAGATGTTCCTCTGACCGGACGTGAGGAGGTGAACGGTGGCGAAGGCCCGGTCCTGACTCATCATGCCGGATACCTGAGCAGGGAAATAGCTGCTGGCTGCTGAGAACATCTTCCCCACGTAGGCTGTCCAGGTGGCAGCCTCTTCCCCTCCACTACAGACAGGGTAACAAGCCTCCTTTAGAACAAGTTTATGCTCACAGAGATTTCGGCTTTCTTACAGTGCAAATGCTTTGCTTTTGGTTTTCCGATTTGCTTATATTTTTAGTTCTAATAAAAGTTATAGAAAGTGGATCCTGGATACTAATAAATCACTGGGACTTTAATTTATGAAAGACACAGAAGGCTGCCATAGTATTTCTTTTATCACTTTTATTACTTCTCAGGTACTGCATGGCCCAGAAACAGCACAAGCTATTTGCTGTCTCACAGTACTGAACTACAATGACTGGAAACCTGGGACTAGCTGAAGCTAGTTAGCAGCAAGATGCCCCCCTTCTCCACAGACAACATTCACACACTTGGCAGTGCTTGACATTCAGATAACACTGATTAGAAGAGATTGTGGAGGTGAATAGACTGTGTGGGAATAATACCACCACTGCCATGGACTCCAAACACTGGACAAAAGAATGCTAACACATGGCTAACTAACGCTAACAAGACGTCTAAAAAACAGGACTGTCTGGCAATAGATCTGCTCACACTCCACACACTGATTGTGGGTGATTTTACTGTTAAAGATGTAAAAGGAATTAGCATTTAGAACCCCAAAACATGCTGCTTTCCCATGGATCTGGTCTGTGACAGAATGAATCCCACATATTCTAGCTGCACACCCAAATGTGAAAAACATCATTGTGCACATAGGGACCAATGACGACGTGAAACAACAATCAGAGATACTAAAACAAGCCTTTACCGATCTATTGAACACACTCCTTGAACACTGAGGTGTGTCAGCAGCTCTCTGCCAGCAGTCAGGAGACGAGTGGAGAGATTCAGCACATTGTTGGAAGTGAACACATGGCTTTCAACTTTGTGTACTCTTCATTCACTGCACTTTATTGACAGTAAATAAAATTAAAAATGTCAGAGCCACAGACATATATTAGGGTAAATAGTACGTATTTGCCTCAAAAGTCAGGACTAAAACTGTTTATGTCTAACTTATTTTACTTCCTGTGTCATATATGATCCCTCTGCTGAGGACAAGAGACACAAGGACTCATTAGAACCACAAGACATAACAAAACAGGCCATAAACCTTGTATGGGAGTCACCTCAACACCCACCTGAAAAGAGTTTAAAATATGAAGTATATCAGAGTCAAGGGATAGAGTCTCTGCCCACTACCAGCTACCACCCGTGAGCATTCACTTTCTTCTCCTCTCCGGACCCACCTGGTAATAACGTGTGTTTTATTACATATTGTTTTGAATGTCATTCTAATGCTTTGCTTTGCCTTTGTAAAGCACTTTGAATTGCCTCTGTGTCTGAAATGTGCTATACATAAAAAGCTGCCTTTCCTACAACTTCATTTAGACTTTGGTGAGTACATTGTTATCCAAACTGATAGAACCAGTGTCCAGAGCTAGAATAAAATAAAAGCCAAGTTCAAGTTCAAATCATAGTTTTCCTTAAATATAGCATCCAATAGGGGACAGGTCTACACTTTGATGCCATGTGGTTAAATTAGCTTGTTGTGTTTTGTGTGTGTTTTGTGTGTGTTTTGTGTGTGTTTTGTGTGTGTGTGTGTGTGTGTGTACCTAGGTCCCAGTTGTTCCAGTTTAAAGATATGCACGGTCTCTGTGTTGCTGGATGCACAGAGAAACTGGCCATCAGGGCTGAAGGATAACGAGCTTATATTGACGTACCTGCAGACAGACACATTAACACACACACACATACACAAGGAATAAACCACAGTCTTCTCATCTCTCGAGGATCTCTGCAAACAGAGATTATGTGCCATTTAATAACTATAAACTATCAGCGTGTAATAAAGTCTCCAGCCACAAGTGCGTGCATGCCTGCAATGCAGTGCTGCATGTTTAACTATATTGGAACACGTTATTTAGTAAGGTTTAGCTGTGTTCATACATTGGACAGTGTACTTCCTTGATAAAGTACAGATCTTATATGATGTGTTTGATTTCTGACCTCTTCATCCCCCGGCGGAACTCAAACAGACGCAGGCCCTCAGGAACGGAGAAGACTCGGATGACGGTGCCCTGTAAGACAGACAGCCAGTGAGGTGCTAGCTTCACAATGGTTTACAAGAGCTACATCATTTCTAGCAGATGCTTCCTTAACATGCAAAAACTGAGATTTCTGTAAGGAACTTAGTGGTGTACAGCAACTGTTCTTCCCTCGTGATGATCTCCTGTGTTCTTGAGGTTACTATGCTCTTGTATCCAACAATAGAAAGACATTGAAAAAAAGAAACAATGTACTGATGATTTTGCTATTATTAGGAGAGAGATTTTGAGATGTAAGATGTAAAGTCTGATAGACCAGACTAGAGGATAGGTCATGAGGCTATTTTAAGTAAAATAATGAATTCTCTTGGGAGCCAGAATGTAGACATGGTAACCTGCCAAAACCTGTTCACATTTAGGCTTAAGGCTGGGGTAGGTAACGTTGGAGAAACCAGTAAGAGACAGCTAGATTTAGTATCCAACAGAAAAGTTCCCAGCGCCTCTCTTAAAGCCTCCCTCCAAAGCCATTACCCCAAAACACATGTTCATGCACAGTGAATGCAGGGGCAGAGTGCAGGCAGTTAGGCAGACAGGCAGATAGCCCAACCAATCATTTCATTCACACTAAATGGCCAGATTATTTCAGTCCTGAAAGCCACAGATACAAGATTTTTTGTCAGAGCATTTGATTTAGTTTTTACTGTCGGGATGTAAAAAGAATTTCAACGCATATAATTAAAGCCTATCCCAGCTTTAAAGATGGAGCGAGTGGAAAGCACAGTGTTCAAAATGACAGGGTTCTTCTGGAACAATGTGTTCCAGAGGGACGTTCTACTTAAGTCTCCTTAAGTAGAATGGGAGCCAGAGACTTCAGCCATCAAGCTCCTCTCCTGTGGAACCAGGTCCCAGTTTGTGTTCGGGAGGCAGATACCATCTCCACATTTAAACCTACATCTACACTACTACATTTTCATGTCAAAACAAAGACTTTTTGCTATGATTGCACAAATGTCCACACTAAAACGTCAAATCCAAAGACCAATAACAGAGAGGTTTGAAAATGCTGCTGACCCGGTTCTTGTTTTAAAACTCCAGGGAGGTGTATTAGTGCGGAGGGGCGAAAACAGACACTCACATTTGGCTTCCAGATTGGGTCTTATCAGCCATGCAAAACAAAAACACAATGCTACAGACAGTGTTTGTGTTTTGGTATTTTTATTAATATATTTTGTTCTGTGTAAATAACACTTGTACTGTGCATGTTGCCGTATTTACTTTGTACTCCAGTGTTACTTTCAGTAACAGTTCCACCTCTGTGTCGATCCATGCAAAAATCTCTGGTGTGGATCTCCGTCTGTAGTAGTACTTTCTTCTTTTGATAAATCTTCTGCAACTGCGGAGTAGACAATTGGCTTCATATTTACACCGGAACATGTATGCCCAGTGTACGTGAATGGTCACTAGATTTTCTGTTTAATATAGACAAAGATAAATTCTGATCCGCAGCTAAAACGCTGGTTTAGACAGAGATTGTTTTTGTTTTAAAACTCAGTTTTTAAACAAAAAAGTAGTAGTGCTGATGTAGTCTAAGACTAGGCTTAAGACTTTCCTCTTTGATAAAGGTTATAGTTAGGGCTGGCTCAGGTGAGTCCTGAACCATACCTTAGTTATGCTGCTATAGGCCTAGACTGCCGGGAGACTTCCCATGATGCACTGAGCTCCTCTCTCCTCCTCTCCCTCTCCATCTGTATGCATTCGTATCCCATTAAAGCATGTAACTCCACTTCTTCCCTTTCCTGTAGTCTTGTGATTTCTCAGCCCTCTCCTCTCTCCTTCTGACACTTTCTGAAGGTGTTTCTGGCTCCGGAACTGTGGGGTCTGGATCTCTGGTTGCGGGCTTCCTGCAGCCCCCATGTTCCCATCTCGTTGCATGAACATCCATAAAAAGACCAAAGTGTTTGATGGCCAGGCTGCCAACCTAGGACTAACTCTTGCCTCATGTTTGGAGCTAAATATACAGCAAGCCTATCTTAGAAGGTCTTAGACTTCAAAGGTCTTTCTTACCCTCTCTGACGCACTGGCAAGTTTGGTGGCTGAGGCGTTGAAGGTGAGAGCTGCCAGTGGACTGTCGTGAGCCGGGATCATTGTCAATGTGTTCTGAAACCACCATGAGGATGACATAGGAGACAGAAAGAAAGTTTTATTCCACATTGACATAATGTTTATATCACCAAGACTAGCTGCATTTCCATCTATTTGCAGTTATTTATTGTACCGAAGAGGATATGGACCCCATGTATATGTATTTGAGTCAGAATTCTGACCTTAAAGTCAGAAAATCAATTTTTTTTTAAAACCTCTTCCACAAATCCAGAAATTATACATTTCCCAATATTGCAATGGTTTACACGTTTTTGAAAGCATCTTGTTGATGAAATAATGACGTGATATAATACTAGTAGAAGCCATTTGCCAAATAAATAATATTCCAGTCTTGGCCAGAATACCTGCTGTCCCAAACCCTGTTGCTCTGCTGTATGAAGCAACACAGAGCAGAGGGAGGTGTTTTCTGTCTGGCTGAGTTCACATGAACAGCCAGCATGTGGCAGAGATTAGCTGACGTGTTTCCAGTTAAGAAGAAACCTGAGGTAGTCTGACTCAAAGCAAAGGAAGTTAGATCAACCAAGCTGGCAGTGGAGGAACAATACGAGCCGCTTGCTCTGAGGAAAGCTAGACTTAAAACTTGTGTGTACAAGTAGATAAGCACAACTGATTACTTAAAAGTGCTCTCACTCCAGGGTGAAGTAAGGTTTCGCAACCAACGCACAGTCACAGTCACAGCTACGTACTGACATGTTATCACATTTGTCAGACCTTGTATGATATGTGGGGCCAAAGTCCCTTCCTACCTGAGCCACAGCTTAGAGATAGCCTCCCTGGTGTGTGTTCTATAGTGCCCCCACATCCCAAATGTTCTTCCCAGCACACTGATACAGTATACTCTATATTTTTGGACACCCTGGAACCTCGGCTTCAGTTCTCGGACATTGTCCATAATGGCACCATTCCTAAGATCAAAAGGCCCCAGGTCCCAGGAAAAATATCTTGAAGTCTAAGATGTTATACAAACAGACACCAGGGGCTGTGCCATCAGAGCGAACAGTGTCAGACAAACAAGTATCAGAACACTGAGAGAGGAGAAGATGAACTCAAAGTGCTTCAGAGAAAACAGTATGACTACTGGCCCCTGAGCCAACTTGTGTTCTGGCAATAACTTAAGTGTCAGGTGTGTGACCTGAGATTTGTGCAAGTTAAAGGAAAAATAAGAAACACTTGTGACAAGTATTGAAAGAGTTTTGACCCACTGTAAAGGATAGATCTAGTTTATTACGTCTTATCTTTTCCCAATAACAGCATACTTGATAAATAAGAAAGTGAGGTGGTTACTAGTTGTCACAAATATGTTTTTGTCTACAATAGAAAAAATATTTAAAATTATACGCAACTATATGTAAAACTAAAATGTATGTAAACATAAATTTAAATTAAACTTAATGTAAAACTGATGGTGAGACATGTTTCTATGTTTTAGACTCCACTGTTCATTCCAAGCCTACAGACACTGAATGAAATCTGATAAACAATGTAGGTGCCATAAACCTGACTTAAATCCCTGAGGATGACAGATTAGCCTTATATACAGTCTATGGTTGTAGCATAATAGATGTTCTGTGATGACATGTTTCTTACCAAATTGTTGGCGTCGTACACTATGATCTCCCCAATAGTGGCACTGCCAGGGTACGCCAGGTAGGAGTTGGAATGGCTGATAGAAAGAGCGCAGAGACCTGCAAGGGGAGCGAAAGGAGAAAGAATAATTGACCTGAATAGAAGTTCATGGCAAACATGGGTACTGACAACCAGGGAACAAACCCATCAGTATATTAAACCACTCCAATAGTCTAAACAAGCAAAACATGAATACACTGTATGTTTATAGCCTTGGACAAAGTTTTTAAATCAGCAATAACACTGATTGAACAAACAGTGGCAGTGTGAACACAACACCGGCATCTTAGCTTGTTAGCAAACAGTTGCCTGTTTCCACGTCCAGCAGAACAACATTAGCATTTGTTTGGAGTGGTGTGTCTACTTAGACAATGTTATGTCAATTTTCTCTCCCTTTTAACTCTGTTTCGGAGTCCACCAAATCGTGAGGGACTATGTTCACCAGCTAGTCTCTAACTGTGTCTGTCTGCTGTTTGGTGCTGAGCAGGCCGTGTACTATGGGTTTATCAGAGTTGTTTTCAATAAAAACAGCTACATGATCAGTTGTTGGATAAAAATATTTAGCTGCTAAACTGGCTACAGCAGCAATATGCCATGCATACACAACTGCAGTGGCATAGGCTATCCCAGCAAGAATCAGTATATGCCGGTTGGAATTGGTATGACAGTAGAACATGACTGACAGAACGTTTAGTAGAATAGCTGCAAGAGAATCAAACTGGAACTAAAAACTAAACTGGAAGAGTGAAATATCATGACACTGTTATATACGCCTACTGCTGTGCATCAATGTCCCCCTTGATTCTTAAGAAGACTCTCCTGGTTAAATAAAGGCTATAAAGTGAGCTACTTTTCCATCTTGGGGTGCTGAGCAATTTATCAAACTGTTCATTAGGTTGAGTAACAACTAATGAAGCCGCAGGTGAAACAAAATTCAACTTATCTATACGAAGTTTGCAATAAATATGTACATAAAGGATAATTCCAGTTTAATTTTTGTAGTTTCTCTTAGTTATTATTATATTGTTTGTGTTATTTGGTATGAACACTTACCTATCTACATGATCCAATAACATGTCATACAAACTAGTTTGTTTGAAGGCCTTCACCAGGGGGTTTGTTGACAATCTATGTGATCATCTGACTGCTTGTGTTTCTTGTCCTGACAGAATTATGTTAATATGTTGCTGTGTTCCCAGATCTCAGGAAATAACTTTGTGAGTACAGTGTTATTATCACTAATAGGACGTATGGCCAAATCTATGGCAATAAATCCCTTTAAAACCCCACTACCATAGCACCACAGAAAGTGTATGTGAGAACCACATCCGCTGTCTTGTATTAACGTCTTACCTGTTGGGTTGGATGGAGTGTTGAGCAGAGTCTTGAGCAGCTTCATGTCTTTGATGTTGTGGATATAAATGGACTCTTCAAGACACACCACGAGCCTCTGCAAGACACAGCAGACCTCAGGTCATCGCACGCTCAGTGAATCCCATTCATTATAGGAACATATGTCACAACAACCTCTCAACTGTTCTCACTCCATTTCACAAAAGGGAACTCAAAGCTGCAGTCTCAGACATAGCTCACAGTGACATGCAACAATATTCTTCTGTGCTCGAGTCATTCGGAGAAGTTATTCTCAATTCAAATGAATTTATACAGCACCAATTCATAATAAGTTACCTCATTGTACCTTTCATATAGAGCAAGTCTAGACCGTACTCTTTGTAATAGCTAGCCCCCCCCCCCAACCTACTCTATAATGATAGCCATATAGATAGCCATATAGCACACCGGCCCCCTTCATTGTAATCTTGGAGGGTTGGGGATGAAATGGGGTAGCTCTCACCTGTCTGTTGAGCTTGACAGCCAGGATGTTGTTGGGGTAGCTGTAGTTGCAGATCTCCGTCCCCTTCTTGAAGTGGTAGATGTTCATGCGCTGCGGCATGGAGGTGCTCACCACGACTACCAGACTGCTGGAGAACAGACGCTCCACGATGTAGATATCTGGAGCCTCTGCTGGGAGAGAACATGGAGCAGGCAGACAGGCAGTCATAGGGACACTGCTTTAATGGTGACTTCTCCAAAGTATTACTCACACCCAAGAGGAAGACATTAAATTACCACAAACCTTCCCTCTCTTGAACTTGAATTTCTATTCGCTGAGAAGAAACACATACACTGTTTAACAGTATACTTCATTCTTCAAACACACAACATGACCAGGATTTGTAGAATTTTAGGATTTTACAACAGAGGCAGGCAGCCTGCAGGAGACTACAAGCTGGACTTCATCTGTCATGGATAATGACAGACAGAAAAACAAAGAAGACGTGCAATATGATGAACTTAATGTTTGGCTATCTGCCCAGCCAACCTGGACTGTTGCTAGTTTGCTTTTATAACCATCAGATCCACAGAGGATGGCATCTCCACTGCCCTCCACTCAGCCCTTGCACACCTTGAGAAAATCAACACCTACATCAGAATGCTGTTTGTGGATTTCAGCTTAGCATTCAACACAATCTCCCCATGAAACTGATCAGCAAACTCAGCACTCTGGGTTTCAATACAACACTCTGCAACTGGATATTGGATTTCCTCATCAACAATTTTGTGGTGCAGAGAGAACAACCTACTGCTCAACGTCAGCAGAAACAAGGAGCTGATCGTTGACTTCGGAAAAAAGGAGATAAAGACACACACTCCTGTCTACATCAGTGGAGCTGAGGTGGAGCAGGTGAACAGTTTCAGGTTCCGGGGAATCAGCATCACAGAGAACCTGACATGGTCATCTCACATCTCCACGCTGGTGAAGAAAGCTCAGAAACGACTGTAAATTCCCACACAAAGTTCTTGTCACACTCGCACACTGATGGCACAGTCTTCAAGAGCAATTTGAGGTTCAGTATCTTGCCCAAGGACACTTTGACATGACTGGAGGAGCAGGGGATCGAACCACCAACCTGATTAGTGGGCGACTCGCTTGACCTCCTGAGCTACAGCCGCTGTAAGAGCCCAAAGGATACTAAAGGACAGTGCCCACCCAGTCACAGCCTGTTCACCCTGCTGCAGTGTGACAACAGCAGCTTCTTTCCCTGAGGCTGTGAGACTGTCATCCTCAGCACTGCACCATGTGAGAGCATTTCTGTGACTTTCATTTTATATGATGTTTGTTTTTGTGAGTAGCATAAAGGGAACTACAGCTTAATCTTGTTATGCAACCCTGTGTCGTAAAATAATAACTAAATCTACCTTGGACCTTTTACCTTGTGTATTTTACTGACTGTTGTATGACTGCTATGTAGAAAATGATTTTGAATAATTCTAAAGCTTGCTGCTATAGAACACTTTTGAGAATCGCACACTTGTTTGACTTGTTTTTGGTTTTCTTTTGACTCAAAAATTTACCTGTTGACTCATTACACCACTCTGACGTCAACAAAAAAGTGAGAGTGGTATTATTATGGAAATAATGTATTTCCTCTGTATTACAAGTTAACTACTGTTGCACAGTAAAAAACTGGGTTGAAAGGAAACAAATTAACCTTAATATAAACTCAACCAGAGTATGAATAATAGACAGATTATGCACTGTGGGTAAATGTAACCAGTGTTTGGCTGTCTTTCTCAAACTCAATGTTCGTTTTAGAGAACCCTGAGGACGTGACGTGGCCTGACATGTGAGCTCATCCACTGCAAACAGGTCAGTCTGGGACAGAGGACCTAATAAAACAGCGAATGCAGAAACTCAATGATCCACCAGGGACACATGGATGATTCTGGTGGCTGTCATCATTTAATGGCTAAACTGACAAATGGGACAGATTACAAGATAAGATAAGTGAATTGTCAGCGCCGTCTTTGAATGGACTGTGTTATAATTAGCCAGTTTGACTGGCTAACTGGATGGATATTTAACTGACACTGATACAAAGTGCAGAGTCAGAGCTCTGTACTGACCACTCTCGTGAATACAGTCCAGTTTTTCCACCATGGTCAGAGAAAACAGCTTGTAGCCGGTCTTTGTTCCCAAAGCCAGTGACCTGCAACACACATACAAACACATATTGAGCATCAGCACAACAGGAAAGCATCTGCAAAGCTCCAGTTACTCTCAGTATGTCAATGGCAGACATTCTTAGCAGGAAATTAATGAATGTACTGTATGTAATTCTGTTGTGCCTTCCCTGGTTCTTCCTATAGGGAGCCCCCTAGTGGTGAAATTTGTCATGTACAAAAAGTGCTCTGTTGTCAGTTGTAATTGATCAGCCCTCACAATAAATAAAAGTGGTTTGACAAAAAATATTAACTTGTTCAACTTAAAAAAAACATTCTGCAGCTTTCAACCACGTCTAACAGTCTTCCTTAGTGGACAGAGTTTACTCAGTTATTACAGAGAAGCAGTGGTTCAGTTCTTATCTGGTGGTATCTGGTGTTGGTCATGTGATAACATGTAATAGATCTGCTGTGAGGAAGACCGTGGGAATGTGGATGAAAGCTGCTACTACTAGTACAATTAGGAGGTTAAAGGGGCAGTGCATCGGTTTTATACATGAGGATCAGTTTACTCATCTCAAAGAGCCTGTCTGAGAAAACAGTTGTATAATGTCTTCTATGGCTAAATGCATTGCACTGCATTTAGAAATGAAAGATCCAGTGTTTTTGGACGTTAACCCTTACTGCTGAACAGATTTTTACCACTCCTTTTTTGAACTGTCTCTTGTGTGTCCCCCAAGTTTATGAAAGTGTAAAGCAAAATCACTGGAGCTTTAGGAGCTTTATTTTTTTGTCAACTTACTGTTTCCAAAAGCAAAAATTAACTTGTAAATGCTCCGTATAGCACCTTTCTAGTCTTTTCCACCACATCTACATTCATTCACTGAGCCTAAGTGCTCAAACAGAAACTAACATACACTGGCAGAACAGCCGCCAGGGGCAATTCAGGGTTCAGCATCTTGCCCAAGGACACTTCGACATGCAGCCTGGAGGAGCCGGGGATTGGACCTTCGGATTAATGGGCAACCCGCTCTACCTCCTGAGCCACAGTCGCCCCCAACTTTCACGCTCAAATAAAAGTGTTTTGGAGCAGATGAAGTTATGGACCCCTGAACAATTGCTGTAATGGGACTGAGTAGAGCAGTTAGTAAAACATCAGAAATTAGAAACAAACATGTTCCCAAACATTCTGCTGTTTCCTTTTCCTGTCAGGTGCCCGTTACTGTCTTTATTACTGGGTGAGGTGTTTTTTCATCTGTCCTTAATTAATATTAATAAAATGTTTCCAATCTCTTGTCCCTTGACTACAACCTGTCCACTGTGCAGTTGCTCATGTAAATGAAAAGTATGAAAAGTAAAAGTCGTCCTGAACTGCATTACCTAAAGAAGCACTGAAGTTAAAGCTAGAAAAGCTGCAAGCTAAATTTGAATACTGTCAAAAGGTGAAAGTTGAAATAAATACGCTAAATACGCGCCACAGTACAGGCTTGAAAAACCTCCAGATATCCCATACCACTCTCAATTGGCCTTTAGCAGTTTGGCAACAATCACAGGGGCTGGCACATTGGCTCACAAAGTATACCAGCCAGGTCGTTTCCCAAAATCATCACCACATCGTCAAGTGGCAAGGCAGGGTGCATCCCGACAGGCAGCAACGATTCTACAATAAATGAGTATTTAGTACCCGTGTCACCCAACAGCTTAAATCAGAACACGCTTCGCACTCCCATCCGTAGACAAGTGTTCAAAACCACAATCAGTCCATCGGTCCACACACACCAGCTTAGCACAGCATAGCTGAAGTGTGTGATGTCACATGCTGCTTAACTTTTGACTTTAACAGTGGACACAGGTCCTTCCAATGACCCTCCCCACAGCGGTTTACACACTCTGGCTAATTCAGCTGCTTTAAGCGTAGTGGAAGGGCTTGTGCTCATTTACATAAGATGCAGTGGGATAAGGGATCTCGACATCAGCCACATGTTCAAAGAGAGTGAAATAGTCGAAATATCTAAATATGTGAAAACAATTAGGATAATTCACTTATATATGGGCTACAGCTCAGAAGTGGAAAGGGCACTTGGCAAGTGGTGTCTATCTATAATTCTCCTCATTAACACTGAGTACAGATGTGGTGTGTAGCATACACTTTATAGCCTATTCATGTATAGGATATTTAACCAAGAAAGATAACCTGCTCGGAGAAATTGCCACGACAGCATACCTCGGGTAAAACATATCCACCTTTCACTTTGTACACAGCTGGACCAAATCACCTAAAATCAGTGTGTGTGCAAACAACCCATGCACCTACTGCTCCCTAAGACACAACAAACATTTACAAAAGCACCTAATGGACAAGCCCCCTGCTCAAGTGGCCACTACAAAAGGGAAACACACCAAGGGTCACGGTTATGAAAGAGCTTCATCCAGAATTTATAGAACCGTAGTTACATACATAACTCTTGTTCGATTTCATTCTTCCTGACCACCAGAAGCAGTACTTAACACTGGATTACTACTACCAAAATCGCCACGAGGAATCCCACCTTACCTGGAACTGCCTAAGGGCTCCTGAAAGACAGCTGCCGCTACTACATGGGGGGCAGCGACATTGACCCTAAGTGGCGATTTAGGACCACCAACGGGAGTCTGTGGTTGCTTTGCTGCAGTCTGTGCTACGTAACCGTATTAGTGGAAATGGCTGAAAAGCATATAGGAGGTGATCTGGCCACGGGTGTGCCAGGGCATCCTGTCCCAATGGACTCGTTACCTCCACCAGCGAAAACCCCAAGATGACACCATGGGTTATCACAGTGTCCACTAAATGGGAATAAGAAAAAAGCAGCGGTACAACAAAACTGATCTAGAAATGTAAGAACCACCACCAGTGGATAATATCTCCAGTGATCTTTGATTTACAAACATGGACACATTCAACATTTCATTCAGAAAACGATCTTCAATTGGTGTTGAACACATGAGAAAAACAGAATAACATACCCTAGGTTTATTAATACTAACCCGTTGTCATGGCCCTCGGGACCACTCATTAAATGTTCATTTGAGATCTTGTCAAACAAGCTAACCAACTTTCTGTAAATTCCCCTCTCTTATCTGCTGCTATTTAGCCTTACACAGTATGTGTTGACTCACCTAACACTGCAGTCCAAACAGATTGTTTCACCTGTTCCAATTATTTTATTAAAGGCCACCTTTGTCTTCATTCCCCTACATGATATCTGTACATTCATGACCTGTCTCATCCTAAACCTGCAAAACTCCAAGGAAAATACAGCCCACTTCCACTGTCCTTGCAGAACTAAGTGATTGTGTAATATGCAGCTTTCTCTTCCCTGAAAAATCAGGAGTCTACATTCTTCTGCTGTCTAACAACTGTTGCTTCCACATGGGCTGGAGATGAATGTTAGGTGAGGACAAGTAAGCACATACACAGATAGACAGAATACATTACTGCTGAATACTGCTCTAATCTTTGTATTCCTCAGCACTTTAACAAAATGAGAAACGTATCAGAGGCAGTCCTGTGTGTGTTAATGTTAATGAGTGGAGCTTACTTAAACATGAAGCAACTTTCTGTACTTGCATGTCTATGTTATTGTTCAAGAAGGGGGATTGTGGCTTGAATGTCACTAGTTTACATCCTAGTGAATCCTAAGACCAGCGTTTGGCAGTTGTTGCTCACTTTATAAAATTCTTTGCAATGTGAGTTACACCCTAGAGTTAGAGCAACTGTTTAGCAAACACTGCCCTTGAGCAGGGCACTCACAACACCCTACTGATCCAGTGGCGCTATTACAGACATCAATGAAGGAAACTGGTTGCACTGGGCAGCTCCCAGTAGGGCTGTGGGATACTCAAGCAACCCTAGCAGAAATCCATTAAAAAAAAAAGAATTATCCTGACCTAGCATGAACGTGGTTTGGGTCCAAGGACACGGTTTATGACACAGGCTTGTTCAAAACTTGTGCAGCAGCAGAGGCTGAGATGTCCTGACAGAGAATCTTGTAGGTCAAGTGCCAAAAGTGCTGGTTCCTACATTTTCCAAGATGCAACTCCATAACTTATTTTATGACCTTGCCTTGTAATAATCATAATCACCCATCAGCCCACATATGTTCAGGCTGTCATGACATCATCAGGGTTATTTTCTACAACTTTGGAAAGCTTCTCCGGAGCCACAGAAGACTTACATTTACATGTTACTCACTTATCCAAAACGACTTACACTTGCTATAAATGCAAGGGCGTCACTTTCTGTTGAAAAGTGGTGGGGACATAAGGGCTCAGATTAAGGGTGTTACGAGTTAGCTCACAAGATGTGACAATGCATCAATATTGGGGGCACAAAAACAAGATCACATAATACTTTAACAGCTTTTTAAAGAAATATTCAATGCTGAGATATGTGAGTGGTGAAGGGGGTCTGCTGGTCCTTCCCCAGAAAAATTTTCTGCACTAATTTATGATGGAAATGTCTTTATTTATAGGCTTTAAAGGGAAACGCCAAATTCAGGTGGCAATTCAAAATACAGAAATCTAATGTAATATAATACAATAATCAGTAGCTTGCTTTTTAGCTTAAGTTATGTTTTTTTGGTAATGCACATTTATATTTATATTTCCTATATTTACATTGCATTACATGTTTTTGTGCAATAAACCTTTCTCAAGGTTGGTTTATCAGAACAGTTTTAACAATCCATCCATCCATCATCAACCGCTTATCCTGTTTATAGGGTCACAGGGGGCTGGAGCCAATCCCAGCTGACATTGGGCGAAAGGCGGGGTACACCTTGGACAGGGACAAAATCAGCTATTTAACAAAGTAGTGGGGACATGTCCCCAGCATAAATGAGACCTATGTATATAGGTCATAGGTAGCATGCCTGTGTCACAGTGGGGGATTGAACCCAGGTCCCTCACACCAAAGGCATGTGTCTTATCCACTGCACCATCACCACCCCAAGACCTACATCTGAATGGTACTCCCCATGAGTAAACTGATTTTGACATAGAATTAGTGAATGCCAGTTTGATCTATGGCCCGCAGGGTGTAGCCTATCTGTGGAAAGAGTGAAAGAGAGACTCAGTTATTATTATAATTATTAGCCTCAGGGACCATGCACAAAACGCATTCATCTCAAAAAGAGAAGAGATGCTTTGCACCAGATTTAGCTGGTCTCTGGGCAGGTGAAACAACAAATAGGCTAGTTAGTTTGGTCACAATCGCATTTTCTTCTTCTGTTCAGGTTTAAGTGACTAAATGCTGTTTAGGTGCTTATTTTTTGGAATTGCTCTGTACTCTGTCATGTTTGAAATTTAATAAAGATCCTTTAAAAATCACAAAGCCGTTTGCATTTGTCTAGTTTCAGGGAAAAATCGGGCAGGATGAGTCTTTCGTTGACTCATTTGTCTGCGTGCTTACGTGGAGTCTTGGTTGAAAGAGGCGCAGCCAAACCGGAGCCCCGGTCCGTTCGATCCGCCCGGCCCGGCGGATTGCTCTCCGGTCTCCATCCCGATTCCCAGCGACCTCCTTCCCTCCCTCCGCCCTGGATTGGAGGCCTGGGATCGGCTGCACCTCTTCGTTCGATGTCGGCGGAAGACGGCTCCAATTTGGGAGAAATGTGGGGCGCGCGGTGTGTGAAGAGCTCCGGAGGCAGAGCCGGCGGGTTCTCCGCTAGAAATGAATTCAAATTCAGTAGCGGTGTGATTGTTTTAGAGCTGGAATCTCCAACCCTGGAAGAAAACAAGGGGTAAAGAAGCAAAACAAGAACAGCTGACAGCGATACGTCACGTTTCCGCCTCTTACGATTGGCTGGTAGAGAAACCATGCTGTCGCTGGCTTCATTTTGATAGGTTAGCCGTGCAGTAGCGTGTTTTCATTGGTTGCTAGACCGGAGTGGGCTTTATTTGTGCCAGTCCATTCATGTGATGAAGTATGATCGTGTTGCAGTTAAAATTCATAAACGGAGCCTCCAGGCACGAGACAAAACTTTTTTTTTTTTTTTGACTCTGTGTCGACTTGCAGTGTTGGATGGCTGCTTTGTCTGAGCATCAAAATAGACCGTGGGGGGAGCTGTTGGAGCAGTGTGATGGAACTACTCATTTTCAACTTCGGCTAATAGATGCAAAATACACCAGAAGATCCTAATGATCCCAGAAAATGTTATCCGCATGCGCATGCGTTATGGTCGCATATTGGCTTATAGGGACGGTAACTTTATGTCTGTCAAGGGAATGAACGTAGGCTACATTTTCACAATAGGCTACATATTTATAGTATACCAGTTTAATTTAACTAATATAATTAATTATCTCGTGTTGAGGAAGTCAAAGGGCCCCAAGAGTTGCTGTCTTCTATGGCAGGTATTGAATCCACAACCCCCCCCTGGGCGTTTCCCCCACCTTTATTCTAACAAGATTCCGGAGGAGGGCAGTAGCGAGAAGTGTGGCCAGGAGGGACGACGTCATCGGGTTTATTTTCTAAGCTTTGGAAAATTCCTGCAGAGGCACAGAAGACATTGTAAACCTACAGCAGTTTCCACAGCAGTTTCCATAGGCTCAGTAGGCCTCCCCATGACGGGGAATGATGATACTGATGTATGTTCGGTGCAAGTTGAGTAGTGACACAAAAAATAGTAATAACCTACAGAAATACATCATATTCAGTAGACAAGTGAGCGCAATTAATACACTGAATACAAGACACAAAAATGTGAAGAACAAGTCTTTGCGCTGCATTGTAAATATCCTCTTTATTGAATTCTATTGACAAATATCACAAAGCACATCAGTGGTTCTATATTTATGCACAGGGGTTTATTGGTTAGATTCCACAAAAGAGTGGTTGATAGGATATGATGGTTGGTTCACCTTGTGACACCTCAAGGACCTGTGGTGTCTCAGTGCTGCACAGTAAGAGTACAAACATGTTAGAATTGATCCTGCACCATGCTGTTTGAAGGCAGATAGAAGTAGATGCTGTTGCAGCTGATAGCTGAAACTGGGTGCAGACATTTAGTACTTTAATCAGTGTTTGCTTCAGAATGTTATCAGCATGAAAAGGCCTCTTCAATGACATTATTCATAAAACACATTTCACAACCATCACTCAAAAACCAAGTGTGAGAATTGTGTGTATGTACATTTTGACTCAACTACTTTTTCAGTGAGTGTGTGATTATGTTACACTGCACTTTCCTCCAATTGGGAAATCTGATAAATCTCTGTTCACCTTTAATAATGTATGATGACTGACTTGTGGTTGTAATCTCACAGAAGGTTAAATGTCAAAACGCATTTTCCATCACTGAGCGTGAACACTTTATTCTTGACACTGGACTGAAAGGTAGTTATTAACAGTAGTATTACTGGTGCGAAGTTGGTGCAGAGTATCCTTCTTCAATACAGTAAATAACCTCCATTAAAAATACTATGAAGGGTAAGCTTTAAGATGATAAATTAAAACACAACTGAGTAATTATCCTTAATGTCAAGTTACTAAATCACAGCTTCTCTTTTGTATTGAAGACAAGAGTTTGACACAGGTACCTTAAAATCCCAGATCACCATGGCTCCATCCAGACCCACACTGCTGTACTTCTCCACTTTGGCTTTCCCCCCAGATACAACACACAGCTGCCTGCAGGACACAACACAAGCACATGAGGCTTACAAAAGCTGAACTGGTTTTATACTGTTGTTAAGAAAAATAAACAGCCATAAGCAGCCATAGGTAGTCCAATGCAGAACTGTTGATTGTCGAGTAAGATAAGATAGCTTGGAACGTTTGTCGTAGTGCTGCTTGTCAGAGCATGGCTGTCCAGACACAAACAGATGTTCACATGTTGCAACAGAGACAAAGAATTTAAATCTGGCCACTAAAAGAATCATAGTGTTGTGCTAGTGTGTGTGCATACAGGCTGCGGATAGATGTTAGACAGAAGTGAAGCACTCAGACATTGTGACAGTAGCTTTTAACAGTGATTTCTGGAGACGACCAGAGCTCACCCAGAGTTTCACACTTGTACAGCTTAACATGAACAACAACAAGGCCACACAATCCTAAAAAGCTATAGTTTAAATAACAGAAACTCTTTATAAAAATATTTAATTGACATGTGGGTCCCGACTTGCATCAAACACATAAATATAGAGACAGACAATCACGCTGACTGGCTGATGATTTTTGGAGAATTCCCACATCAGCTTCGGAATATTAAGGATGAACTGTGCCTGAACCAGACGCTTTGCAGTTCATATTGGTGCCTTAACCTCTATGTCAACAGGGTGCCCCAACCTTTCCACCAAATTTTATTTCAAATCTGTCGACACACACTTCAAATATCCTGCTGAAAGCAGCTTTTTCCTCTTTTAAAGTAGCATTAGAACCTCTAGCAAGGAGGTTCACATACTATTTTAAAGGGAGGGGCCCTTACGTGATGCTGTTCTGGTGGAGGGTGTCCTGTTCGTTGATGTCCTCCTCTGTGGCCTTCTTGTCCAGATTACGGAAGTGTTGCATGGCTGACATGCTGCCCTTAGAGGTCTGCTTGGGGATGTCCAGCTTCTTCACAAACTCCAGAGTGCCTGGACGCTTATATGTGAACTGGTAGGGGCAGCAGTCATGACCCTAACAGAAAAGAGATTGAGGATAAATGTACAAAGAACCATATCAATATGAATCAAAACATTCATTAAGTTAAGCTGTGTCCTTAAAGCTGCATTTCTCAAGCCCAAGTAAGAGCAAGAGGTCCAAGGAGTCCTTCAGGGTTCAGTTTTCACATTGTAAATAGTAATTTGATCCATTGGTAAATAAAATGTTTAATTTTTAGATTTAAATTACTTGAATACTTAAATAAATACAGTGATCAATCATCTTCTTAAGAAACTAACTCATGCTTGGACTCGTTGAACACACACACACACACACACACACACAGCAGATGGTAGTTACCGCAGCAACAATCTCAGTGGGGCTGACATAGAGCACACTCAGCAGTGGCAGACGGTCGGTGGTCAGCTGGGTTACCCTGGATGGACAGAGGTCAGAAAGCTGGCGGTGATATAATGTCCATTGACACATGTAATATCAAATTAAGTACAGTAAATTAACACATATGGAACAAGAGTGTTAGCCTGTGAAAACTAGGAAAAGTTCAGGAACTGGAGGCATGAAGTGCTGCTGGCCTGGTGCGTTTCCCAAATAAGCTAATTCATGTTAGAAATGGAAATTACTGGCACATATCTAGCATTCAATCCATTTGTGACAGACACTTTGTTGAAATGAAGTAAAAGATACATAATCTGCGTTTTAACTGAATACTTATACTGATCACGCTGATCACTGACTGAATACGTGGCTTTAAAGCAGTACTCACTCCTTCCCCTGGGCGGCGTCAACCACAGTGATGCTGCTGTTGTGGGCCACCCAGGCCAACTGGTCTCCGCTGTGGGAGAAGGAGACGCTGTGCACCCAGCCTCCACAGTCTTTGTGTTCTAGCAGCACCTCCCCAAAAGGCATTTTGGCACCCCAGGCAGTTGGTCCGGGCTTGTCCTCTATGTCCTTGATGTAGGCTGAGAAAACCCTAGGAAGCACAGCATTGAGATCTGTTAGTCAGCTTTGGGACCCAACGTTGGGTTGCTTTATGTACTGATATTTTTTTATCTATTTGAAAAATACTGTCTTTAAATATATCACAATTTTTAAATAATAATTTTAGAGCTCCCTTTTGTGCTATAGTCTGACTCTTATTGTTATTATATACAAAAACATATAGATATATTTAATTATATTAAAATATTTGAATACTCCCTGTTATGTCCACTTAAAGGGGCTCCCAAATCCCAGGAGTCTTCCTCCTCCACACTAACAAAGAAAGGGCTTGCTAAAACTCAACTCTGGTAACTTTACTAAATGTCTTGGTATATTATTCAGACGTTGTCTTTCATTCAGAGGAGTGAAAGACATGTTGCCATATGCTTACCCCCATTCACTCTCTAACATGCAGTCCTCTTGGAAATTCAAATCTTAACTGTTTTGGTTGCTTATTGGCAATTACCCAGAGCTCCAAAGTGTAGTTTGCTTGCTGTCTGTTTGCAGAATTAGATCTCCAGTCTGCTTCCCCTCCTTTACATCACTGCTTTGGTAGTTGTCTCACCTGCAGTGGAAGTCTGCAGACCCAGCTGCCAGTAGGACATTGTTAGGATGCCAGTCCAGACTCAGGACTGTGGAGCAAATGGGCTTCTTGATGTGCTTACTCAGCCACCTGAAAGGGAGGGAAAATGGTCCATTTGAATTTGAATTTGAAACCTCCATTTGAATGTGCTTAGCAAATATAATGGCTATCTGTATATCAGCGAAGAGGCATATTGTGTCTACACTGTGTTGTTTGACTCTCTAATCATTTTCTCTGTTGACATATGGACATCTGTCATCATCCTTAGGCTTCAACACAATTAAGGACAATAATCTTGGCCTTCAGAACCAATACAAGTTTAAGTCTTGTGTACAAACCTTGAACAGTTCTGATCTGATGTATTGCTTACCAGTCGTTCTCTTTCTCAAAGTAGCAGACGGCGATGAGGCGCGCTCCACTGCCCAGGGCGAACTTGTTCTCCAGTGGTGACCACTTCACACAGGTAGCTGCACGGTTGATGCGCACCAGGACCAGGGTGGGCTTCCACACACCATCCTTCAGAGTCCACACATAGGCGTTGCGGTCAGAGGCGCACGTCACAATGCGGTTGGACTCAGGGGCCCAGTCAATGCCTGTGGACATAATTATGAATCAGTGAATGATGGAAGGCTTCCTGCTAGGAGATATATTCCACCTCTGCTTTCAAATCATATATTTTACTTGAGATGTCCAAATTTCACCAGTTCCATTAATTACAGAAAAAACAGAAAAGTGTGTACTAAATTGTGGGTTTTAATACCACCATGTGGCCACACAATTCAACTCAAACTATCATCGCTCTGTGTTTTGACGTGGGAGTCTTGCATCAGGATTACCCATACTCTGAGGTGTTTTTACAGTATAACCAAATCTAACCATGAGAACACTTCCAATTTGTTGCTTTGAACCTTTTCAACTTTCTCCCAATGAAACATGAATCCAGCGTTATTTGCATCTGACTAATTGTCTTTAAAAATAGGAATGTTACAATTACGAGTTCAACAATCAGGTCGTGTGATGACAACTGAGCAAATTCCAATCACTGATGAATACTGTAAGATGTAACTGAACCTAAGCCTATTTTAGGAAATCATTATCCCCAAGGTCAAAAAGGAACTTTCATTCTGAAAATGTCTATTTATGACATTACAAACAAATAGTTGACACACAGTGAACTTCAAGGCCAGGTCGGCCTCGCTAGGCCCAAGGGCAGTGGCCCATTGTGTATCTCTCATTTTCTAAGTTTCATGTTTTGCAGTAGGAAGTTGTCAAAGAACAGCCCAGCTCTCCTTCAGTTGCTGTCAGCTAATATAATCAGTACCTGTGATGCGTCCACTGTGCTCAGTCAGCTCATGGATCTTGACCCATTCTTTGCCTTTTTTCTCATAGATTGTCACCACATTGTTGTTAGGACTCACTGCAATCTCTGCAAGAGAAATATGTGTGCACAAACGTTAGGCACTGTAACCACATTATAATAGTAATATAAGAACACAGAAGTAGTATATAAGACAGGGAGAGGATCTTCATCTTATAAGCACGAAGGCGCTCAGTAAATGTCATGACTATTTGTGTGTTTGTGTGACGAACAGGTACAGGGTCACAAAATAGTCTGAATATCCAAAACAAAGTTGTGTCAATCTTGTTATCAGTTATTATGCAAAGTTATTAGTAGGAAGGTCATGTAAAGAGTTTAAAGAGGTCATATTCTGCTTTGTGTTTTTTTCCCTCTGCTTTATTGAGTTATCTACCTTTTTTGTGCATGTAATAGGTTTTCAAAGTGAAAAAGCCCAAAGTCCAGCCCAAAGGGAGTTCTCGCACCATGGCAATGAAACCATCTACTGTACAGATTCCAAAACCAAAGTCCACCACCCAACTAACTGACTAATACTGAAATAAAAAGCATAACATAATGCGTTTGTTTTCACACTGGAGTGTCACAAAACTGTATTTATTGGCAAACGGCAGCAGTGATACTGGGGTCATTCCTGCTTGGAGTATTAAGGCTGACATGACAATGACTGTAATGTCAAGTCCCAAACAGCAGAACACATCCTGCAACTGTCAGTCAGAAGTGCAGTCAGATGTATAAAGCAATGCTCTTTGAGTTCATTTCCTGTATTGATAATTAGATTCCCTGTGGTTCTCCAGGCAACATTAATGCAATTAGGGGAGGGAGAAAATGAATCTGCATTTTGCATTGCAAGTGTGGTTCCACCCTATGTTGAAACTACAAGTTATGGAGAAAGAATACAGGAATGTGACGTGCATACAGTAGGTATACATATGTATGTGTTACTCTATAAGGAAATGTAGCCAGGTTGGTATGTTTGCTGTTTCACCTACGGGTCCTGTCTTTGTTCCAGGTGTGGCAGGAGAGCGGCTCCAGGCCAAAACTGTAGAGCGACATGTCTGAACAGAGGCAGGAGAAGCTGCTGGAATGTAGCTGCTGTCACGGCTGGTCTGTAGATGTGCTGTTGCAGGTCCCAGGATAAGATCAGGGAGGAGGACAGGGAGGCACTTTGTAAAGAAACAGGATTCTTAAAGACAAAACACAGCTAATTTGTTGTATTTGAGTGAATTGGTGGTGTAAGTACTTCACACTATTATTTAATAAATTTACTGTGATGGATACTTGGAATATTTGTCAGACGAGTCAGCATGAGTTTAATGTCTGCAATAGCTTTCCCTTTAACTCATTGTTAGCTACATGAATTATGCCCCCAAGATAAGAGTATATGATTATCAGGTGTGGCACACACTCTGCAAACAACTGTTCCGTCTGTATTTTACTCTACCCTCTAACAAAAACCTGATCCTTACTTGAAGAAACAAGCCCTAGATTTTACATCTTTACCATAAGGCAGAGAATAGTTTGAACAGTTTGAAAGGCTTTAAGCCTAAGAAATTATACATAGTGGTACAAGCAACATCCATTAGATTAGCCATTAGAATGTCTGAAAGAGAATCCTACTTTTATGGACCAGATGGCAAGCATAAACCAGTTTTACATGCGATTGAACATCAGGCAAGCTGATTAGATGTAACAGAATCAGTGACAGCTCAGGTCATTCCTTACCTCTTTTGTATATTTGTGGTCAGGCTGAATTTGTGGTGGTGGTGAGAGGTGCAGGGCTGTATCCGTGGACTCTGGGCAGTCGACACGAATAAAGCTGTGCAGTGTGCCTGGAGAAGGAAGTGACTGTGGTATGGAGGGAAGGGAGTGAAAGAAGGGTGGGTGTGTCTACTAATTGCTGTTGAATAAGCATCTTGTCTGGAGCAAGTTTGATGTGAAAAACCACAATCTCTAGTTGGTCATCACGCAGCAGTCACCAATATATACACACCAATACATACAAAACAACCCAATATATATATATATATAATATATATATTTATGTAATTGCCTTTAAAGCCATCTGAATAAGTAAGTTATTCTACTTTGATTATAAAGCTTAAAGAAGGGACTAGGGCTGCAACAATTATCAATTAATCTTTCTGACATTAATCTAGTGACAAATGCCCAATGTAATCTTCCAGAGCCAAAGGTGATGTATTCAAATAGCTCTATCTAAGACCTAAAGATTTGAACTTACATTGAAAGTTCTGATTCTGATTCTGAAGTTGAGAGAAGCTGAAAATCCAGAAGCTTTGTATAGCTTGGTACTTGGTATTTCTGTTTGGAAAAGGGTTGAAACGATCAATTAATTATCTAAATAGATGATGATTCATTTTCTGTCAATCGGCTAATCAATTAACCGAGGAGAAAAGTTTGCGAATTAGTTTGTTTGAGAATTAGATTTTTTGTGAAAACAGGAAGTTTCTTAGTCCTGTCTACTATTTTTGAGGGGGCTTTTATTGTGAAAGAATCCAGGCGGAAGTGGTAGTTTTCTTCTGTAAAGAAGAAAAACAAGCAGAACACACGTCATTTCATATTTGGTGAGGATTTTTGTGTAGTTTATAATATGAATTGGTAGTTTTCACACATTTATTGATGCATTTGTTCAAAGCTTGACGCTTATTTTTGTATGCAAAGGTGTGTTTTCCAATTGTTTTGGTACGAGACTGAGGGTAGCTAACAGTTAGCTCGCTAAGCTAATTTAAGTGGTTGGGATTCAAGATGGCTAACGTTAATCACGACAAATCCTCCTAATAACAGTAACTTTAACTGTTCATTAGTTTCGCATTGGCTGTTTAATTTACAGCCAACATGCTGGTAGCGTTAGCTACGTAAGTTGCCTTGTTAACTTTACTGTAACGTTTACTTTCCGCAGAAACAAAATGTTAACATTACCCAAATGAAAATAACGTTAGCAAACTAACGTTATGGCTAACAGTTAGCTAACTGTTGTGCATTCCAGAACACTGTTTAGTAAGTTAACCTACGTTACATTTAGCTAATGTCAAGCTACTTATGAGCTGTAATGTTACTAAATGTCAGGGGAATACTGTAATAATACTGTAAAGTTACCTGTTACTACAACTGAAGTTAGTAACGTTAGTTAGTTTCTTTGCTGGTGTATATTTTTCATGAAAACAGCGGTGAACGATCCTGCTAACCATACTAAGGTTGACGCTAACACAATCAATATTAGCACAAAAATGCAAGTAAAAGTTTTAAATTCAGAATGTGAAGTTATTAAAGTGTCGCCATCATTTACTTAAATGTCAAAATGTACTCATTACTTAGTCATTATGTGGAACTTAAATCATTACTAATGCATTGATGTGTAAGATGCATTTTAATGTTACAGCTTAAACACAGTAATATTGTTGGTACCGGAGTATATGTAATTGCTGCAGAAAAATGTACATTCCACTGAGTTTGAATTTGTTGCTGGACCCCCTTGGACCCACTCAAAACATTGCCTTTGCTTTGTGTAAGCTCTGTGTTTCCATCAAGTACAGAGTACAATTTTTTAGATTGGCATATTTTGCAGCGGACATTTGTTTGGGGGTCAGACTATGAATAACCTAAATAACACCAAACCACTGGTGTGTGGGAGATGTTTTTATCAACAGTCATAATGCTTAATCATCATCCCAATCTTTTTTAGAGGAGGGTGGTATTGCTTTTCTTCTCTACTCTTTAGTGTGTGGGCCCTAGTTTCCACAGGAAACGGTGGAAGCTGTGTTCAATTTGAGCTCTCAGAAAGAAAGTTATTATTGTTTTATCACCCAGCAGTTGACCTTATCAATTCAAATAATGGCCCCAGTTACATTATTCAAGGCATGAATCTAAGTTGAGAAGCATTTACACAATTTCCATCTTGAGTGTAGTACGACATGCTCCATCCACATTTGTAGAGCCATTAGGATTTTTATCATTCAGAGAGGCTTTAAGATCCTGTTGTGTGACATTTATCTTTTAACCTGTAAGGAAAGCAGCGTGAAGCCACTGAAGCAAAGGTTTACATGACGTTCTCTTCTGATATTAATGGGAACAGAAAGTGAGAAAAGGCTGTGTCCACTTCATACTTGGCATGCAATTTGTAATTTTTGATAAGTAAACCTCCAAGTCCATAGGTAAAGTTGCATTTCAATTCTGTGGCTGTAACCTAACACAAAAATCACAGCTCGTAATGTACTTCAGTTTTGTGGTCACGGTTTGATATGTTTTCGTTACAGAACAGTGAACAACAAAAAAAACATTTTGGAAATTTGTGATTTATTTTGAAAAATGCAAAAAACATGTGAAGACAACATTGTAGCAGAGCTAAAACACATTATACATATGCTTAAATTCTGTATTCTCTATGACTGAGTACTGTTGTATGTCCGCAGCGATGAACACTTGTATTGCATTAGTTTTTAATTTGATTCGGAATCTGCAGTGAGGAGAACACTATCAGCGAACTGTTTGACACTCATTTTCACTGTATTGAACCAGGAAACCGACACAGCATGAGCCTGACTAACTTGGCTAACCAGGCTAAGCTGACTAGCACGCTGCAACTGTCTTCTACCCACACGTGCAAAACTGTTTTGCACGTGTGGGTAGAAGACATGAACTATTTTGACTTTCTAATCAGATGCAGAGTAGGACAGCTCTTAGTGGAATGACAGTGGGGAAAAAATCAAGCAGCTCAACAGTCTGCACCTGCAGTGGATGGCAGGAAACAGCTTCCTGATTTGCCCATGTGTTTCCCTCTCATCTCCTTCCAGGTCACAAGGTAAAGATGGCATCAAGCAGTGCGAGCAGTGAGGAGGAGCAGAGCCTCAGAGAGTGTGAGCAGTATGTCCAGAAACACAACATCCAGCAACTGCTCAAGGACTGTATCATCCAGCTGTGCACGGCCCGGCCTGACCGGCCTATGGCCTTCCTCAGGGACTACTTTGAAAGACTGGAAAAGGTAGGTGCTGATACACTAGACAGCAAAGACTCTTGTCGGCATACCTTTTACATTATAAAGATTAATTTGATTTACTGTTAATTTAAAATAAAACAATGTATTAAAGCTCGGGTAGGCAACGTTGGAGAAACCAGCAGGGTACAGTTATATTCTGAAAGTATCTAACCTCCCTTCAGACCTCCCTCCAAAGCCACTCCTCCAAATCGTGTGTTCATGCTCGGTGAGTGCACGGGGAGGCATGCAGGCAGGCAGATAGGCCAGCCAGTCATTTCATTTGGACTAAAATACATGATTGGCCTGCTTCCTATTTTTGTGGCCTAGCCTTTGTTTTATTGATTGCTGTCAGGACGTAAAGAGAGTGTCAACAAAAGATGCTTCAGAAATAAACTGCCTATCCTAGCTTTAATACAGTCTTCATTCACATTTTCTGTACATTATTCTTTGAGTGTCTCTGGTGTGGTTTTGTGTTCCTGTTGTCCAGCAGGAGGAGGCCCAGCAGGTGGCTTTGCAGCAGAAATCTAGCTCACGGTCAGACTCCCGTGAAGATGAAGTTTCTCCACCCATGAACCCTGTGGTGAGGGGTCGGAACCGGAGAGGAGCCATCAGTGCAGAGGTGTACACAGAGGAAGACGCTGCCTCCTATGTCAGAAAGGTCAGTGGTGATAACGTCAGTGTTTTCATTCACACACCTTCATGCCGTCCTTAAAGCTGCACAAATCAATATTTTTATACTATCAACTGATAAAATGTGTAATGTGAGAGGAGGTGTGTATAGTGATGAACCCACAGAGAAACTCTGCAGTAACCCTCGGCTCTACTGACTATTTCAGCCCGTTTTAGCTTATTTCTTGGTTTTCTGGCTCTGAAACTCATCATCATCATCGTACGCGACCTGCTTAGCAGCAAACAGCAGACAGACACTGCTCACAGACATAGTTCTTTTACTTCATCCCCTTTTGATTATTATAACATCCTCTTCACTTGCCTCAGCACAGCATCCCTGGATCGTCCACAAGTGGTCCAAAATGTTGCTGCTAAGCTTTTGACCAGGTCCTCCAAAAGGACTGATGTGACACCGATCTTGGTTTCTATTCGCTGGCTCCCCATCAAATTCAGAATTCAGTCAGAGGTTCTTGTGATGCCACGTAGAGCACCACATGGCCAGGGGTCCCATTTATAAAACTGTATGTAGAAAAGTTGCATATGTACAAAACACAGGAAGTGCATCCGCAAAAAAATATTCTGATTTAATGCCACATTGTTGTGTAACAGCTGAGAGGGTCATTAAAGGACACAAACCTTCCATTTGACTTGTGATCATAGCAATATTGATTTGATTCAAGAGTATTTCAGTCTTAATCTTTACTGAAATATAACAGAAGACTCTAAACAAGCAAATATAATATTTTTTAACCCAAGGTCATCCCAAAAGACTACAAGTCCATGGCTGCCCTGGCCAAAGCCATGGAGAAGAATGTGCTGTTTGCCCACTTGGATGACAATGAGAGGAGGTAATGGCACAAATCAGTGTGGTAGTTTAACAATCCTTTTCAAAGCATTTCATGCTAATGAGCTTATGTTCTGCCCCTACAGCGACATTTTTGATGCAATGTTTTCTGTCAACTACATTGCTGGAGAAACGGTCATCCAACAAGGTGAGTTTTAACACCACTTTATACAGAGATTGTTGCTTTCTTCTGTTTATTCATTCATGCAACTCTGTGTTGCTCTTGTTCCAGGTGATGAGGGAGACAACTTCTATGTTATTGACCAGGGAGAGATGGACGTAAGATCTCCTTCTTATCTTTTTGTCTAGTTTTGAACTTCAGAAAACATCTGCTAGTGTTTCTAGAATTTGAAGTGTCGTCTCTCTCTTTACTTCTGTAGCTAGATGTGCTTTAGAGATTGAGTGGAGGAAACATTAAAGGATAGCTGATGAGACTGAAACCTCTAATACCAACAAAGAATTGATACTACTAAGAACTAAGAGCCTGATCTACTGTAACTTTGTGCACCATTGGTTCCCACAGGTGCTGTGTAATGGAAGTTTAACCATATCATTTCAGGCAATTAGTCTTGTTGGGCAAAAGCCAGGTCAGCAGATAGGCAGGCACTGCTGTCGGGATGTAAAGAGAATTTTAACGAATAGAACAAAAATGCTTCAGAAGTAAATTGCCTCTCACAGCTTCAAATGATTTGTTACACAAGTCATATATGTGATTATTCAGTACCATATAAGGTTGGGCAAAATAAAGTAAAAGATTTTTTTTTTTTTTTTGGGTCCCAAAACAGCATACTCTTGCTAATTTAGTTTAGACTGGTATGAGACTTTGCCCTCCTCCCAGACTAGCATCAGTTTGTCACATTGTAGCTATAATGGATATGAAAATGTGTCCCTTGCCATGTCATTAGACACCTGGCCAATCACAGGTTTTGTCTCTCTGTCTCCTTCTAGGTTTATGTGAACAATGAATGGGTGACCAGCATTGGTGAGGGAGGCAGTTTTGGGGAGCTGGCTCTGATCTATGGGACCCCTCGTGCAGCAACTGTCCGGGCCAAGTCCAATGTCAAGCTGTGGGGCATCGACAGAGACAGCTACAGAAGAATACTGATGGTAAGCTGTGAGGTGGCTTGTTGTTGTTTTTAATGTAAAACAGTATTATAATCAGGTTGTTATATCAACTGTCACAATTACATTTTGTTTTAGGGGAGCACTTTGAGAAAACGCAAGATGTATGAGGAGTTCCTCAGCAAGGTGTCCATTTTAGGTGAGAACATCAGTTGTTCCTCATCGTATTGACTGATTTTGTTTTTAAACAAAGGCTGTTGTGTTTACCTGACTGTTGCTCCTGAACAGAGTCTCTGGATAAGTGGGAGCGTCTGACAGTGGCTGATGCCTTGGAGACGGTGCAGTTTGAGGATGGCCAGAAAATTGTTGTGCAAGGAGAGCCTGGTGACGAGTTCTTCATCATCCTGGAGGTACCTCCACCTTCTGCAAACACTAGTCAACCCAAACTGGTTGAGATAGGACTTCTGCTTCAGCTCCCAGCATTCTGTGATGTGGTATCTCCTGTCGCTATCAGTTTAGCCCCTACATCTTCGTTCTACCCAGAAAGCAGTTGTTTTCTGTTAGTTTTCTGTCATCGCTATCCAAATGAGAAACCAGAATTGAAGGAGCCTCCATGTCACATACAGGGTTTGCACGGTCATGAAAACCTGACAAATTAAATGGAAAGTAGTTACATTACTATTTTAATGCATTTATAAGAAATATTTGTCTTAGGGGGCTTTCACACCTGAAAGTCCGCACCAAGGTCCGAATCAAAGTTCATGTTTGATACATTTTGATACATTTGTTATTTTTGCTTTGGTTTCACACTGCAATTCTGCGACCGCACTAAAGGACTTTACATGACACACTTGCGTCCTGTCGTCATCATCTTTGATAAGAATGAATGAATAAAAAAATGAGCATATGCGTATTTGCCACCACTATAATGTTATAATTATGGCATTACTACCTGCAGCACCAACTATACTGAAGGCTAGTAGCAACCAAACCATGGTTCAGTTTGATCCGGACCGAGACTAGCTCTTTTCATCGGACCAAATTTCATCTGTTTGGTCCGGACTGTGGTCCAGGGGAGGTTTCACATCTCTATTTTTGCTTCGGACCAAAAGTCTGAAAGTCCTGACCAAGCGAGCTAGATGTGAAAGCCCCCTTAAACTATGAACTGTGTACTTTTTAAATTAGCAGTGTTTGAGAAGGCATGCAAGGAAGAAGACACTGGCTCACGTACATTGGGGGGAAAAAAGTAATGAACGCGTCAACATTTTGTTCAGTAAACATTTCCAATGAGGCTATTCACATGGAAGTTTCACCAGACTTTGGAAACTCAAGAAATCCACACATATAAAGATATCCAAACATAAAAGACCAAAAAATTAAGTTATGTGCAATAAAGTGGAATGACACAGGAAAAAAGACCATTCACATTGTTAACCCATCCAACACAGGACAGATATTATATGCATATCACTTTGGTGCAAGACTATCAGAAAACTGCTTTAATGAAAAAAGGTAACTCCAGCATCACTTTCTGGAAATGATTCAAAAACTGCATTGCTGGTATGAACAGTATAATGCAGTGTGTTATTTTGGAGAAAAGAGAGAGATCCATTGTATACATACATAGCCTAAAACTGCAGAGATATTATTTATAAGCCTTATCGGCCCTACTTTTGAGTCACGCATTCTTCCATTAACATGATAACAGCTACAGTGGATCTTTTCTGGAGAGACCAGGGTGCATAATCATAATCTGCATGTTGGATCTGGATTTTCTGAAAATTGCTGTTGATTTTTTTGTGGAGGTGTAGTTCAAAATGTCTTTGTTGTGCTTCCAGGGGACAGCAGCGGTGCTTCAGAGGCGGTCAGAGGATGAGGAATTTGTGGAGGTTGGCAGACTTGGACCCTCAGATTACTTTGGTAAGTCAGGCAAACATAAGAGCTTGACAGATCCGTCATATACAGCACAACCACTTATAAGTGAGTGACCAGATAGCTGCTGAGATTGTCTTGCTAGAATGAGATCCATGGTGTGGATTTGACCAGCTAAAGATATCCCAAATATGTAAAATAACAAAGCAAGACACCATCAGTGTGAACCTTGTATGATTGGTTGTCTTTCCTATGTCTCCCAGGTGAGATTGCCTTGTTGATGAACCGGCCCCGGGCTGCCACTGTTGTTGCATGTGGACCCCTCAAGTGTGTCAAACTGGACCGGCCGAGGTTTGAGCGAGTCCTGGGTCCCTGCTCTGACATCCTGAAGAGAAACATTGAGCAGTACAACAGCTTTGTTTCCCTCTCTGTCTGAGCTCGGCACTCGGACCTTCCTTTTCTCTACTGCAGGGCTTTATTTTCCTACTTCTTCTGTCTTTCACGTATGTTACAGCACCCACATGACCCACATGACCCTTCACAAGATCACTTTAATACATCAGCTTGTCATCGTTTTTTATTTCTTATTTATTTTATTCTCTGTATATGTACTCAGGAGATAGGATTTGTTTTGTGTGAATGGAAGAGTTTTGATGTCAGACACAGTTCAGAGGGTTGCTTCACCACCTGAAGTTATAATCCCAATACAAATAGCTGAAATATAATGTAGTGGATGCCTGCCTGACTCTGCGATCACACTGTGATCACTGTAAGTTCAGAGGTTACATTATATAGTACTGAGAGCTTCACAACAAGATGTGTAAAGATTGTGTCAAATCTCTGTAGTTCTAGAGCATGACAGGCTGATAAATGGATCATTAAAAATGGAATATTTATATAAAATTATACAAAAGACATTCATACAGACATGATATGAAGCATTATATTGTCAAAATGAAACTCGTGTAGATGAAATAGCTAGAGTCAAAAGAGGACAGGATATTCATAGTTTAAATGAATTTGTTCCATAGTGGAAAAATGACCAACCCAAAAATACTCATTATCAGACAGTGTGAATGCACAATGTCAGAGAGGCTGTGACGGATGGTTTCATGCTGACCGGGTAAGGCTTTGTGTTTTTGAAGCAGTACGCCAAGTTTTGTCTGTGTGTGCTGCTGCTCTTTTCTATTTGTGGAGATGTTTTAGCCATGCTAGCAGCAGGATTCTGGGGATGGAAGTGTCGGTCATCTGGACCACAGCTTTGGACTGTACTGAAATATCTTAGCCATAAAATATGGTCGTCCATTTCCCCATCGGAAAGATTTGTAATCACTTTGGTGACCCTCAAACTTTCCTTCTGGTACCATCATCTGGTTCAAATTTCAATTTATACTTCATGCTAATTAGTAAATGTTAGCATGCTAACACGCTAAACTATGCTGGTAAATGGTGGTAGCACACTGGAGTTAGCACTTAGCTCACAGCACCGCTGTGCCCAAGTAAAGCCTCACAGCTAGCATGGCTTAGACTGTTTTTGGGGGGTTTGTTGTTTTTTTCATTGGTTGTCCTGGTTTTCCTTGTATACACATCTTTCTTAAAGGGTTGCCTTGACAGTGATGTACTTACTTTCCCTGTATCTCATCACACAGTGTGACAGAAGTAGCTGCACCAGCCATATATGATTTTACCATGAAAAGAAATTATATAAAAAAACAAAACAAAGATAGTAAATGCACAATTTATTTCCAATTAAACTTTACATTTTGGTAATTTTATGGTTTTCCTTACCCATTGCTAAATGTAAATTGAGCTTTCAGTTTGAAGACCTCCATTTGAACTTTTCTGTTTAATGTTTCAGGTTCTTAAATTTCACTGAAAGCTTGACTGAATTTCACTTTTGTATTTACTGCTTTTTAAATATTTAATCGATAATAGAGTAAATAAGAACAACTACATTTTCTCTTTCTCTTCCTTCTGTTTAAATATAATTATATTTCTGGGTGAAATTACTAACTTTGATTTAGTTGGCAGTGTAGGTATCCCTTTAACTCATCTTATCTTCACAGCTCTGCTACAAATCTATATATTACCATTAAATGACTATTTTTTGTAATATACAAAATGATATAATCAAAGAGAAAATGTTTATATACTGTTAAGTTCACGGTTTCATGTACTTCTGATCCTGTCATTTGAAGGGAGTGCAGAAATGGTACCTGTTGAAAGATCAGACTTTGTGCAGTAAATATGGAAGACAGACGGCATCACAACCAAGCTGGTGCCAAATATGATGCTGGACTTTCCATATATTAGTCTTAATAAGGAACTTAAAAAGACAGTGTTTTGGGGGTTTGCATTAGTCCATGGACAAACAGTTTGATGCCCCCCACCCCTTTTACTTGATTAGCAATTGAGAGGGACTTCAAAAGTGCTTATTTCTGCACACCCTATTGATGTAGTAACTGGTGATAATTATATTTTTTAAATCCCGTACTGATAAACACACTACTTGCATGAATCAAATCAAACAATGGCCTTTTCATAAACAGCTAGTGTTGTATTAATGATGCACTTCAGTCATTTAGTATAGCACTTCGATAAAGCTGGAGGACTTAAAAAAAAAAAAGGATTTAAAAAAGAATTTTCAAAATCTCAGCAGCAGAGCTGATCACCTGACTCCCGAATGTATGTTAAGCTCCCAAAATACTGGATCCTACGTTTCCCACAATGCAACTCCTTTTGTTTGAATCCCCTGTGCCTTGTCAACACACAGCTTTTAAAAGTCCATGTTCCCAATTTGTAAGACAGATGTCTCCCAGCCCAAGGTAACTGAAAACCCCTGGTGACATCACTATGACATCATCAAGGTTTCTTTTTCTCAGACTTGAGAAGCTTTTTCTTAATCTCATCATGAACTCCACATGATGAGTAAACTGATCTTAATGTGTAAAATGTGTTGGTAGTCTTTAATGAATTATCTGTTTGTAATCAAGCAAACGTGTCTGTTACATCACAGGTATGTGACAGCCATTAAATTAGCACTGGTCCATTCCAGCAATAGGCAGTAAGGCTGTCAATACTGAGTATTGGAGTTTTTGTACCAATACCAAAACAATGTTTTTTCTGATACCTTTCAGAAATATAAACACATTTTTTACAAAATCCTTATGGGTTGTCAAATGTGACATGATGTCCAAACAGAAACTGCTGTACAAGAATTTTATGCTAAATTTGAATAGTCTAAAATGTATCTTCAATCAAGTTGATGAAGTGATGTTCAAGCAAACTTTTGTCCACCCATAATCACTCACTGTTTAATGGCTCTGATCTGTATGTTTTTCTAAGATGTCTTAATTCAGTAGTGTTACATGATTTGCCATCTAAACAGTATGGTGTCCTCTAGGCTTGTTAATGTAATTTTTTTTCAGCTGTGTCTTATTTACAGTATTTCTGACACACTAGATGGTCAAAATCTAAATCAGCCAGAGCTGAGAAACTGAGTGTGAATATGTGGAGACGTCTCCACTCAGAAACCTGGCTTGTTGTTTATTTTCCTAGTTACACTGCTCACTGTACGCCACTCAGTCAGACCATCAGTGTTTGTAGAACTAAAAAAGCAGAAGCCTGCAGTGAGTCTCTACAGAGGACCATTCTTTTCTGTAGTTTTTGTGCCTTTCCTCAGATTGATTGGAATGATTGTGCTTAAAGGTCCAGTGTGTAAGGTTTGGGGGGGGGATCTATTGACAGAAATTGAATATAATGAAATGAAAATTTGTTTTCATTCCTATATAATCAGCTGAAATATCTACAGAGGGAGCGGGTCCTCTTCCACAGAGTCCCTCATGTTGCACTGCCGTGCTTCTTTTGCAGCGCAGAACAGACAAACCAAACACTGGCTCTAGAGAGGGCCTTTTGCATTTTCTTTAGAGTTAGGGGCCACCCTAGGTTTTCTTACATGCTTGGAACAGCAAGGTGAGGAGAATGGGTTTCAGTTGGTTACCTCACCTACTCACCGCTAGATGCCACTAAATCCTGCACACTGGTCTTTTAAATGTTGGTGCGTTTTAGATTTCTGTGTAGGACGTCCTTGCAGCAGTGCAAGCAATAAAGAGAACAGTCTTTTCAATGTGTGTCTTTGCTTGTTGTTGCCCCGACCTCTAGAGTGGTATTCAGATGTAGTTTGACTACCTTATTATACATTTCCTTGTTCTGCTACTTTCTACTTCAATCCCTCTGCAGTTCAGAGGAAGTGTGCTTTGTGCTTCACTAGATTTATTTGCTGTTCCATAACTGCAAATTCACTGATCATAACTTCACATGCATTCACTTTGAATGATTTCTGGTTCTTTTCAACAAGTTTAAGTTTTCGCACAACTATCACAAAGACAACATGGCCTGCTCTCAGCTTTTACAAATATTGTTCCTGATGAAGATTCATTTGGTACAGAACCTTTTGTATAAATATATATAGATATAGATAGATTGCTTTATTGTCACACATGCACAAGTACACAGTGAAATTTATTTCTATTGGAGCAAACCTCCGGCCGCAGCTATATTCAGCGCCGCCACTCGCTTTCCAGAAAAGAATTAATGCAGATAGAAAGATAGGGGGGGGTATGGTGTGGGTAAGATAATGAGTCTGTGTTTGTGAAGTATGAGGCTTCAGACTGACTGTTGCGCAGGAGAAGATAGGAAGGCCAGCTGCAAGTTGTTTTCCAGCTCGGGTGAAGGAGGGGAGGGGGAGGGAAGGGGCACTAAGACAATAATTTTAATTCCAATTTAGGTTGATTCTGTAACATTTATCCGGATCAGTGTCCTTCAATCGCTCTCATCCTCAGCGTCATACGTGCATCCAGTTCATGTGGTGATTTCGACATTTCTTCTAATTTCATTGTCAGACCAGTGCTTACTCTCAGCAGCTCACCAGACTGGGCCCCGATGGTGTCAATCCTCCTCTGCGCTTCCACAGACCAGTCTGAGATGTTACGAAACAGTTCACAGTTCTGATCAGCCCTTTGATGTAAAACCTTCACTCCATTTAAGCACTCTTTAAGTTCCCCAGACAGCTTTTGGGTAAATTTGCTGGCGGCTGTCTTACCAATTTTACGATATATTAGGGAGATTCCAAGCCCGATAATCAGGAAGCCCACTAGCAAAATTCCAATTATCCATAAATCTGTCCTCCACAGATAAAAGGTCTCCCACGAGTCGCGAGCGTAGCCTGCAGCGAATGTTCCACTGGGACAGTTCGGATCACCCGGTGAAGCACGTCTCTGGGTGAAAGTCTTGTCAGTAGCGCTGAGTGACCAGTTGATTTATTCCATTTTGATGGTTTCAGGAGAACAGCAGGCAGGTGGTCAAAAGAGAAAAGTTTCCACACGACCAAAGTAGACAAGCCAAGATAAGAGGGGAGAGTAGGAAAAGCACGACTGCTCTCTACAGTAGCAGGAAGAGGAAGGATATAGAGAATATACACATGTCAAAAGAGACACTCCAGGTTGGTTCATGTCATTTTCATTTTAGGTTTGAGCAGGAAAAACAGCAGGCCAGCGAGAAGCATAACCAGCTGTGGGCCTGACTCAGTTTAGAAAGCATTTGAGGACAAAGAGAAAAAAACTAGCACAAGAACGAGACAGCAATAAACAATAAGGTACAAGGTACATTTATTTGCCATTTTACAACAGGGTTGTATAATGAGATAAAGTGTGTAGTTTCCTTTATGCTCACAAAACAAACGTTATCCACAACCATGAATAAATATGAATGCTGTTTGGGCTCCTTCTTCCTTTAGTCTTCTGTCAAGGGACCGAGGGTGTCTGATGTTAACGGTGTGGTTAACCTCACTTCTCCTATCCTACTACTCTCTTAATTATTTCTTTGTTTCTTTATAAAGAATTTATACAGTTTAACACATGGGTTATTCAGTTCCTCAGACACCTCCCATATTTTATGAATAAACATGAAACAGTATTACACAGGCTCATAGATGGCAATCATGTTCCACATCTGTTGTGGACATTATGACACATGTATGCACAGCAAATGAAATAGTAAAATTAAGTCACTATGTTAATGTCAGCACATGTCAGCATTTCTCGGATCACAGGAATGTGATTGCTTTCTCCCCCGCTGAGAGGGAGGGGGGAGAAAAAAGAATTATTCCATACTTTCTCAAGCGAGTCTGTATGCATGTATTCAATTCAATTAAGTTCACTTTTATTTATATAAGTGCTGATTCATAACAGAAGTTATATCATTGCACTTTTCATAGAGGAGGTCTAGACCGTACTCTTTGTTAATATTATTAAGAGAGACCCAACACTTCCAACCATGAGCAAGCACTTGGCCACACAGGCAAGAAAGAACTCCCTTTTAGGAGGTAGAAACTTTGAGCTGAACCATGAGTCAGGGAGGGCTGCCTCGACTGTTTAGGGGGGTTAGAGCGTTAGGGTTAGAAGTACTGTGTGCACGAACAAGGGGAGTTGCAATGCCATATAAGACCCACTAGATGGCACCAGAGACCACTCATATACATACATCCATGTAACTGAGCTCTACTAACCATCTGGGCTTCCACAGGCAGCCTGGTTATTTTTAACCCCTCTGGATGTGAAGGTAACACCAAAGCCAAAGTGACACATTAATTAGATATATTTGCATTTAATTTATGGGACAGTGCTCTGCTAACAGAAATGTGTGTTTTGTCATGGTGTCATCACGTGTGCGTGATACGGCACCATCATCGCAATGTCGGCCACTCTTTTTGGGCAGTTTTGGCAATGCTGAGTTCTTTAAAACAGACACTGTAGCGCCTGAGTCAACCAAAAACACAACTTTATGACCTGCCATGTTTAAAACTAACTCTGGCACACTCTTTAATTTGTTTTATGGCAATCATTATTCTATCATAGTCTGTTTGAGGTGGTGACTCACCCAGTGTCAGGCAGGCAGGTCCGTCACCAGTCCTCCAGCTCTCAGTCTGCCTTGAAACATGGCATGTTGTTGTCCTTCTTGTTCGGACAATCTCTACACACCAATGTCCAGTTTTGCTGCAGTTGTGACAAACATATGGGTCATATGTCTGTGAAGATTCTCAGTCATCCAGGTCATAGTTATCCAAAGAAGTTTAAAATCAAGGGCAACTGGACTTGGTTGAAGATACTGGAAGACGTTTCGTCCCTCATCCAAAGGACTTCTTCAGTTCTGACTGACTGGCAGGGAAACTCAGCTATTTAACCTCAGTGGGGTCGTTTGCCAGGATCTTCGTTACTGCTGGTTCGTTCCTGGTTGCTGTAACGACAGTCATTACGGTCATTAGGACTATCCGAGGCCAAGACTGAACGATCATCGTTGGTATCTTCACCTGAGGCCAATAGGTTACGTTTGTTGAGTTTCCTGGGAAGTGATGAAAGGACAGCATTGGAAGTGGGGGATAAGTGGTGGCGTAGACCCCCTCCCCTGTTCAATGACGGCTTCTCCACCCTGGTGTAGATGCTTCCTTGACACCTCTTTCAAACCATCCATCTTCTCTGTCTAAAATGTGCACCATCTGAGGACCACCAGGTGCACATTTTAGACAGAGAAGATGGCTTGTCACTTTGCAGGAAATACACCAAATAGCTGAGTTTCCCTGCCAGTCAGTCAGAACTGAAGAAGTCCTTTGGATGAGGGACGAAACGTCTTCCAGTATCTTCAACCAAGTCCAGTGGCCCTTGATTTTAACCTTCGTTGGATATGGGTCATAAGAGCCTTGCTGTGTTTTCCTCTTCCCCCTTTACTTCGTCCCCAGCCTGGCCCTCTGTGCTGTCCGTCTTTCGTCCTGTGAGAGCTTGGTACATGGTCAGTTAAGCATCATCCAGTTTCTTTTGGCTGCAATTTTTCTTACTTTGTTCTCTGTCTTTGTGTTGATCTTCTGCATGACATCTAATATGGTCTACTATATAGGGCTGCGATAGATTTGCACACACTTCACCTCACGTCAGGCTGCTATGAAGGTCAAAGCGACGGCCAGGGGTACTAGGAAAGCAGTGTATGATTCTGTTTGGCCTTCGAGACACAGCAGTAATGTGAACCAAGTTCATACAGGTTGGGAAAGCAGCTCTTTTTACTGTGCATTGCTATATTTGCTGTAATTGACGTGTGTCAGTCTGCTTTCTCGTACGGCTGGAGTGAAGAATGCAGATATTTTGTTGTTGTGTTGTCATGTTTGAGCATTCAGCTCTGTTAGTTCAGTTATTGTGGGCCTATATTCTTTGACAAACTGCTCCAACTGTGCACCGAAGCGGTCGTGGTTGTCAGTTGAGCTGGTCACACAAGCCGTGCCCTCAACAATGTCCTGTTCTGACCATGGTCTGAATACCAATGCTGGACTTCCTTGTCCTAGAGCTTCCATCATTGGCATTTCAATATCTGGGAATCTGGAGAGAGAGCCACTGTTTTACCTTCCCTTCTAAGATGATCAGCAGCCTTATAAATCCCCTGCAGTTATATCAGGATCTTTTGTGCTCTGCGCCAGTAAAACTCATATAAGGTCAAATCTGATTGGAATTAAGGCAATAATGTGATCATGACCTTGATCTTCAACACAAGATGACGTGTCGGTTTTATACAGTTACATAAGTCTGCCTGTTAGCCCTCAGGCACACTGCTGTGTGTGTGTGTGTGTGTGTGTGTGTCAGTGTGGTCATTCATCTCCCCTATCACTTATATTCCAGAGTTTCAGTAGTGTTCATTGGCCCGTGTCTTGTCTTTTTCTCTGTGTCTCTGTGTCTCTCTTTCCACATCTCCCTGTTCTTTCATCTCTGTCCAGCCATCCCTCATTACCACCATTAGACAGATATATGGAGTGGACAGGTGGGGAGGATGAAGACGTTTAAATTCAGCCGATGAAGGAATTGAAAGAGGCGGCTGACCTGTTTCCTGACAACAATAAAAGTGTGCTCCATTCATCTTTAGTGTCCTTCATCTCTTTCTATCGTTCTCTCTTGTACTGACCTCCACTTCTCTTCCTCTCTTCATTCTCTGTTTGTCAGTGAGTCTATTCATACATGAAAATAAACAAGTGTCCCTGCTTACAGACACACACAAAGGTCTGCTTTTCATTCAAATAACCTCACTGGAATT